GTAGGTGTTCGGTTTTGGGGTCGGCGCATAGGATGGGGTCGACTCGCGACGCGTATTCATTTTGGTTGTAATGTCCTAGAAGGAGGGTAGGAGGTTAGCTTCGGCTTGCGCAATATAGTTTCATCCATTTTAAATGGACAGAAATAAGTGATTTGAAATCAAATCCGAGATATCGCATTTCCTATTCCCGTGAAGACAGCAGCAGCACCGGGACATACCTAGAAGGAACAGAGCAGTGGCCTCCTTGTACTCGGCCCACTTGTCTCCGATGGCGGCCTTCAGGTCCGTGTAAGAGTGTTCGAGATCGAGTCGCGGAACTGAGATCAGAGCTCTGGAAGATTTGACAGTCGTCTGAGCGCTTTGCGTCGCATTCTTCGCCGGATTTGAGGCCGAGTCGGTACGACTCAGGGCGGCCGGGTCGATCTGCATGGTTGGAGGACTCGCAGGAGCGCGACGAGGCGAGGCCGAAGGGTGGGACTACGCATTCATGTAGCAGGAGGTGTGCGCAACTGAAGAGAGTGAGGGACGAGATGGAATGGGCGTTGAGATGATGGATCGATGATGAAAAGGTAAGGGAGTGATGGAAGGAGGTTGGAGGTTGAGGTTCCGCCGTGCGGTTCCCCGCCAGAAACGGATGAGTCGCCCCGAATTCAGTGTGACTGAACATCAGAGTATAAATTTTGCAGAATAGAGATATTTATATATACTATTTACAATTAAATAAGGTAGATAACTAGGAAGAATATGATTGGTCTCAGTTAAATAGCATTTAGATATTCTCTACGCTAATTGCATCACATCCTCACTCAGTACGCCAAAGAGCTGCCCGATCTCCGCAATGATCTCCATAATCTCCTGCGACAACTGGCCAGTTACAAGAACTACAACAATGTAAGCATGTTTCAACCAGGGAATGCCAGAATAATCTATCCAGATCAAGGAAATAGGGAAAAGAACTCACTGTAAGCATACAATAGGGCACAGTCCTCGTCGGTGGTTAATTGCGACGCCTCATGGTCCTGGCGATATCGGTAGATGCGAGCCAACAACCTATCGCGAGCATGGTCAATGCTAGGGAGAACATCACTGAGCGGATATTCAAGCTTCATAGATGAAGCCATCACTGTAACAAGGTTAGAAGAAATCTAAGTGAGACACAAGCCCGCCTCCCAATTAACTCAAGACGTACCAGATAGAAGATGGCTAATACGAGCCGAAAGTTGTCGTCGTTCATTCGCAGTATACCGAAGCAGACAGATCTCGCCCGCAGTCGCCATGTCGGACTTCATTAACTCGAGATTCATCGCGTGAAACGCATTCGTCATGTTTCGCGTACGTCGGATAATAGTAGTGTAGGTACTGTCCGCGAAAGCACTTCGCAACTCAAACTCAGAACGCGCCGCAGCCAGAAGAGATTCCATTCGCGAGAGGAATCGCTCCAGCTCGAGTCTCTCTCGTGCAGTCATGTAAACAACAGATCTACCGCTCTTCTCCATGCAGGAAAGAGGGTCTCGTTTCCATACAAGACCCAGTCGCAGCCAAAGCAGACTAAGGCCGTCCTTCAATCGTTCCCGAGCACTGATGGGCCAAATGAGTCGAGTAATAATAACACCCCAGATACAACCCGAAAACACGGCCACGACTCGATGGAGTGCAATTTCCGAAATGATGGGTTCCTGACCACCTTCATCCTGCGATCCGCCACCCTCCTTCTGGGAAAGCGAGTAGGCATAGAGCACGGACAAATTGTAGGTGAGCATGATGAATCGTCCCATGGGCCCATTTCCTCGGACAATAGTGATCCATGCAGTCCAGGCAGCCATGAGCCAGCCGAAAAATGCCAGGCCATAGACATTACCGCTTGTACTGATCCAAGCAACAATGGCACAAACGGCTCCTAGGCATGTTCCGAAGAAACGCGCGTAACCCGTGGTATTGGAGGCTCCGATGGTCATTGAGCAAACAAGCATGTACGAGAGCAGTCCCCATTCACCTCGCCAGTGTGTGTAAAATGGACGGGTGGAAGGGAGAAAGGCTGGCATGGCATAAAGCGCAGCACCCGCACCAACCTTGATCGCATACTTGGTATCATCACGGCGGAAAAACTCAAGAGACTTCCACAGACGATAGCCAAGTCTTTCCTTGACGCTTCTTTCAGCAGGGGGTCGTAGATTAGCTCGCGTATGGGCGGCATTGCGATTCTCTGCGCGTAATGGGGCCATAAAAGAAGCTTCTAGGATCTAGTTAGTATGGTTTGCGCTAATAGACTCTAAATTTCACGGATGCGGCACGACAAACCTCTTCGAACGACGTGGTCCCCCTTGTACTTCCAAAATTTCAACCAGCTCCAAGATCGCCCATTGGGTCTTTCCTCGGATTCGAGCTGCAATTCATCTAATATTGCGAGTAATTCGTGAAGTTGCTCGCCGAATTCCAGCAGCGAGAAACTGAAATGACCACAACTGGCGGATACTTCCTCGAGGTCTGCTTCGGCTTCTGGAGTCTTCATTTTCATGGCTTGTGTTTGCTGGTAGAGCTGTTTGAGTGTCTTCTCTCGTGATTCGCGGTAGAGTTCAAGGGCTCGGTCCAAACTCATGCGGAGGCGACTGTCCACTGAAACTTTGTAGGTCGGGGCTGCACCGAAAGGAATTTCGTTGAATATCTCTTTCATTGTAAAAGCCAGCGAGCGCTATTAACTGTTAGTTTTGTAGGTTCTCATCTTTCTTTGGGGAGGGGAGATTACCATAGCCGGGCCTAAATGTGAAATGAAAATTGTGAAAACATCCGCAGGAAGAAGAGGGTTTCTTTCATTCGAGTCGTCTTTTTTGTTTGATGACGGGGAATTTAATGTCCCACTTGGCGAGTAATCTTCCTCGGAACGCTCCTCAATCGGTTCCAGGATAGATCCGTCAGGGAATGACCATGATCGCTCGAGAGAAGCAAAATAGTCAGAGCGAATGCTACCTTGAGGGTGAGCGTTTTCACTCGATGATCCAGACTCCCGGGCGATGGTTTCTCGAATCAGGCTAAATTGCAAAGACGCCGCACTGCGCAAGCCTCCCAAATTGTGGGTGATATCCTGTACCCAACGGACGAGATTTTTCTCCAACCGATACTCCTTTTCAGTACCAGCGACAAAGTGCTCGAGTTTTGCCTCGCGCACTAAATTATCAAGCTGACTGTAGGCTTTGCGGTGTTTGGCTTCGGCCACAAGAAACTCCTCCGACTTGAGCACCTCCTCTGAGCCACTCAGAAAGCTTTCCGTGATCATGGCTAGCATAACAGCCAATGTATCCGCGGACGTCACGAGACTCGCTCGAAGCTTTTTGCGCGCAGAAATGGGAAAGATCAGGAAGGATACCATTGTGGCAGCAACCACGCCCATAATCACCATTTTCAGGACCTGGGAGATCTTTCTCAGAGACAAATCACCGCTCTGAACGGCACCCTCTTTTGTCAAAACCGTAATCGTCGAGAGGGACGTGAGTGAACAAGCAACATTCACCAGAGGATCACCCAGGCGCTGCTTAGTCCATCCAACAAACCCCAACCCACCTCCACAAAAAACAATCAAAACCAGAGCATGACCAAGGGCCGGCGCCATGAGAATATCCTGAAACAGACTTTCAAACAACATACTCGAAACGGACAAGAAAGCCGAGTAACAGAAAGCAAGCAGTGCGCAAATCAAGGCACGGAACATACTTCCTTGAGACCTGGCAGGATGAAAGTACACCGTAACAGTAGCAACCATATGTTTCCCATCATTCTGGCCCAGGAAATTTGAAATAGCTGGAATGAACGTCGCACACGAACCAAGCAGGTAAGCCAGACTAAATTTCAAAATCCCAATGCCCTGTTCCGACGCCACGAATTGTTTCGACCGGGTCGCGAGTCCTCGCGCCCGCGCAGAGACCCGCAGTATGATTCCATCATGGTGTGTTTCGATTTCGCCCGTGAGTAATCCGCGACGCTCATCGTTGGCGCTATCGTCATCGGTAGCGTGTGAAGCGCCTGCGATGCGGCTGGGGTTGTGTAGGTTCACGAGGCCTTTGACGCGTTGGCCGGTTCGAGGGAGGACAAATGTTGCCTGGCGTAGCTGTATAGTTGTTAGAAGGTTTCGCCGTTGTGGGATCTGGGAATTTTTGACGGGGATTTTTGTGTGGGGGAGCTCTGTCAAGCTTGCTGACAGCTCTCGCGGTCTCGCGGTGTAGGTTTAACATACCTGAGGCCGCAGAAAACGGCGTGGAATGGAGCTACTTGGAGCTCCAGTCGTCGACATTACGGGGATTTCAGGATGGGGGCGGCCTCATTGCGTGCGGAGCATTGTTGGTGAAAGCTCAGCAGGAGATCTTCCCTGTTTCTCTGATCGCTGCAGTCTTGCAAGACCGGGCTTGCAGGTCTCCACGTTTTGCTGCCTGACGATTGGAAGCGGAGCCCTTTTGGAGGAAGAAGGCGCGTGAGGGTCGGTGCGGCCACGTCCGGTGGGCAATGACCACGCACTTTCTATGGAATACTATTCTTAGGTTATATTGCTCGTGATTTGACCTTGTTCCTCAATTAAATCATAATAACAATATTTTGTACCTTTTGTGAATTTAAGAGCCCATGGGTTCTTTGCTTATACTGGGCACTTCCAGTAATCCAGATCGTAGACTAAACCATCCTCTGGAGAAGTCCAAGTTATATATTCAATAGATAATATAGTAAAAGTCTCTTACACAATGGATGAATGGTGATCAGATACCTAGGTACCTACCAGTAGAGCATAGTAGCTACGACAAATGGATGAAGCAATAGTAGGCGGAGGCCATAAGACCTCATACGTCGCTAGAAGAGCTCTAAGTTGCAGTATATTTCGAACGTTGTTTTGAATCATGTGGGCTGGATGAGATTCAGGTAGAGCTATTGATCATAGATTATGCATTGCTGACTTTTTTCTCTTTTATCGTCAGATTTATCACCGACTTCTATGGGCGAGGTACAACTGACTACCAGTTTCAATGACTTCCCGTTTTGAACCACCCTCGAGAATATATGAACTCTTGGATCTCATTTCCTTTGAGACCAATGAGTAGGGAGAGCCCAGTTATAAGTGCTGTCAGCGACAAAGACACCACCCAAAACAAAATTTGCGTATTATCTGTGTCCCGGATGTCTGTTGTGTTCATTCCAAGGAAGCTTGTCACGAATGATAAGGGTAGGAAAATCACAGTCACAATGGTGAAAACAGAAATAGCCTTGCCATGATCCTCCTGTCGTGCTTCGACGCCACTTTAAATTGCCTTGGTAAGTGATTCGAATTTTTCAATGAGCCGGTCAATATTTGCTGTATCTTCCTCGAGGCCGGTCACTAGTGAATCAAGCGTGGCTTTCTCTGACCCGAAAGATGATTGACGAGAGGTTGTGGCTATCCGGAATGAATAAGGGGAATAAAGCTTCTGCAATTGGTACACAGAAGCTGCTGGGACCTGCTGAACTTCTTGATAATGTCAAGTTCCTACATAGCGAGTCGTATTTCTGACAAAAGTCGATGACCTGGGCTGGTGATAATTTTGGCTTCCTAACAACTGTCGGTAACCTTGGAAGTATTCATATTTGAAAAATCGATCATCTGCCATACAAGACCTAGAATGTAATCATGGTATATTTCAACCAGGTTCACTGTGTAATTTTCGCTATCTCGGCAACGCAAATCGCGCATGAGAACTTGAACTGCGAGAACAAGTTCCGGAATACCCGCTTGATATGTTCCAATCGCCAAAGAGTCATTGGTAAATTTCGTCAGGAATATGTCGTCTTTTGCGTCATGTAGGGAGTCTTCTGCAGCTTTTCCACACATAAGCTGGCATCCCAATTATCCAGGTCAAGGAGTTTAGACCAGGCTGGTACAGGATTGTGCCCCTAAATGTTGTTCAGGACATCTCTGGTTCCCTTGGCAGCATATGCTAGCATCAGAATAATATTATTGTTCAGCTACAATCTCAGTGGCCTACATTCTATCTTACTTGAAAGATCATAATCGAAAAGAATTTGCAGATTTTTGCTTCCAATTCGAGGGTCTTTTTCTCCAAATTCCAAAGACATTTCTAGGATTTTCTGGGTACTTTGGAGTTTTGGATAAAAGACACCCACCCACTATTACAAGTAATATATGCAGTACAAACATCTCAAGACAATCCGCAGGTTTTAGAAAGTCCACAGCGGAAAAAGGTTTAGAGAACATGCGACCTGCTTACTATACGTCATCAATCTCCACATTGGATTTCAGCAAATGGTGAATGGTGAAATGAGTATGCGGGTCACATGAACGGCCCACTATGGCAATCGATGGCTAAAATACCATTTACAGTGTTGGATCTTTCGCGGTTCTGGATACCCTCTGAAAATGCCGAACAGTATAAGTGAATTTTCCCACGGAGGCGGGGTTGCCCGTGCCTCGGGCTGCATGCCGGACCTGCTCGAAGTACGCTCGGCCGATGAAAACTGGGCTGGTATCACTGATCCGGCACATCGGCGAAAGCTGCAAAATCGGCTGAACCAGAGAATTTACCGTATGCTTTCACTTATTGAATAAGCATGGCATTTGGCTGATATTGGTTTGGAGCTTTAGGTCGACGAAGACAAGCAAAACCCACTACAAACACTCCTGGGTCCGACATGGCTTCCATCCCGTTGGAGCGATCGGAGAGCCATAGAGTTACGGAAGATCAATGTGAAAATCACGAACAGGAGCGCAGAAAAGCGCCGAGAAGAATTGAAAGAATAGAAACAAATACCTTCTCATCTGAATTGAGTATACAAACAAAAAGATCAATACACAAAATGAATGGGGCAGAGATCTTGCAAACTATGGCGCAATACGAGGCTTCGGCGCGTAACGACTATTCATTGGGTTCTCCAAACGTCGATCAACTCTTGACTCTGATTCAGTTCAATGTTTTCCGAGCGCTCATTGATAACACCTCTGTGATACGATTCACCTTGGACTGGCTAGATGAAGATGCCATTTCCCCCTGGTGTGCAGGTGTTCCTGAATCTCAGATCAGCTATTACCCACCAAGTCTCCGTCCTACTTCATTACAACAGGATGTTTGCCATCATCCTTGGATAGACCTTTTCCCGATACCCCAAATGAGGGATAATCTATTACAAAAATATGGAGACTTCGATGAATATGCCCTTTGCAACGACCTTGTTGATTTCTACGATGTTTCAAACGACGAAACCGGTTTGATTGTATGGAGCAACCCATGGCTTCCGTCAGGGTGGGAAGTTAGTGAGACTTTCTTGCGTAAGTGGAGCTGGGTCGTCAAGGGATGTGATGATCTTGCCAAATCTACCAATTATTGGCGCGGAATTCGTGGAGAAGAACCTTTGGTGTTCAATAACTGATCCCATCTCCTTTCGGGTCTGGGTATGGGATCAGTTCTACTTGTTTGCAATTGTACATAGGAAAATAGATACGGATCTAATAGTTCATGAGTTAGCTGTTTCATAATGAAGATCTATGTTATGGTAAGCTTGTCTCAGATTTTATATGCACGCAATTTCGCAATATTGTTGTTATAGCAATTTGAAATAACCTCTACATAAGCCTCGAGAGGTAAACACTCCCCGCCGGTCAATCACCCTTTGCACATCAATCAACTTTTGTTTGTTGTGTTCACCATATCCAGAGAAGGGATCTTGTTGGTGGTAAGCATAGTTGATGTAAAGCCAGCGATGGTGGCTTCCCGATTGTACGGTAGCGGTTTGTGCACGCTCGATCCACCTTTGGACAAAGGCATTCACAGCATCGTCATCCTGTCGATCATTCCACATCACTGTCAAAAGACAGACTAGGGCAAGTAGTAACTATCAGTATCCAAATGTGCGAGGCAAATGATAGATCCATTGATGGAGTAGGCAACTCACTGGTCAGGGGCCCATCGGCATTGATCCCAAGAGCATTCCCACCTCTTTCATGACCTGCGCGGATCACACCTCCGTAAAGAGGTTGGAAAATCACGTTGGGGAAAAATCCTGCCAGTTGCCTGATTGGCTTAATCTCTTCCGCCATAATTTCCATGATGCGTCGGTCCATTTTCGCGGAAGGATGATATGTCATGGTAGCAAAAAGGTTACTTCAAATTCAATGTTAGACCCCCGGAAAACCTTTTAAGACAAGGATGAGACTAACCGACTCCCAGAAGGCGTGTGAGAAGCGCCTTCCATAGACAGGTTACTCATTCGATCAATGCGCACTGTACTTGATTCGTATGGAATCGTTTCAAGCTGGGTAAAGGGAGCTGGGTGGAGAACCGGTCGCGCATATGCATGCGTGAAACTAAGGGAAAAATTATCGGATGCTTGATCAAAGCTGTAACCATAGGAGAATGCCATGTCGGTGTCATTCTTCCAAATGGTAGTAAGTTCAAAAGCGCTGTGGGCGATTATGTCTCTTTGGTTCGAGCTATAGGTCTTGTCGCCACCCAGAATCATCTCTTGAGGAACTGCACGCATAGTGTATCGCGTCACAATGCCAAAATTATTCATCCCGCCTCGGAGTGCAAAGTAGAGATCAGAATTCTGTTGTTCACTGACATGCACAATTGTCGCATTTGGCAGAACAATCTTTCCGTCCTGTTAATCAAGACTCCAATGCATGGGGGCAGTTTTCGCCGAATTAGTACATACCTCATATTCGAAGATATTGTCGACGGCCAAGCCATACTTGGGTGATAGATTAGAAATACCTCCGCCCAAGGCATAACCACCAAGGCCGACATCAGCGACCCGACCACCGATTGTGGTCAGATTAAATGCTTCGAGGCCATGATACATCGTATAAAGCACATGGCCGCTACCAAGAATTACCGTCTTCCGATCAGGGGCCACTTGGAGGGATTTCATCAAGTGCATGTCGATCGTCACGCCGCCAACTGATACCGAGTCATCTGGATTGCGAGCATGACCTCCACCCTTGACTGCGAATCGACACCAATGATTGACCAAAATACTCAGGATCTTGCTGACATCTTGGGAAGTGGATGGCTCCACGTGGCAGGCGGATTCAACTTCCTGTTGTTTGGCGTCCCAAACCGTAAAATTTCGATCATTCGAATAGTGTAGATTTGGTCCAAACTCGGAAGATAGTTCTCCACACTTATAACTAATGTCAGTGAAAATCCGTCGAAGAGTACTACAAATGAGCCTACCGCTTTGGCACAAGCTGCTCCGGGTGGATTGGTGGCGCTTAAATTCGTTTCGTGCTGCAGCGCATCGACAGATAGAATTAGGAAGAATGTGTCAAACAACAATTTAAATAGAAGCATAATGACAAGGTGTAAGTAAGTTTCGCAAATTGTGTTGATTTAAGGCACTGAAAGCCCCGGAGGAGCACAAACTTATACTATCTATCCGATTTCCATAACAAAAGGGATGCGGGCTGGAGAATTCGCCAAGAATCTTGGCCAAGCAAGCTGCTTATCATACGTCAACCGCTCAGGTAGCCGTACATACATCCCCTTTGGCATTTATTGATCCACTATCGAAGAGTCCAAAGTAAAGTCCATTTCCATTGGCTCGCCGTCGGAATGGACCATGACGCATAATAAGCATCCAGCATATTCAACTAACTTGAAACCGTTTTGGGAGGGAAAGACGATTCATAATAAAAAAAAGAACGCTCATAAATATCCCTTCACAGATAATCAAAATCGAGAAGAGTGAATTGCCTGCCCACTACTTCCTCGATCACAGCCCTCCCCCGCATAGTACCAAACCAAATAGTTTCTGCTTCTCGTCCCAGGCCTTGGCACCAAGAATGGCTTTCATCATATTTCTGCTTACCGTTGTTTGCGCCTTGGGCCTCTCTTCTCACAGTCTACGTGAGTTTTACAGGTTCCCCAATGGTACCTGGGTTGAAAATATCGCTGTGCGGCCCAATGGCAATATTCTCGTCGCACTTGTGAATACACCGGAGCTCTGGGAAATCATCCCTTCAGCTCCATCAGATTGCAACCCGGCCCAATTGGTTTACCACTTTGATGGAGCAGACTCCGTGAATGGGATTACGGAGCTTTCACCAGATACTTATGCTGTCATTGCATCAAACTCTGTATGGAAGGTCGATCTAAGTGTTTACGAGAAGGCTTCAGAGCCAATTCGAATTGCAACTCTTCCTGCTGGAACCCTGAATGGTATGGCTACATTAGATGACGAAAGGGTGTCAGTTGCAATCTCAGATTCTCAGTTGGGGTTGGTTTGGCGACTCAATACCCATACTGGCAACTATACAGTCATACATCAGGATATGACAATGGAACCGAATGATGATCTGGGATTAATGCTCGGGATCAATGGATTGAGGATAGCCAACAGTTACATGTACTACGACAATAGCCCTCGGCAGATCTTCTGTCGTGTTCTTATTGATGAAAGTACCGGTGAAGCATTAGGACCATATGAGATCATCACCCATGATGTTCTCGCTGATGATTTTGCCGTTACCTCAGATGGCGTTGCATACTTAGCGGGACTTACGAATAATGTGGTTATTAAGGTCTTTCCGAATGGATCACACGAGGTTATAGCGGGCTCACGGGATTCGACGGATTTGATGACTGCCACATCGGCTGCCTTTGGCAAGCCTGTTAATGGGCAGAATATACTTTATGTCACCACAGGAGGGGAGTCAGAACACCCCGTCAATACTACGGATACTAGAGGAGGAAAGGTCATGGCCCTGACAATTGACCTGGAAGGATGGATAGGAAGGTTTGAAGGAGCAGGATATTGAGTTGAAGATGAAATAAAATATATACCTAGGTACTCCAGGGCTATATCTCTGTCCATGTCCTCTTGGCAGATAACGTCGTATGCCACCAAGAGAGATTTCACCTAGCCATCAATTGAGTTATGGAGCAAAATGCTTGAAAAAGTATCTGTAGCGGATGAAGGTCAACTGAGAAATGCCGATTAAGCAACGGGGTCACTTCCTAATGCGTGCTTTCGGCTATCACTACTCATTGCAACTTGGAAACTGCGCAAATCCGTATCCGTAGGAATTTCGGGCTTAAGATTCTGCAATTTGCTTATCATACGTCATGTGGGGACCATGTTCTATTGTTTACAATCGTTCCAGCATTTGGGATTTATCTGGAGTTTAGCGAAGTATTAACATTCGTTCCCAAATAAAAGGCGTACTTTCAATTAATTTTTGAGTCAGGAGATACATATAAAAAAAAAGGGCTCTATCTCTTGCAATATCTACTGCATTCATTAATATCGACTCATCCCTAGCAACAAAAAAATCTAACAAAAGCACTTATTCAAGGAAACGGTCTGAGAATTGCGGGTTGGGTATTACGATCTTTGCCGATGCCCCACACCGGAAATCTACTGCTGACCGGAGTTAAGGTTAAGAGCGGATGAAGATATGCTGTATAGCTTGGTCATTTTATGTCAGGTTTGTGGTTAAATTCAAGTTCACCTATAAATTCGCAAAGCCAGCCTTCAATACGATGCATTAAAAGATCCCTTTTTAATCAGCCCAGGTAAATTTCTGCCTGACAGAATGCCTATTGATCCAAAGAGCATGCTAGGTCGCTACCGCCAGCTAGCCCCCCTCTGCCTCAGTGCGGGTTTCGCCAATATGCATGGGCACAATGACATTCGGCGGCAAGTACCCCGAAAAATACGGCGAATGCAGCAAAAACGAAGCCTTTGCAATGATGGACTTCTTTTACGACAACGGTGGCAACTTCTTCGACACGGCAAATGCCTACCAAGATGGCCAGTCTGAGGTCTGGCTAGGTGAATGGATCGCCTCCCGCAAGAACCGCGACGAGCTCGTGATAGCAACCAAGTACACCTCTGGGTATATGCTGCACTGCAAAGACAAGATCCAAGCCAACTTCGTCGGCACCGGAACCAAGTCCATGAACCACTCTGTGGACGAGTCTCTACGCAAGCTCCAGACCACATATATTGATCTGTTTTACGTGCACTGGTGGGACTACACAACCTCGATCCCGGAATTGATGCAGAGCCTCAACCACCTGGTCGTTTCAGGGAAGGTGCACTATCTTGGCATTTCAGATACACCTGCTTGGGTCGTGACGAAGGCGAACGAGTACGCTCGCCAGAACGGGCTACGGCAATTCTCGGTGTATCAAGGGAAGTGGAATGCCGCGAGGCGAGACCATGAACGAGACATCATTCCCATGTGCGCCGATGAAGGAATGGGTCTTGCCCCGTACGCGACATTAAACGCCGGTAATTTCCAGACGGCTGAAGGCTATAAGGCCCGCGAGAAGTCTAATAATGGCCGCAAATTCATCCCAGTGTGCGCGCGGGATAGGCAAGTTGCTGCTATTCTGGAGAAAATCGCCAACAAGAAGGGTGAAGGTGTGACGCTGTTGAATATCGCGCTGGCGTATATCTGTCATAAGGCGCCTTATGTCTTCCCCATTGTTGGTGGTCGGACTGTTGATCATCTGAAAGGCAGTATTCCTGGCCTGGCAGTTTCGCTATCGAACGATGAGATTGAAGAGATCGAGACCGGGTATGATTTTGATCACGGATTCCCTCATAGCTTTTTGAGTGGCACTTTGTTTGACCTTTCGCACCCGAGGGGGGGCTGCAGGCCCGGAGGATGTGTGGTTGACCAAACCATGTGGTCCTTTTGACTGGGTCGAGCGTCCGAAGCCGATTAAGCCTAACCCGTCGATATAGATGCTAGGAAATTTGAATCACGATTGGTTTTTCTCGGTCACAGAATTGAATACCAATAATGTCCATGGACAGTTGTCTAAATTGCTTTCTCAGTACGGGAAGTCTAGAGCCCGTCAGTTAGTCTCTTCCAAAGCTTGCGTCCATCATCCCATTCCATCCAGTTCCTCTGTATCCAGCAAAAATTAAAAAGGATTTGAAAAGAAGGATTCGGATGGTCTAAGATCTGTGCCCGCTTCCTCATCTCTTGTCCCACTATTTGTACCATCCTTATGCGGTAAGGTGGGCGCAGACCAGGGACAAATGTGGGTGCCAGATGAAACGTATCTCAATTTACCATCTCGCAACTCCAATTATCCTACAAAGGTCTCAACGATGTTATAATCCTACCAGTGTATACACATCGGTGACCGCCGTGGTAATTTTGGACAACTCCGCGGAGGTGTGTTAAAGTAGTACTAAGTCAACACCCATTACTGTCATGACGTAAGAGACTTCCAGTCCTATCTCATATATACATAGCAATAACTATTATAATGAAAGGAGGTTATTTTTGCCTTATATTTGCCTTATAAAAACATCAACCCACCAAATAGTATATTTCATTCTTAAGCAGCAAATGAAAATGTCGAGGGTCTTTGCCGGATTGACAACGCCAGCCAGAGCGTGTAGGAACAACACATATCTCACACTGGCATCAAGATACTCCTTTCTACCACGTCGTATATCAATGAAAACAAATGCAAAGCCTCAATCAGAAAAGCAACAAGAGGAATCTAACATGTGGAATTTGGGGCTCGCTCGAACCATATTATTTTCGACCTCCATCATAACGAGCATCATCGTGTATGCCAAACTACAAAACCCACTCTATATGGACTCGACACGAGGAGGGACATCTAGCCATTCAAATCAAGAGTTAAATCGGCCAGTCGCACGACCAGAGAAACCATATTTATCTTTCCATATGAACGGGTCTCGCGGAGGGGAAACCCCCGACGAAGCCAATACGCTTCCTACAGAAGAAGCTTTACTCACGACCGCACCCGATGTGCCTCCACGAATAACGAGAAACTACCCAGTCCTCCTTCAAGTGAATCTCGTGACTACAACAAAGGTAGAAAAATTGACCAGCCAGTATAAGTACGAGAAATGGAACTTCAACGGCTCGGTTCCTGGACCATTTGTTCGTGCGAGAGTGGGGGATGTCGTGGAGCTATCGCTGACAAACTGCGACAAGTCCGGTAATCCCCATAACATCGATTGCCATGCATTTTTGGGACCCGGGGGAGGATCGGCTCTGACTACAGCCGAAGAAGGACAGACAAAAACTGGGAGGTTTCGTCTTCAATGTCCCGGGCTCTACATATACCACTGTGCCGCCGCACCTGTGCCTGTACACATCGCCAACGGCATGTATGGCCTTATGTATGTGCAGCCAGCTGAGGGTGATCTGACTCCGGTAGACCACGAGTACTACGTGATGCAGAGTGAGTTCTACCATGAGCCACCAGAAGTGGAGGAAAATGGAAGGCCGTCGTCAGAAGTGGAATTTTCGTATCCTAATGCGTTACGCGAAGAACCAAGTGTCGTTGTATTCAACGGGCATGAAAGTGCATTGACAACGGAAAAACCACTAAAGGCCAAAGTTGGAGAGTCTGTTCGCATCTTTTTCGGCAATGCAGGACCAAATCTGACGAGTTCTTTCCATGTCATTGGAAGTAACTTCATGAAGGTATATCGGGATAGTGATGTCTTGAGCCCGCCAGGTCAGTTTGTACAAACTGTTAGTGTTCCACCAGGGGATACTACAATGGTCGACATGAAAATGCTCGTTCCTGGGACATATACGCTTGTGGATCATGCGATATTTCGTCTGGAGAAGGGGGCTGTTGGGTATTTGAACGTTTCAGGGGATCCAAGGCCAGATATCTATCAAGGAACCGAACCGCCGGCCCCTTGTGTTGGCTGTAAGCTGCATCCTTGAATGTCAATTATTTTAAAATGTAGCTCAAGTGCAACATGAGTATTGGTCCTTTGGCTATCAACGTGGGATTCTTGACATGGTTACTAGGAAGATAACTAATTTTGTTGTATTTTTACCATTCTCCCATCGTATCTCTGCAAATTCTTGATTTATACTTTATTTTCTGTTTTGCCTTAGGTATTGGATAACTTAACTCTTTTCTTTTAGCTCATTGGAAAATGTTCTTCGCGATGATTTCTCGATAAATAGATACGATGATCGTACTTTCATTTATATATTACTTGGGAAATCATGCAACGTCATAAAGTGTTGATTTTGTGTAAATAAAGCAAGCGGTGTTATTAGCTACAGCATTATCTGCTTTCAGCAATCCGTATAGCCTCATGCACAATATAATTCCAAGAAGAATTCAAGAGAGAAAATAAACGAGGTTGAACTCGAACGTGGCTGTAACTTGTAATTTCAATACACCATCACACAATTTTCTCTCTCCATCAATCGTTTTGTGCTCTCCTTTTTCAATCAATCTCGATTTTGCAACAGTCAAGGTATTCCAGTGATGCAGCTTCACAGCTATCCCGTTTTGACAAAATTTCCTCCTCTTCATCACTGTCGACATCACGTTTCAATGTATTATAACTACCACCGCCGTTGATCATGGATATCATCTCTATTAATGCTCCGACATTGCCATTTGTTGCCTGCGCAGTCGAGGCAACACCCCCTCTCCGCGAGATTCCGTTCCCCAGATTGAGACTGGCATATAGGTCATTTATTGCGTCAGCTATCGTGAAGGCTTGCGTAGTAGCCAGCACTATAACTTTTGCCGTCCAAATAACTCCATTGTTGCGTGTGCTTGTAAACTTGAACTCATCTGGCCCAAGACTGCCGGGGGCGTTAAAGAACGCAAACATCTGAATGTGGAGGTTGGCTAGACTGGTCGCATATCCTGGGTTTGCCAATACTCCAGAGCTTATTGCCCAGCAATACCAGTCAGTTGTACCAGCGATACTCAATGACCTAGGCACTAACCCTCTTGCCTCGATACTGGTAGCTGCCGTATGGCTTAGACCGACTGGTTTGCCAGTCTCACCAGCTGTCGTGCCGCTCAGATCCACTGGGTTGCCAGCCACAAAGCTGAGATGCAACGCCAAGTACATGATCAAATTATTGAACTTCATAATGGTCTGTGGCCGCTCTGACGCAGATATCTAATACCGTTTGGGATTTGTAACAATTGTAATGCTGGCAATCGTACACGTAGTGCGGGATCGTGGTTTCAGACAGTGTCCTCAGTGGAGGACGTGTGACGAACTTTAGCTCGAAGATAGTATTGGATAACTTCGACACCAGGTTAGCCTTACGTCTCATATATAGTAGTTAGAGGGAATGCTCACTTATTGGTAGGTTAAGTAGAACTAGTGACAATTGAGCTTTGACTGAATCGAATCGAATCGAAGTGACAATTTGTTATTGACTTTATTGTTTGCCTGAGTTTTCAATCGAAGAGAAAGTTGTGCTATATATAGCTAGAGAATGATTTAAAATCATAAAGTAACAAACTCCGAGTAGTACCGAGAAGTAATTCACATGAGGATCTTACTAGTCGGGATCCCCTTTTACCTAGATAGTGCGGACACGGGGCCAGTCCCGCTACAGCTGAGCCATATTAAGCATTTTCCAAGACCGATGCCAAGGTTTACGGCAATATAAAGCGATAACCCGTAAAGATGGCGTAAAATAGGGTCCATTTGACCGAGTAGGGGAAAGTCAACTGCTGCAGATAAGCACTACTACTAATATAGCATGTCGTAAGCTTACCACTTGCCCTGCATGATCGGGATCGATATATATATATAATCTCTGATAGTAGTACATAAGATCGCCAAGTTGAACTAGTAAATACCTAGCTCAACGCTGGAGCTTTTTGCCGACCAATGAGGAGTATGGCAACTTGGAGTACTACTATTTTCCTATGAGACGAGGAAGCTCAGCTTGAGCCTCATCACTCAGGCTCTTTGTATAACAGCGAACGCTTGAGTTCATATGCTATTCCAACATACTAGAAAAACTAAAATATCGAGGCAAATGCTTCGATATACTCAGGCACCCCCGGGCCGATATATCTAGTAGTAAATAAGCCCGAGATAGCACCCGCATAAGCTTCTTTTACAGGCGGGTAAGCCGCCACCTTGAACGCTTGTTACGGCTTTCCTCCTTTCCAAATTAGACCTGGCCTATTAGGCCCGAATCGGAAAGTGGCACTCATTGCATTCATATACCTAAAAAAGAGACAGACCAGCTTATCATTAATGTAACGTTGTCTGTTAGGTCACATCTAAATATAGAGCTTCGATTAACACGAAAGCCAAGTCATATATCTAGTATAGGAATATACATTATTGTAGAAGAGGATTTTGTGAGAAGCTGATCGAACTGTGGCTTATGTTACAAAGCAAGAGCATTTTGATGGTTTGAAGGTTTGGCGGATTTTGAGATATACATTGAAGCAGGGAATAACTGATTCATTCATGCCGGAATTCTGCTACTTTCAGAAGTAGTGCAGAGTGAACATCAAGCAGAAATAAGCCACTAAATAACATAGCGGTGTTCAATGGACTTATCGGAGACGAGAAAGTAAGACGTACATAGTCTTAGCAAAGCAAGCAAGCCCGTCGGAAAAGCTACGTGAAATGTTGCGCTATAAGCGCTGAAAAAATCGAAACCTCCTGATCGACGCCCAAAACAAGACGGTTTTATTCGCAAATTCTATTCAAAAGGTTAAATGCGGAGTAAAAAATAAAATATGACCAACGGAGCAAGTGCTATATGTGGTTATAAAGACACACAAAGCTGTGGAGGCTTATGCCTCGGGCATTCAAGATCGGCCTATATCGGCCTATATCGGCATCTCTATTTTGTTCAAGATCACTTTACATACACTTCCATCACCATTATCGTCTCTTTCTTCCATGGTTGCTTCCAATTTGTGTCATCAAAAGCCGATCTCGGCGATGAGGAGTGTTAAAAATCGCGCCTGCCTTGTGTAGAGTCATCGCACCTTCCATGTGTAGAACGTCGAACCTCGTGGACGCCCGAGACTCTGCGGCGGCATCAAGCAATATTTCCCACAATGTAGAAGTCTCATACTGCATCCTCTCTCCGGTCACTTTGAATAGATTCTCTGCGTGAGAAATCAGGGTCGGCTCTAGGGTAAATAGCTAGCGCAGAAGGGAGTATAGAGCAGTATTCAACCGATTCTGCTGTTCGTTGTCCTTGAAAAAGAAGTGGCAAACCAATGTTCCTGACTCCAGCTCTTTGGAATCGATATCTATCAATGATTTGGATAAGACCGATTTCCCGCAACCTGGGTCGGCAGATACCCAAAGAAGGCTATTTGACAAACTATCACGCCAGTTGAGATAAGTTGGGTTTTGTAAGACCCATTGGCAAGCCCCTGGAGCGCGTGATGGATTGATATCCTTATAGCTCTCGTAGCTTGATGTTTTAAGAGCTTAATGGCACTTGTGTTGCTCTCCAATGAAGACTATTGCCTTTTGGTCATCGGACTACTCTGCCTGTTGATTGAAAGCCCTGTCAAGCCGTTCATTTGTGCCATGAACTGCTCCATTCAAATCTTCTATTGAGTCTGTTCAATGGAAGGTGAGAAAAAATGCATTGATATTTGGAGATACTGGTAAATCGCCCACGACAAATATTAGCCGCCAGCTGCTCCTGATTGACTTGGCTGTGAGGCAAATTTCCCGCCAGCTCTCTAGCATAAGACGCCGCTACCAACGCTGCATATCCCTGCCATTACTTGTTCTTATGGGAATCGGAGTAATCACAGATTCCCCGAATGACGAGACACGGAAAGTCTAACATTAAACCTGTAGCCTCCATCTCGAAGCAGAGTGCGCCAATATCTGTACCTAGTTTTTCCCGGACTCTCCCATCTTTGATCACCGAGTTACCAGATGCAATTAGGCCGTAGTGAGTTCGAGGAAGATGATCCTCCCGAACTTCGCGTATCACTTCCCAATCGGATGAACAGGTGTCGTAAGAGCTTTCATTAACAGGATGATCATGCTCAGCTTTGAAAAGTCGATCATCCTTGGGATCGGGGTGACAAAACAACTTCTTCGTACGACTTGTTCTCGCCGTTGCACATTCGATGTATTCGAAAAATTCAGGATCATCCGTGAGCTCATCGGCTCTGAGACGACTGTTAGCTGTCAATAGCGACCGAGGCGGGCTATCCACGAGACCCAGTTCTAGAGAATGCACCACCAGCGACTTGTTTGCCCATATCATATTGAACAACACCTCCATAAGTGCCAAAAGGACAGCTGATACCAGCATCGCCGAGGCGAACGTCGTTTTCCTTGGAAGGGATTCCACCTCCTATTCCAACCACTAATCCAACTCGAAGTGACTTGGAAAAGGTGCGTGTCAAGTGATTTGCAACTGTCGTCGCCGAAGAAGTCCCATACTGCCCTGCTGGCAGACATGCAATGACAATGTTATGCTTGCCAATTCGACCCAAAATGTACGCATTGGAATCGTTACCATCCTGTCCATCTAGAGGTTCATACCTCTCGTCAAGCATCTCTTTGGCTGCTGCGGCCTCGACCGCCAGAGCGCATATCCAACCAATCTGGAACTCATTCCGAGGTGGGCAGGACATATGGACTCAGTAATCCAACCAAAGGCGTACGAGCGTGTAACGCCTGGGTAGCAAGTGTACTTTGAACTTTTTTCTCCCGCCAGAGGACTTGGGTACGCATGGTCAAGCAGAGCGAAGATTGTCTGACAACTTGAGCTCGATCATATCATCGCAGCCCCGCACAGCGCGCTGGCAATGGGGTTGACATGTGGATATGAGCATTCACTCGGATTACTCCAATTGGATATGTACGACTAGTGCCCAATATCATGTACATAATTCCCCTGACAGTCTGGGTACCTATCTCCAGCCATATATTCCTCTACTCTGTGGTTCCTAGTACATACGACCATAGGGTGTGGAGAACAGGGCTTCCCGTCCGCTCAGCCGTACTTAAGCCACACGCCGGCAGGTTAGTAGTATGGTGGGTGACCACATGCGAATCCCTGCTGTTGTATGTTTTTGTTTTTCTTCGTTGGTTGCATTGATCCTTTCCGCCATACTTTTCAGCCCTTCGGGTTCCTTCCTGAATGCCCTGGCCCCTGACAGATAACGTAGCCCTTCAGCTAAACCTGCCGTGCTTCCTGCTTTCTTGCACCGGCCCTGAAACTCGCCTTTTTGGGGGCCTTGAACAATCTGACTCGCTGACACTGCGGAAATTAGGTATGTTGTGGCCATCGTCACCGCTTGGCTGCCTCCTCTCTAGAGACAGCGAAAAGTTTTTGCCAGCGAAGGATCGACGATCCTGGATCCCCGTCGATAAAATGAGCTAAAGCAAATGGCAATCCTCGACCAGTTCCTTCCTTCTCTGCAGTCTGGACTACCGGCTTCTATGGACGGCATGTACCTGGTAATCCTCTATCGCGACCCCATTAGGAGGAACTACCACCTATCATTTTATAACCAACAATTGTGATTTTGTAACCGCATGCGTTTGGGGCGTGACTGATATGGAACATTGACGAAACTCAAGCCGCTTCTGTTAGGTGTATCTTAGAGTGAATCAGCGTAAATTTTGATGACTCCTCGGATGGCCCTCAACTGCTTTACATTTGAATATGAAGCTGCGATATTTCCAAGCGCCCAGTAGATTGAATATAAGAATAAAAGTAGATCTAGGTGCTGCTGTCCGCATTTTATTTAGATATCTGCTCCTCTCTGGCTGAGCAGAAGCTTTACTATTGCTACTCTACAATTAGACCTATACAAACCCATAGATATACCTATTTAGGTATGCCTATAGGCATATTACGATAATCATTACCGACTCAACCATGCTAATAAGATCTCGTACAGGCGCTGCAGGCCCAATTAAGCAAACATAGTAGAGCCTAGAACCCTGCAGAGGATCAGGATCATTGACCCATTTCCCATCAGACTAATATAAACGAGCCCACTGCTGAAATACTGGCAGTTGTAATCTAAAATGATTCTCCTGGAGAGTGTACTTTTATGACTGGTATAACAATTCTCTTGTTTGTACGTCGGCACTTCCTTAGACCTTGACTGGTTGGATGCAGAAACAACTGCGACCTTGTGGCCATCTATGCTTTGATTAACCGTGGATTTCCCCCAACTGTCTTGTATTCGTGAGAAATAGCAATATTAAACGCTACACCGTATCGGACGACTATACTATCAGTTCTCCCAATATCTAGATTCTTGTGAATTGAGCTGTTACCAGTTTCAATATGGTCCTAATACGTCCCAGGTAATTCCTCACAGGACCAAGCACACATCGTGTGTGAGTTGTAGGTTTAGAAGACGGCATTCATATATTATGGGAAATAGTGGTACATCTGGTAGTCTAGATCAAGGCTCCATTTTATTACGAAACATTTGACGAGAGCAATCATAGCCATTATCCTCAATGTTGGAGAGGAAGTCAGGAATCAATTGTCTCTAGAAGTGTGTTTCATCAAGACCCGAAGCGTCGCCGTCCCACAAGATTGTCGAGTCATGACACGCACAGCATTCCCTTGAGCCATTGCCGAACTAAGATTCCCTATCCGTCACGACTGTGACATTTGAGAAGACGGTGCAAACACAAAAGTGTGTGGCTATGCTGTTCCGAACATCAAAGTGGATCGGATCGTAGATTTAGGGCCGCAACAAATTGAGCGCTCCCCCAACCAAATGTAAGCTCCCGGTAACAAAAGCTTGCATACCACCTTGTTGCATACTTATCCGTTCCGCGAGCTTGATGGCACCCTGAATAGTTGGTTCAGTTGAGACTGTAGCATGAGGATGGATTTCTTTCCAAAGTGAAGTATATATTGCGCAAAGGTCCGGAAAAGGAGTCTCTGGAACTTTAAGTGTTTTGTCTAACAAGTGAACAGTTAGTTTTATATCCGATGACAGCAGCTGTCTATAATCTCTCACCTATTCTCGTAGTCCCATCTTCTCTCTCCTGGTAAGTCGTGAAAATAACGTGATCAGGTTTAGCGTCGTGCTTAGGAAGTGCATACGCTAGGCATTTTAGTAGATCAACTCCATTTCGCTCTTCAGAAAAATGGCTGAAGATAAGGACACGATATCTGGATTGCACAGGACTTAGCAAATCAGTATGAGCATGAAAGGTATATACTTACGTAGGTGCATCTGCAGCATTTATATTCTTCGAGAACCACTCTGCTGCTTGTTCAAGACTCAGCGTGTTATGCGCACCATCCAAGAACCATCGTGACCTTCCACTTTCTATCACCTCAAATCTCCCCATCCACGAGAAACCGTCGATGCCCCTAGATATGTCGTCGTCGTCCAGTACATACTTGGAATCCTTGAGCTGCAAAAATCTTTTAACTAGCTGAAGGGCTAGAGAGCAATTCAATCGTTGTACTGGAGCACTCAGCACCTTTTCGTTGACAGGGAGGGTGTGAGAGGACGAGACAAATGTCAAATCAGTATTTCGTTCGGTCGCACGTTTCCGCAGAACTTCACCAGGTCCTGTCTCCTGGCTGACAGAGAACGCAGGTGCTCCAGGTTTGAAAATGCCCGATTTATGCCAAGCGATATCCTCGACAGTAGGGCCTAGTTGTGCAACATGGTCCATCCCCAGAGACGTTATACCGGTCACAACAGGCTTCCGTATCACATTCGTGGCGTCATACTCTCCGCCATGGTGTGTCTCGAATATTGCTGCGTCGACATTTTCCTTGATGAAGGTATGAAAGGCTAGCAAAGCCAGAAGCTGCAGATAACGGGGTTGTCTTGTGGTTCCTGTAGCTATTTCTAAGCCCGGGGACGTAAGAGTTTCCCAGACCTCGAAGAAATATTGCGTGAAGAGATTTTCCGTGATTGGTTGATTATCAATCTGTATTCTCTCCCGGATGCATTGCAAATCAGGGGAAGTGTATAACCCAATTCGCTTTGGGTATCCTGTCTTCAAGCCATGCGTGTGGAGAAAGGACCTGGTGAAAGCGCAAGTACTCCCCTTTCCTTTTGTCCCGGTGATATGGATTATATTCAGGTTGTCGACATCGTTTTCCTAGGCTTGGTAAGAACAATGGGCGCTGCCGGGAAAGTAGATTACAAAGCATTCGTACAGAGTGTCCTAACGCCTGCAGCCATTCCTTCATTCCAACCAAACTAGGTATGCCTTTCACAGTTGGGTTACCGCTAGGTGTCGCGAAATCTTGGGGTGTGGCTGGTGCTGCGGGGTTTGTTGGTCGGGTTTTCCGCCTTCGTGTCTCAAGAAGCCTCAGGGCGTTCTGTATCTTTGTTAGATGGAACGGAGAGGGGTTATTTTTTTTTTTTTCATTACCTCATAGCTACGCCTCATTTTAGTGGTTCTTAGGGACAGATTGGACCCGAGCAGGTAATTGTCAAAGAAGGAAATTGCCAGCAAAGTAAGGCGGAAGTGCTGCAGAAACCAGACTGGGATCCAGGGGTATCGTGATGATGTAATCGATGACTAACCAAATCTAGTGTTTCGGAGTATTCTATATACTCGTACACCTCCGATCGTCCCCTTAGAGATACCTCTGACGAAAGCTAGTAATTTAGTAAAGAGAATACTTTAAAAAATTACTATATCTTTAAAGAGAAATACATTAGAGTTATGAGTATTTAGATCTAAGTCTAACTATTTAGTTAGCTTATAAATCTAAAAAATATCTACCTATACTAGGGTATAGATAAGTATTCTATAGTCTTTTTATGATCTTTATATCTTAAGCTTACTAATAGAAGTACTTTAGATGAGCTCTTCTCCTTGCATTATAAGTATTATTAAAGAGGAGTTTATTTTGATCAGTATTGATTCTAATTTTTAATTTTTCTTGGCTATACTTTTAAAAGATAACCATAGAAATTAATATCTAGTACCTGATTAAATATTTCCCTACTAGAATTTGCGAGGGTAACATTCGTATGTTAGTTCTGGCTCTTTCGGTAGAGGGCTAAAGAGGCGCTTCGCTAGGGTGGTGAGCGACCTAGGACAGACTCGTGGGCGCTAGGTAACCACCACCATGCAATATCTGTTGTATGTTTTTCTTTTTGGTCTTTTGCTTCTTTTTTGGCTATTGAATTTATTCCCATGCCCCGAGTGTCATGGCTTGATGACGTGGCCGCTCGGCTCGACACCATGTTTTGTGTCCTTCCTTAAACACCATACAGACCTTTGATGATCTTCAACCTGATGCAGCCTATTTACCCGCCCCGCACTAAATTTCTCCAATATTAACTGGACCCTCGCTAGCTCTGGCATGAAGTAAGCAATGGATGGTAGTGGAGCATTTATTTTCTGATCTCATCGGGATGTTTGGCTGCATTTTTAGCCCTATAAAATTCTGCAAAGAGTCATGGCACAAACAGCTTTTCATCCATGAGCCACATTATCGGCGACCCGTGGAGCCAGTTTATGGTATACAATCGATTGTTAATAAGTGTTCTGACGGGGGTTTCTGCTTGCAAATATACCCCAACTGCTTATTTCATATATATCTTGTGCTCAACAATATATTGACTTCGATGTTTGTGATGGCGGAATGGTGTTCATACTAGCATGCTACGAACTTGAAATCAGGAACCCCTGTTAAAGAGCTGCGAGCGTCGTCATCTCTGGTCTGCCAAACACAGAACAGCGGTCAGCTTATTTTTATCTTCGCCATACAAATGGGCTATCCCATCTACCACTGCTCCAGCTATCTTGTATTGGCTGGTATCACAATTGTTCATTTTCGCCCGTGTTGATCTTTATAGATGCTCAAGCCAGTCGTCTGGGGAGATATATTCGGTAGAAAGGCTCTATTGGTCAGGGCTTGCTGTGGTAATAGTAATATGCCTTGGGTATGGTATATTATTTGGCCTATGTGAAATTGGCTGACAGCGGCATTATCCTGACATAATTCCGCTATCGGGTTGCTGTAGCGCTAGCATTACTGCTTCATGTCAAAACTTTGGCTTATTGCTTCGCCGAATGTACAGTCCAGAATTAAAACCGCTTAGTAGTTTCCCTTTGGTGCTGCCTGATACCTGGAAGAGTAGGCATGCCAAGCCGGTGATATTTTCTCCTTATGTATTTCGGTGGGAAATTAAAACCGAGCCAGAGTATTGCCAAGACAAGAGTGGCCTTTTACGAAAGCCTCCGCGCGTGTGGGGAGACCTATCTCCACGGGGAATCCACGGGGAAGTCTAACAGCCCGTGCGAGCCGGGCATGTATCGGCATCGCGTCGGAGTAATACAGCAACTGGATGATATTTTGATTGGGGAGCAGTTTTGCATCGTGGGGCGTTGGAATGGAAATGCATTAACTGAAACACATTGTCTTTGAGACGTCGCGAGGTCTAAGACCAGTCGTAAATCTGGGCAGCCAATAATTCTGCGAGGTTAGGTCGGGTTGGAGGGGGGAAGAGAACATTTCAAGAACCAGTCGGCATTCCGAAGCCGAAGCAGTCAAAGGGTACAATATTCCGAGAGTCTCTTCTGCTTGCTCCTTTTGCATAAATTAGGCTTTCGAGTGCGTCATTAGCCCCCACGGGACTACCTTGGCGATCAACGCTGAGTCGCTGAAACTCCATATTAGGGCTTGGGTTGCGCCCGAGATGTTAACTTCCAAGAAATCCATTTCTCGGCAGTGGCACCAGCAAGAAATATTTAAGATCATTGATCTTCCACCAGATGAATCCCCTTCCATTTACTAGTACTGCCCAATAGTCGTTCTTATCTCATCCCATAACAACAATGCTATTCAAACGCCCTTCGGATGAGAAGGGAGACGCGTGGCCAGCTATATTAGTTGGCTTGTTCGCGTCCTTCGGAGGTATTCTCTATGGGTATGATACTGGGACTATCGCAGGCATCCAGACAATGCCCTACTGGCTCGATGAATTCAATCATCCTAATGCAGGCCGCATATCCCTAATTGTTTCTATTTTGTCGGTTGGTACTTTTGTCGGTGCCCTCGCGGCGGGTATCATGGCAGACATCACCGGCCGGAGATGGGGAATCATCCTGTCAGTCATGTTTCCCTTCAATCTTGGCGTCGCTCTTCAAACGGCTGCTACTTCGCAGCCTCTCTTTATTGCTGGTCGCTTTTTTGCCGGTCTCGGAGTCGGTTTGGTCTCCGCCCAAGGTATTTCAATTGGCGAAATGCAGTTGAGAATTGATTGTTGATTGTCCATAGTTCCCATGTACCAATCCGAGACACTCCCTAAGTGGATTAGAGGTGCGGTTGTTGGATGTTACCAGCTGTGCATCACAATCGGTCTTTTCCTGGCTGCCATAGTGAACTGGGCTACCCAGAACAGGAACGACAGCGGTATTTACCAATGCTTTCCTTGCCGGGACTGACAGACCTTGAAGGATGACTGACGAGCTTCCAGGAAGCTACCGTATTCCACTTGCGATCCAATTTGCATGGGCTTTAATTCTGGTGAGCCTGTCCTTCTACATCACGAGGAAAAGTAAGCGAAACTGACTTGGAAAAAGGCCGGAGGCTTGCTCTGTCTTCCAGAAACGCCTCGTTTTCTGATCAAAAAAGGCAAAGATTCACAAGCTCTTAAATCCTTGGTTTTCCTACGTCGCTTGAGTGCGGATGACCCAGTCATTATCGCTGAGCTCGCGGAATTGAAGAGCAATTGGGAACACGAGCAGTCTCTTGGATCTGCATCATACATAGAATGCTTCAAGGGTACCACCGGTAAACGTACGATTACTGGAATCATACTCCAGTCTCTTCAGCAGCTTGTTGGTATCAATTTTATCATTTATTATGGTACGAGCTACTTTGCAGAAAACGTGGAAGGCCTGCCCGACTCTTTTATCTTGCAAGTCATCGTGAATTGTGTCAATGTTGTCATGACGCTCCCAGGTCTCTGGGCAATCGACAATTTTGGACGTCGCCCAGTGCTTTTGATTGGAGCAGTTGGCATGGGCATTTCTCAGTATATTGTCTCGGCCTGTGGCGCGGCGACTCCAATCTCAAATTTCACTTCGCAATGCGTTCAATTCGCCTTCATATGCATATACGTGTCTTTTTTTGGTAAGATAAACATTGCCATCATACAAGTCAAGTTTTCTAATGCCGAAAAAAGCTTCTACATTTGGTCCATGTGCTTGGGTTGTCACGGGAGAAATATTCTCGCTTCAAACTCGTGCAAAGGGTCTGTCCATGACCACAGCGGCCAATTGGTTCTTCAATTGGCTTCTTTCTTTCATCACGCCATACCTCACTGGAGCGCTTAATCCAACCCAGTCTAATGTTTTCTGGATCTGGGGTAGTTTCTGCTGGATTGCGTTGGTGTTTGTGTACACCATGGTTTATGAGACCAAGGGATTGGCCCTTGAGGAAGTCAATGAGCTCTATGAAAATGAGCCCAGAGCCTGGAGAAGTCTTGGCTACCGGAACCAGCTGCGCACAAACCCTATTTATGAGGACCATTACAACAAATCTATCGATGAAGATAACAAGGATGGGAATCCGAATGCCGAGGAGACGGAGAAGGTTTGATAAGCTCATCCATTCTCACATTTTTACTAGCATCGCACTACAAATTGGATTGTTTAAGGCTTTTGCCAACTCTCAGGCAAATGTAGGAACCAAATTCAGGCCAAAAAACCCCATTACGGGATCTATTCGGACTCAATTTCTCTTTCCTCCATCTCCGCAACTCCTCTCCTCATCTTCTCTATTTTGCACCCAGTGTCATATCCATTCTTCCAATCGCTACTCTTCCCCCATCCCACCGACAATGGTGCCTCTGATTTTAGCCTGACGTACTGGCCTTTTCTTAATAGCGATGCCGCTCGATCCGACACCAAGTTTGTAATGCATGTCATCTAGAAGCTTAGCCACTGGGGTGATTCGGGCTACATCGGCCTCCTGGCTATTTCGTGTCGGTACTCTTGCTTTTGTCCAAAGGCTCGCCGGCCTCCTTCGTATCTATAACGTGCCGGTATTCCTTCGATGCCGCATGTCTCGCTCCGTCCACCCCTTCAGATGTTACATTGCATAGTCCTGTCGTCGCAAAATGGCTCTCTGTTGCCCGGTCGCGAATAACGGGGCGCACAGTTGTCGTCATCGTCGGTCTCTCTAGATTCTGGGGCCTTCCCGCGCCGGGGGGGTTGGGCACGGGGGGCCTTCCGGGGCGCTGCCCGCTGGCACAGGCCGGCGGCGGAAAATACCGCAAATGCCTTTAAAATGCCTCATAGGCAATCTAGCTTCTGGTAGAATCAAGACTAAATCGATCTTATACTCCTATATGGGTACATATCAAGTGGTAACTACTATTAGTATATAAACATGATAGTTTGCTGCTGGACTCCCCTATTAATTCCACCTTACAATACGCGTGTCATTTTATTTTCATCGTCGGAGAGCCGCTAAAATGGTTCGGGCCATCCTAAGCTCAGTTGGTGCTCTTCTCATCAGCCTCGCGCAAACGGCAATTGTTCCTCTCCCTTCAAGCACCGGACCATGCGATGTCACGCTTCATGCAAGTGAACTAGTTGACGTGTCTCGAACCGATCCCTATTACCCAACGGGAGGTAAACGATCTATTATGGTCACCACCTTTACACCCATCAATTGCGGAAGTGTACCCTCTACATCTTACTTCCCGAATGCAACAGCCAGGTTAGAAGATGAGACTTACCAGTCTTTTGGACTACCCCCAGGTACATTCGAGTCCTTTCGTATCCAGACTCGGACACAGCAGCAGCCACCGCCTTTCAAACTTCACGGAGATTACCCAGTGGTGCTTTTCTCTCCGGCAGTGGCAACCTCAAGATTGATGTACACATTGCTGCTTCAAGAACTTGCCAGCAACGGATTTGCTGTTGTCTCCGTCGACCACCCGTATGATGCCGACATCATAGAATATCCCGATGGCCGCACTGTTCTCGGAATACCCATCACTACCACAACAGAATACATTTCAGCACTGGACGTTCGTGTTGAGGACATGTCATTTTTACTTGATCAAATGCACGACGAGAAAGTGATCAGAAACATATTCCCCTTGTCACAGGAAAATTCGCATCTACTTTCTCTTGATCGAGTAACTATCCTTGGCCATTCCCTCGGCGGAGCAACAGCAGCGCAGACAATACTAGTTGATAATCGGTTCGTCGGGGGTATCAATTTAGATGGTAAATTATGGGGGTCTGTCCTGGACAAAGGACTGTCGAGTCCATTCCTGCTTTTTGGTAACTCAAACCACACCCAGGCAACAGATCATAATTGGGCAACATTTTCGTCAAATTTACGAGGATGGAAACTTGAGCTACAACTCGCACAGTCTGAACACTACACTTTTTCTGACTTTCCAGTGCTTGTTGATGCTCTAGGTGTTTCGGATGAAGCTCGACAAATTATTCAAGCCAATAGTATTGGGACGATAGGTGGTTTGCGTGCTAAGGATGTGATTACTTCATACACCGTTGCGACACTGCAGTATTTTGCTTACGGGCACAAGTCAGAATTGCTGAGCGGCCCTTCTGTAGCATATCCTGATGTGAAATTTGTGTCTTCCTAACTCGTTAAATAATTGGTGAATATCTGAAATATTGACTCAATAGATGTGGATATCCGCACCCGCAATCCTGGTGCATTTGTAACATTGCTCGGCGAGAAGTTTGCTACAAAAAGTTGCCATAATATTCCATGTAGACCAATTCTTTTACCGAACTTAATTCGGACACTGATTCAAATCCTTCATACAGATATGCATAAAAAAGCGAAAGTGACATCAGGCCGCTATACCCCTGAGTATAAGGGTATTTCCAGCTTTCTTGCTGGTGGCGGATGAAATTGGCTGTTGGTGCTGTTTGTTTGACCTGTACGTCTACGAGCGTGCTGCCTCTTCGCTAGGTAACACACTTTGGTTCAGAGAGACAGAGAATAAAAAGGAATAAATTCCAATCACGGGAACAGTCCAGTCCCCAAGGATTTGACGATCACCCGCTCAGTAGGGGTGAGAGGAGATTTTGTTCATGTTTAGCATATGGAGATTTCTAGGGTAACTTCTCACCCCTTCTGTTCCACATTCACCTTTCTCACAAGAAATAGCACTTATGTTATTCGTGGTAATAATCTTACTATTGAGTACAATATATGCCGCTTTCCAGCGATATCTAGTACATACGACCATAGGGTGTGGAGAACAGGGCTTCCCGTCCGCTCAGCCGTACTTAAGCCACACGCCGGCAGGTTAGTAGTATGGTGGGTGACCACATGCGAATCCCTGCTGTTGTATGTTACTCTTCTTTTTGGTTTTTTGGATTGGTTGGGTTTAGTGTCTACCCTTCAGTCTGTTAAGCCCTTCACCTGAACGCCCTGTAGACCCCTGCATGGATGAAGTGGCCACTCGGCTAAACTTGCCCTGCTCCGTTGCTTTACTCTGGGTCACTGCTGACAGGTGTATAGTCCGGGCTTGGCTACCTTCACATCAAAAAACGCAGTGAAGCCCTTGTGAGTAATAGACGAATAGTTGGTAAAATGTGTGATCGATAGTCACTTCTTTCTTAGAGTCTCCCCCTTCACTCGCAAGCCGTGCAACCGCCAGGATAGACTTGCAGCCGCCTTTTCCTGAGGCAGCCTGTAAAACGTCGCATAGACTGCCACATATTTTGCCATCGTGAGATCTCGCCCGATGTCTCTATTGCCACAATTTGACCTCCGCAAGATAAGTCAAGCAGACTCTGGAAGGAAAAGACTGGCATTCGTCGGCTCGAAATGATCTTCAATGAGGAGGTGGCATTTTGCGAGAAAGTGGGCAAGATGAAGCTTTTTATCAGTGGCATGAATGACCGTCGCTAAATTAAGACAGTGATCTCAAATTTCTATCCCATGGAAAATTCGACGTTCGGTATCAAACTCTGATGAATAATTTTCAGTCCACAATTGTCCTGTACTCGTGAAAAATAGTAATGTTAGCGCTACGCCATAACGTGTTTCACAAGCGAGCCGGCCACCCCATGAAATGCAGGAAATATAACAGATTGTAACTTTAAATAGTTCAACAACCAGACATTATTTTTGATTTTACTTTATCATATGGGATTTTATTAAAATAAAGAGTTATTCTAGTTATTTTTTTTTTAAAAAAAAAATTAGATAATTATTAAACCTTGGAATAATATTATAAAAATATATAGTGTAGTGGGGGAATCTTTCTGGTGATATCAGATGACGTTGTAGGCCTCAGGCCTTGCTCCCATTTTGTATATAAGCCCTTGGTGATAGTTACCTTACCACCACCTACCGTTTGGGTCAATGTTATCGTTCCTTATTGTGGATTACGTGCGCTGGTAACGATAGAGCTTGGATACTCTGAATGTTCTATCTCTAGGGTTCTGCCTACTCTCTACGATATGTGTACTCTGTAGGTATGGTGTTGTCTCTCTTGCTTCTCTCCCTTTATCTGCAGTGCGTATACTGCTATCGAGCATTCCTATCTTTCAATAGGAATTTAAATGTCTTAAACGAAAATATATATGTTTCTATAGCCAAAACTTGAATATTCTTCAGATTTTAGACTTCAAATATTCCAAGGTTAGTTCCCAACACTATTTAGAGTATAGTCACTGGTTAAAGCCTCTTGAATAGAGATGGTTGTTCAGATATAAAGTTGTAATTTATCATATTTACTATGTGTTTTGGAGAGGCCGGCTCGTATGTGGCCAGCTCGCTTACGAAACACGTTAACTATCAGACAGTTACGGTGGAGCCTATTCTAGTTTAGTTTATCACCCTTCCGGTTTAGCACTGTTGGTCCCCTGCGTGGTATCTTATCGAGTGGCAGAATCCTGCCAGGTAGGTGGGCGGTAGGGTAGCCCAGGCATGGTGGTGCGGGTGTTGGTAGTAGTTAGTTAATTAGTTAATATAAGATGGGAATGCTCGATAGCAGTCTGCATACTGCAGACAAGGGAAGAGAAATAAGAGAGATAACACCACACCCGTAGAGTACACGTATTATAGAGAGTAGACAGGACCCTAGAGATAGAATATTCAGAGCATCCGAGCTCTGTCACTACCGGCGCACGTAATCCACAATAAGGAACGATAACATTAACCCAAACGGTAGGTGGTGGTAAGGTAACTATCACCAAGGGCTTATATACAAAATGGGAGCAAGGCCTGAGGCCTACAACGTCACCTGATATCACCAGAGCGATTCCCCCACTACATTAACTAGTATAAAATGGGAATGCTCGCTGGCAGTCTGTCAAGCAGACAGGTCGATCGCGAAGAGACAAAACCACTACACTTGCAGAGTACAGGAACAAGATAAGCAAAGCGTGACGCTATAGAGAGATAATCAAACGAGCAGTAACAGAACCTTTCATACGCAGTATATCGATACCGCAACCTTAGCAGCCTTAGTAGAACATTTTCATAAGGGGGAACATATATATTGTTATTAATAGTATCGAACGAACGCTACTTAATCTCACGAAACAAAACGGTAGCCTTGTTGCTAAGGCCTCCATCACATAACTACAGGATACCGATGTTGAGAGCGGGAATCCCCATTACACTAGTTAGTTACTACCACTGGTAATATAGTGTACAGCTGCGAGAATCATAAACATGGGAAATAGGTATAAGTGCAGTTGTCAAAAGATAACTACCAGGTAATACTACTTAGATCATAAATGACTAACTAGTACGGAGTAGACCCTAATGTAGTGCTCGGCTCCCCCAGGTGCTTGCCTGTAAAATACGGTATCGGTGTATCACCAGGTTACATGGGTCATTTAAGCTCCTTGGCGCCAAGACGATGGCTTGGTCCAAACTGTACTAGCTACTGTTAGTACAACAGTAAATAGTTATAAAGGAATCTAGTGCCCGCGCGAGTTAGCGGGCCTCGACTTTCCAAAATATTCTCAAGTGCAGACTTGAATTTATTTTTTTTCAGATTCCGCCATGTCACTGTCAAAGGCACTAGACAAGGTGCCCGCAGGAGTGCCACTCCCTTGGAAATTTCACCATGAAAACTGGGAGAAGCCATGGGAATCTCAGTCGGGAGACTTTCCACCACAGGAGACTGAGCGCGAGCATGGGCTGAGACGACGTGATATCAAAAGCAAGCTCCATAGGCCTAAAGGAGTAGCCAGTCAGCTTTTGCAAGAGCAAATCAATCGCTGGCCATGGGGATATACGATATATCGAACGGTCTTTACCCCGGAATCCGACAGTCACTGGGACACTGCCATGGACGCAATCCAAGGAAACATCTTTGCCACTCTTGAAAGAACGCTACGAGATGGACCGAAAGAGAACGAGGATGCACATCGAATCTTACGCGACGGATATCGCACCCTCGTGTTCCAAGATAAAACTACCCTCGATGGAGCCAGTATCGATCAAGTTCGGCAGCAATTCAAAGATTTTGTTACAAATGAGTTCTTTCCTGTTGGTGTGCGATTTCGCTGGTGTCTGGTCATAGATGCAGAAGCCATTCAGTCATTTTTGCGCTACCCTCAACCCGTTGAAGCTTCTGACTTATCGAAACCTGGTGCGATTGAGGAAAATGGTGCCTGGGTGACAGTTGTGGACCCTGAATATGAACCCAGCTCAACTTCTAGGGGCAGGGGTCGCTTATATCAGGGGTTTGTGCGGTGCCATCTCAACAGACTGCTGTCCCTTGCATGGGCAGGATCTATGAACCACATTTCTAAAATGAATCGCCGCGATGCAGATGGTGTTTTATGGTACGAAGAAAAGATTTAAGGGCCTAGGAGTTCCCAGAGAGGAAGAAGGAAGTGAGGAGCCGAATAGGAAATCTTGTCATGATAATCAGAAAAAGACATATGCGAAGTCGTTCACATTTACTGCACCGATAGAAAACCCTCCAACTTGAGGTTCTTAAAACTACTTAGTAACTATGCTTCAAATCTTGCAAGGACTCGGACTACGTCACGCACGATCCCATTTCCGCAATGATTATAGGAAACTCACTATTTCTCAATAGTGATTCAATATTCTATTACTAGTGTTGGACCAAGTCTTCTAGCAAAATTCGTTTTTTTTTAGTCCTGCCTACGTGCTATTAGTATTAGTATTAGTATGTCTTCATTGTTACAACTTGAAGGTGTGAAGTCTCAAGTATCACGTCAATAGACATTTGATTCTGTCCGGCTGCTATCTCACTATTCATGTTCTCTTCCTAAATTAAAGCATGCTTCTAGTAAACATCTTTTACATTGAGCTTAACCTTTTTGCTGATTTGGCCTCGAAGGTCCTTGATGATTCGGAGTACCTTAGCCCTTTGCTTGCTGTTTTTGTTCTTCCATGCATCTTCCATTTTCTTAAGTGCTTCGGTGAGCCAGTCTGTGGAATCACTGACCATGTCGTTCAAATGATTCTCGAACCACTCATCCCAGCAATCCAAGAGTTTGGCGCTCTTTCCCGTTGATTTATTGTATTCGTCTTGTGTGAGCTTAAGCTCCTGCCGAAGAAGCTTGTTCGTCGCCTTTAATCGTTTCCAGACCTCAGAGTCATTCAAATAACTGAATACAGAGATTGCCTGCAATAACTGTTATCAACCAGTTGCTGTCATATTAATTGGAAAATATAAATCATACCCGTTTAATGCCGGTCAATGCCTGTGACGGATTGATGTTTTTGATGGCAGAGGCCAATTTAGTCTTAGCCACAGGATCGGCACCGCGCCATATCTATCTCATAGTATTTCCCGATCAGCAAAGTTGAAATAGACGGGGCAAAAATCAGGAAAAGACGCATATTGTGTCAACTCACCGTCGCTTTCATTCCATTTAGACGCTTTTGTAACAAACGGAACTGCTGGTCGTTTCTTGAGCTGCCAAGTGTTTCCATGATTCTTTCAGCCGGCTTTCCTGGATTGTACCCGCCCGGAAGTGCAGTAGTTCCCCTCAAAACGTCCTGATTGAAGAAGCCGAGGAAAAAATTGCAATCTACTCCGCAGCGCGCTGTCTCCGCAGCCCACTTGAAGAATAGGGACATGCTTTGTAGCTCAATGATATGTTCCGCTTGGTTACGTTAATAATCTTCGAATGAATGAGAGATAGAGCCCGGGCTATTTGACCTACTATGGTAGTTTGACGTTGCCGTCAACGTAACTGTTCTCACACTTGTTTGTGTGTTGGTACAAGTCACATCTTGGTTATCAATAGCCTCACTTCGGATGGGATCATTGGTAGGCCATTGTCCACTGCTCGGAAATCCCTGGCGAAAAAATTCTACTTTTACCTGAAGTAAGCCATCATCACACAGGAAAGAATCTTTCTCTCTGGATGTTCGCTTATCCAGGATATGAAGTACGGCATTCTGGGCAATTGTCAGTCTAATTTGGTCTGAAATAGTAGTTTATTTCAAGAAACTTACTTTTTCGTCCCATTCCAAATGCCTTCGCGCAATGTCTGATGAGGTTTCCTCTATGGAATCTGCATCAAAGCCTTCCTCCGTGCACAATGAAGGATCATCTGTACAAGGGTCGTAATCGCATATAATATCAGTCCTACCACCATCAACAAGAACTTCGCTCCAAAGGTCTGGATCACATGTTATAGCGTTCGTTAGGTTGTAATACCCATATTGAACTACATAAGAATCGTGAGATGTGTTATCTGTGACGCCTTTACACATAGTCTCACACACAAGATTCGACCATCCCTTTTCCTTGACGTAATTGTTCCAAACTTCGCAAAGCGGGCCAACTTTAGCCAAGTTCGCAGCGGCGTAGGCAACGAACAGTTCTAGTAAGAAGGATCTCACTTGCTTTGAAGGTGGAAGCACAGACCGAACTGCCAAAGCCGTCGTCTCCACAGATCTCTTATTAGACCCTATCGCACAAGTCGGATTGCCTCCCCATGACTTTACGGCATCTTGAAATGTCAGAACATCATTTGAATACCGAGTTGTCTCAGTGTAATAAGCGGGCTCGCAACAAAGAGTCCGATAACCTCGATTATAACAGCCATGGTTACGGACATCCATAGCCACTTGAACTTTTCCATTCAAGCAGAAGCCGACACATTTCATGTCTTTTGAGAGGGCACCTTGATGTTGCTCCCACCCACAATTCTTCCATTTTCGGTTTTCCGTTTCGGTATTGCAGCAATATCTCTGTTCGCCGATTTGTCCCTTTGGCCAAACGGAGTCATCCCAACCACTATCATCTTGACACCAGTGCGCTCCACTGCCAGTGGCGGATCTTCCAAGCTCTGAGGTCATGGTACTTCCTTTATAAGAACAGGTACCAGTCTCACACAAAGGCCAGGCCCCCCAGTCGCACGTATCATAGAGAGCCATGGATGGGATCTCACTGGTGCAGCAAGCCGTTTGAGACGTATCAGCTCGGCAGCCCTTTCTAGTCGAACCAATTTCCTTCATATCACCAGGACATCCATCTTCACAGCGACCATTATTGAAGTCATACCAGCCACAGGTTGGCGATTTACCGGGTGGGCAGCACCATGAACGATAGCCTATACCTTCTCCGCACTCCGAAGAATCCATCATTGGCTCGCCGTCATAGTTCCTGAATTTATCATCACGTTCTATCATGTGCCAACCTGCTGGACACGGTAACCCGCAATTAGTCCAATGACAATGGTCGTGGTTCTCCTTTTCAGTGACATTCGAATTACCCATATCGAACTGCTTATCACCTATATACCCTGTGACCTTTCCCAGGGCCTTGGAGTAGTCTGCGTTTTTTGTATCGTGGCTCATTGCCCAGACCATCACTCCACCGAGACAACGTTTTCGTGCAAAGTTGGCTTTCAGCTTAAAGGTATCAGCGTCGTCGTATGAAACCCATTGGTTGTCCCAGGTATAGAGTTTGACTGCAGCATTCTTGTCTAGCGTCGGCTTGCCACCTTTGTCTTCACGGATCTGATCGATCTCGTTATTCAGCAGAACTCCAACTTCTCGACTGCACTCGCCCTTCAAACCGCCGGAAAAATACATACATCCCGGCTTGGTGCAAGCTGGGTTGATGGTATATGCACGACCGTAGAAAGCTAGGCCCATAACGACCATGTCCTTCTTGATGTCATTTCTCCAAAGTAGATCCAAGGCGAGGTCGATCTCTGTCAGGTTGGTGTGAGCATTGAGGTATTCGCCTGTCCATTTGTTGCCCATGTCCCAGGTTCCGTGGAGATCATATGACATGATATTGAAGAAGCTCACTGATTTAGCAAGAGCTTTAACGTCAAAGTGCTGAAGATACCAATATGATGCAGGTAGGGTGATTGAGATTCCATTTCGACCACCAGATTTATCAAGCTCTTTCCTCAAATTTGCCATGAACTTCGAAAAATTCTTGAAGTCCTCTGGACGCCCGTTGCGGTCAGTTGACTCAGGATATTCCCAATCGAGATCAATTCCATCAAACTCATAGGTCGCCATGAACGAAAGTAGTGATTTAATAAACTTTTTCTGGATACTCTCCGATCTAGCAATATCGGAGAAGACTGTTTGAGTAGGACCAGGATCATTGAAAGTCCAACCTCCGAGAGCAATGAAAACCTTCAAGTTTGGATCGCCTTTCTTCAGAGTGGTGACGCGGGTGTAGAGTTCGACATCGCGCTCATCTGCGGGCTTGACTTGGTAGGTTTCGGGATCGATTGTCGCAAAGGCAAAGTTGATGTGGCTGTAAACTCCACCAGGGATATTCTCAGGCCAGAACCGGTTGCATGGTCTCCGAGACGCCCAGCCTTCAAAGTATCCGACTACTCGCTCTAGCCGTCCACTTTCAGAGCAATGACCTCGATCAACAGTTTTGTTTCCGCACTACAATGCGACCTATTGTTAGAGAAAAAAAACCCCTTTAAGAATATCGCGTGAGATCCATGGGTGCTTGGTCGAGAACTTACAAATTCTTTTGTCACTCCACAAAATCCCTTAGAAACTTAGTATATGCAGATCGTTTCAATAAAGTACGACAAACTCACAAATTTTGAGCAGCAAACATTGAGAGGGCATTTCTTCGACGTCGCGTACTTCAACCCATAGTCTCCCGGGTCACATTCAGCTTTTGAATCGCAACCTGCCACACAATTCTCTTTGCCACAAAAGTCAGGCCCTAGACCACAAATTCCAAACTTATTACTATGTGGTTTTGATTTCGAATGTTAGATATTATACCACATTCTGCGAGACAGCTTTCATCTTACCAGCATCCCTCTGGACAGGGATTTGATGCATCACATCCAAGCTTGTAATCACAAGTATCGACACATCCAGCACCACAGTGCTCTTCAGTTGTTCCACAGAATCCATCTTTTGAACTGTAGTGATAGGAAAGACTACATTAGATAACCAAGTCTTCAGTTCAAAAATCAACAATAACTCACCAGCAGCCAGTAGCACATGGGCTTTCTTTGCTACATCCTTTTGCAACTACATTTCCGATCAGGATGCTGAAGACAAAGATAAGCAGGAGGCTCTTTAAGAGCCCCCAGCGTTTTCTTAACATATTTCCAATATCCCGGTGCCTATGCAGAGCACAGAAGCTTTTGTTGACAATGACTTGGATGCGATATACACAAAATAATTCCTATTAAAAACAATTCGGATCAAGAACAACATCCGCAATTTCATGACCAGAGAAAGATTTCCAGATAGCTAGACGGCCCCTGTCATCCTCCGGTCTTTCCGTCGGTGGATTCCTTCTTTCATCTAGTTTCGAGCTATTAACATGCGTCTCCGAAGCGAAATTCTGATTATGGAGTAGCGTGCTGAATTTTTTGCTTTCCGTGGAGTGGTATCGTACTAGAAGCGAAGAGGCGTGTTACATAGCTTTGAATGTTAGATGGCTATCCATATATTTCAATCGATCTAGTCCCTAGCTGGATACGCATGTTACATCGTTCTATTGTCTTATGAAACAAGACCAGGGTCTTCCGCCCCCGTTGAGCATCGGGCCCTAGTACTAGTAGGTATCGTTAGTATAGCCGAGCTGTAGCATGAGATTTTGGTTACTAGTAGTATATTTGATTCACTATTGAGATTCATGGGAAATTCACAAGTGAACAGGATGATCGGAAATTAGGTGGGACATTACTAGTCGTAGTACTTTGGATAGTTAACTAACGGATGTCCTTACCTAGTACCTGTTAGCTCCAAGCCACTCAACCATATACTACTACCAGTAGGCTGAAGCTGTGAGGAAAAATTGGCTCAAAATAAGGGTCTCACGCCCAGATTCAAAATCGCAATTTCCACCAATAGTTTGATGTCTTAGATGATTGGCAACGTTTCTCTCTTAGATGCATGCCAAGCAGCCGGATCGTTTCTAAGAGGCCGGATCAATGCCAAGGATACGGAGAAATTCAGGAACTGTACGGAGTACAAGTGGTTCATACTGACTAACTATTTCACACTACTGGAAAGAGGCAAACAATGGCTCGAGCTCCACAAGGCTATTATAGCCCAAGAAAATAAGACTAACTTGCAAAAGCGAGGCATGGGGCAACCACATATCGAAGAATGGACTAATAGTAATTACATCCTGCCAAGACCGTTCGCTTCGCCTCAACAATTTATGGCAATCGATAAGAATTACAACATGGAAATCTAGAAAGAGAAGGGGCCGGAGAAGAATTGAATCCACCAGAAGAGAAATAATAGACCCGGATATTACCGGATGCTGAAAGAGGATTGGTATGTTGCAGTCGATAGTGGTCAAAGTTCGCTTGGAAATAAAACCTACCTTTGACACACTTGGTCTTTTCTATCCAGCAATTCCTAGTACTCCAAAGGCTACCAGTCGTCACAATGAAGTGTTCCGCTCTTATTGTCGGGACAGCTCTTCAGGCACTGGCTGTCATAGCCCACCAGAGTCATGGGAGGCATTTGGGGCATGCCCACCTTCATGAACATTTCCATCGTGGAGTAGAAACCGTTTCAAGTACAGCGGCTGATCGCACTGAGTCGGCCTCTTCTCCAGTTAGCTCTCCTCGAGATGGACTGGGCGATGCCACGGAGATGGTAGCTCTTGCTTTGAAGAAGTTGTCAGTGGTGAACAAACAGCGTTACGAAAATATCACCTACAACAAATATGAGTTCGCCGACTCTGATCGCGTAGTTGGCCAGAAGGTTAACGCACCTCCGCTGGATTATGCATCTGGAGACACCCAGAGACCTCGTCCCAGTGGCGCGCATCAGAAACGCGATGAAGGTAACTCGAGCTCGATCGGCCAGGGTGCATATAGTATCCCTATTGAATTGGCACGAGCGGCTCGTATCCTGGCCGAGTCAAAGCCTCCCACTCCCTCGACTGGAGAGCATGAGGAATTGGCAAGAAAGGCGAGAATGAAGTACTTCTCGCCATCGAATGACACCAACACCCCGCAGCAGACATACAAACATTCTAGTGGACTATATGAGTATGCAACGCCATCGCTAGATAATATTTCTCTTGGAAATACTTTTAATACCGAAGAGGTTGGAAATTTATCCAAGAGAGCTTCGAGGTCAGGCTATTGGATGGCGAACCTGGAACAGCGAGGCCTTAGCCCTTATGCACCATCAGGTTATAAGGTGTTTCGAAACGTGAAGGACTATGGGGCAAAAGGTCAGCATACTATTTAGATTGTCTTCCCGTTTTTCCGAAGTCATTACTAAATAAAGAGAATATTAACAGGCGACGGAGTGACTGATGATACTGGTATGATACTTTTCATGAGTGGGCAAGAAATGCCAAATGAAATCAAAGAAAGCTAATGCTCAATTTCAATTTTAGCCGCAATCAACAAAGCCATTGCAGATGGCAACAGATGTGGTGCCGACTGCGGCTCTAGCACAATTTACCCAGCGGTTGTCTTCTTCCGCCGGGTACGTACCTTGTTAGCACTTCGATCATTCAGTATTATAACACCCAGTTTCTCGGAGATGTAAGTTCAAAACCTAAGAAATCCGCCTTCGCATGTCTCCAGTCTCATCAAAAATAGCCCGGGAATTACCCAACCATCTTAGCTGCAGGAAGTTTTGTCGGTTTAGGTGTTATTACATCAGATGTCTATGTGGGAGATCAAGAAGAGTGGTACGTAAAACTTTTACACCTGCAAGCCTCTTCAGTTGTTAAATCATTCTGTTCCGAATTGACGAGCGCTCTAACTTTGATGGTAGGTATATCAATACGAATAATTTCCTCCGTAGTGTGAGGAACTTTAAAGTCGATATCACACGTACTGATCCCAGTGCCTACGTCTGTGCTATTCATTGGCAAGTTGCACAGGGCACGTCCCTTGAGAACATTGAGTTTTACATGTCTCAAGCAACAGGAAACACGCAACAAGTAGGTCTCATTTTGGGTTTTACTCAAAGTTCCCTTACTCATGTCTTTTGAAAGGGAATCTATATGGAAAATGGGAGCGGTGGATTCATGGCGAATTTAACATTCGTTGGTGGTAATTTTGGGTATGTCTCCTACCTCCTGCCTGGGCCGGAATATGAAGGGATCCGACTCTGAAATTAGAGGCAGTGCATATCTAGGCAATCAGCAGTTCACGACCAGTCAGCTAGTATTTGTTCAGTGCAAGACTGCCATGCAAATTCATTGGGATTGGGCGTGGACCATGCAGGATGTTGTTATCGAAAGCTGTGGAACTGGTATTACCATCACAGGCGGGGTGAGTCTACAATTACCCAAAAGTACTCTTATCCCTATTATACTCGAATCTAATGACAAATTCAAACTAGGCTGGAGGCCCAACGTCCACTGGTCAGGGCGTGGGATCATTTATTCTCGTCGATGCTATCATTGCCAACACGCCTACTGGTATTGTAACATCGCTTTACGGCGAGAACTCCACGGCATTTCTGCTGCAAAATGTCGGTTTCTTTAACGTGAAGAGTGCTATTTTGGCAGAGAAAGCCTCAGAAATAATTCTTGCAGGAGGCAATGAGGTCCTGCTTGACGCATGGGGCTTCGGCCTCTACGTCAACTCCAGTGGAATCCATTTCGCTCAAGAATCCGAGTTTCCCACTATGACGCGTGAAGAAAGTCTCGTCGGAGAAAACAAATATGTGAAAGCAAACTTGTTTACCCGTCGGAGGCCGCAATACTACGACTTGGGACAGAGCCAGGTTTTCGATGTGAAAGCTTACGGTGCCAAAGGTGACGGTGTCACTGATGATACTGCTGCTTTGAACGGTGTTCTCTCTATAGCGGCCAATCTCTCCTCCATCGTGTTCATTCCGCATGGCATATACGTCATCAAGGACACCTTGAAGATTCCAAAGGGGTCCCGTGTCATTGGCCAGGCATGGTCGCAAATAATGGCTAGCGGGGAAAAGTTCCATGACGCTGAAACCCCTCATGTGGCCGTTAAGGTTGGTGATCCTGGGGATTTGGGTATTATGGAGATCCAGGACCTACTTTTCACGGTTTCTGGGCCGACCGCCGGCGCCGTACTATTGGAATGGAACATCCATGAGTCCACTAAAGGCTCAGTAGGCCTGTGGGGTAAGTTGGAAACTTGCACTCTTTAACTCTGATATTTCCTTAACAACTTCTTTACCAGATTCACATTTCCGTGTTGGTGGTGCCAAAGGCTCTAAGCTCCAAGCTGCTAATTGTCCCAAAAAGTCCGGTCACGTGAAAAAGGACTGCATTGCAGCTTCACTTCTAATGCACATTACTCCTAAAGCATCTGCGTACATGGAAAATATCTGGGCTTGGACAGCCGATCATGATCTTGACATTTCCTCACAGGACCAACTTGATGTCTATTCTGCCCGAGGTATTCTGGTCGAGAGTTCGGGTCCCAGCTGGCTATATGGAACTGCATCCGAGCACAATGTGCTTTACCAATATCAGATTTCCAATGCAAAGAATCTGGTTATGGGAATGCTACAAACTGAGTCGCCTTACTTCCAGCCCATTCCCAAAGCCCCTGCTCCCTTCTCGATCGGCACCTTCCCAAGTGACCCTAATTTTGAAGATTGCCGCGATGATTCTTCGATATGTGCTGTGTCCTGGGCTGTTCGCGTGGTTGATTCTTCTTCGGTGTACTTGCTGGGATCTGGTAAGTACTAGTATATTCCCACAGTCCTTCGCTTCACATAGACCTATCTTGCTACTACTATCAATTTTTATATTGGCAGCTCTAATAATATTATACAGGAATGTACAGTTGGTTCTCGGACTATTCTCAAGACTGCCTCAATACGGAGAGCTGCCAACAGCGCGTATTTTATATTGAACAAAGCAGTGATGTTTGGATCTTCAACCTGGTTACTAAAGGAGTTCAAGAGAGCATTAGCCCACATGATAGTGTCCCTTTGTGGTCAAGGGATGTCAAAAACGGATACACTTCCTCTTTGCTGGGATGGTATCGAAAGCCAACTGACACCGTGGGACAACGAAACTTCACAGGATACTACCTTTACTCGAGCCCAGAGGATGATGGTTTGCTTGAAGGGTTGTCCTCTGCATGCCAAACTGCAATGACCAGATTGATCAATTGTCCGGATGAGACCTATTCTTTCCTCGAGCGAAGCTGGCCAAGGTCGTATACAAACAAAACTATCGCCAAAATGGTCTGTAGTACGGAATGCGAGAAGTCGATGCAGACTTGGTATGAGGATGTTACCCATCACTGCTCAGAATTCGATACTAAAGAGGACGTCATGAACTTCCGCGGTGGCGTTCTGTGGGCTGGTTGGAACCAGACATGTCTCCAAGACCCTGAAAGTGGCAAGTATTGCAGTGGTGAGTCAACCACCTTCTCTGCAACTCTTCATTGCCGGGGCAGAGAATGATCCTAACATTTCGTCTCATCATAGATGTGGTTGAGGCATTCCCAGCGGTCAGGTTTGCAGAAGATATGGCCAAGCAGGATTTGTGCTCCTACTGCCATACAAAAATTCTCACAATGGCACAATCCTCCCCATACTCGTTCTACGATGAAAGCTATCGGAAAGTCCTAAAACTCGTGAAGGAAAAGTGCAGTTTGAGCGGAGATACCGATATTGCACCACCAGTTGAAGATCACACTGAAGAGCCAAATGACTTTTGTGGGTCTGATGTCACCTACACCACCGTTGAGGGAGACACTTGTGATTCCATCGCCAAGAAGCATTTGGTTTCTTCAGCGGCCCTCTTCATCGGAACCGAAGAGATTATCAGCTGTGACCACATTAAAGCAGGCCTCGATATCTGCCTGCCATTTTCGTGTGATAATGTCTTCACATATCCTGCCAACTCCACATGTCGCACCATTGAAGATGATTTTGACATGGATAGTGGCACATTGCGCCGTTTGAATCCCTGGATTAATGGTGGATGTACCAATCTTCAGGACTGGGCTGTCAACTACGGACGTGTTCTCTGCGTATCACCACAAGCAGGTACCCATACTCATTTGACTCCTCCACCTGGTGTCACTTCGTTGCCCGGGTCTAGCACTGGCTACACCGAACAAACCGTGGCACCGCCTGAAAATAGCACGGTGGCAGCTGGCACTACATTAAAATGTGGACGCTGGCATACAGTCATTAAGTATGATGAGAGCTGCACAGCAATCTGTGTACAAGGTGGTATTGAATTTTCGCTGTTTTTGGCTGTAAACCCATCTCTATCGGCAGATTCCTGCACCTCGGATCTACATATTGGAAATGCATATTGCACAGGCCCAACGCAGGGCTGGGGTGTTACTGATTCTAACTCGACAGTAACGACTACAACTACAGCTACCTTTGCTTAATCTGAGACTGGCAGACCCTGCCCTGGGGCTCCTTTTAAAGATAGGATTTGGAAGCACTGGGATGTGCAAAACAAGAATGAATTGGCTGTATACACCTGATAGCTTAATTCTAACTGTAGTTTCTTGATTAACTGATTTACCACTATATTAAGTATTGTAATGGGGATTTCCGCTCTCAACATCGGTGCCCTAGGGTCATGTGACAGAAGCCTTAGCAACAAGGCCCCTGCTTTGTTTCTAGAGAATAAGTAGCGTTCGTTCTAGATCATGAATTCAACATGGATGTTCCCCCTTATGAAATGTTCTACTGAGGCTGCTGAGGTTGCGGTATCGGTATACTGCTTATGAAAGGTTCTGTTATTCGCTCTGGTGTTCGTTCTGTTGATTCTCTATAGCGTCACGCTTGCCTATCGTCTCCTTGCACTCTGCGAGTGTGGTGGTGTTGTCTCTTCGCAATCGACCCGTCTGCCAACGCAGACAGCCTACGAGCATTCCCATCTTACAGTATCTTATTATTAGACGTATTATCAGTTGTTACCACTAATATACAGTAAATAATCTAGTACTATCGTAGAATCCAAATGACAACTTCACCAAGATTAATGCCAGCATAAGTACCAGAAATTAGCTTAAATCCAAGGAGTACCTTGTAATACTCCTATTCCTAGTCTACAAAATATCCTGTGATAGCTATAAATATATACTTAAATAGTAAAGTCTAACAGTTAAGAATAATCAATATCTTCATATTAGGTAAAAGCTATTTTAGTATCTCTTGTTAAGACTCTCTAACAAACTCTCAGAGATACTTACGAATAACCTTTCTTAATAGGACACTTGGTAGCATAGGTACTAGTTGGGTATAGGAGATAAGGTTATAGAATTCTTAGTACTCAACGAAGAGAAAGAGTAAATACGTTACAGTAATTAGGTTAAGAAGCTTCTACTCCTACATTTCTTAGGTAAAGATAGATACTGGTCTTCTCTCAGCCTAAGATATAGTAAATTAAGGATTAGTATTAATATCCAACAAAAGACCTAGGTAAATATACCATATTACTAAGTAGCTGATAGACACTACTAGTTTCTTAGAGTACCTGCTTTAGTAATCATTATCTATACCTTAGGCCATCAAGATACTTCTGTATTATCAATATCCCTGTATAATTTATAGCTAGATACACGAGAACTATACGGCAATATTTATATATAACGCCTAGCTTTCTATCTTTAGTGTTCACAACTTATTGAAACCTTTCCCAGTAATCTATACAATATTAAGTAGGACTTATATCCTAGTTAAGATTCTGCTTCAACCTACTATAGCCAGTTTTAAGCTACTAATCTACAAACTCCTTTATTATTTCTGGTATACAGACAATGATCTTATTGATACGGTTGGGTTTAATTCGTAAAAGGGTATCTGGGGTAAGTAGTATAGTATATGACTGAGAGTCTAGAAGGTCAGGAACTAATCTAAACTAGCTCTCAGATTAGTATTGGCTCTGGCTCTGGTTTTTACGTTAAGATAGAGAGTCTTCAGGGAGGAGAAAGTATAGCACGTCAATTGGCACCCCGTCTTAACTATCGAAGTTAGACGATAGATAGAGGTCTAAGAGCTAAGATATAGTAGATTCAGTTAGCTAGATACTAGAGAAGAAGAGGATAAGAAACTTACTGATTACTTTACACAAAAAGATATACAGTCTTCTAGAGCCTCTGTTTGACCCTATTCTAGATACTAGAATTAATCTATCGTCTTTTGTATTCACATAGATAGATTCTATTGGCTAGCTTAGTGGATGATCCTTATACTAACCCTCACCGCACCTCAGTACACCTCACCGTACCTCAAGGGTAAACCTAAATAAACCTCACTACACCTCAATACACCTCACCACACCTCAGAGATAAACCTGAATAAACCTTACTGCACCTCAAAGTAACCCTCAGGTTAAGAAAATAGTATAATTAGAACAGCTAAGTCTAATATTAGGAACTTTGAACTTGATTTACAGCGTATCTGTGCCAGTTATTCTTGATTCTTTAAAACAGAATGATAGAAGAAAAATTAACGGTTCAAATGATATTAAAATAAGGTGACTTTAACGACATCTTAAGGTTTACTTTATAAAATTATAGTTCTACCCATAAAGATACATATGCTATACAATGTATTCCATAGATACTAACAACTTTACATACTGTTTTGTCGATAACCCTTATTGACCACTTCCAACGTCGAAATCATTAGATAACACTAAGGATTCACAGGTAACAATGTGTACTGTTTACTTTTACATAAGTATTTATTCATAGTTCCTCATATTGATAGAGTATTCAATAATATGGTTTCACGCTGACGGAACAGATGTAAAAAACAGAGATGGATCATATATTTTATCCACCCAAAAGGGGTAAGGCGACAAAAATTTCTTGTAATGCATTCTTACCTTGAAGCCCTTTCTCATCAGCAATTTTCCAAATGAGGTGGAAGGGAAAGTCTTCGAACAGAGCATCATTTCTGCGTCCATCCCCACGGAAAGCATAATAAGCAGGATTGAAGGGATTTTCTCGGTGTCTCCAATCAAGGGCTGACTAAGTCATATAGCCTCCAACCTTTAGCAGGTCTGAACAGATATCAATTGTTGTCTGCTGATTATGCAGGTTGCGGAGTCTACCGCCAAATTTTTGGATCATACTATCAGCGGCAGTCTCTCCTCTATTATTGATACGGTCGGGAGATAGCCCTGCCTGTAAATTGCTGTTGCTAAATGAACGCCAGGTAAGCCGCGAATATGAGACCCACTGAGAACTGTAACGTTGCCAGCTTGTCACTATCTGTAGTTATGGTTAGTGCAAATTCAGGGACTTACAGAGAGAGAGAGAGAGAGAGTGTGTGTGTGTGTGAAATCATTTACCCTGTCCCCTCGCGAGTTCCCAGGCTACATGACGTATAGATACAGTAGTGGCAGCCTATTAGGCTGCCATCATCACTCTAGGCAGAAGGAAGCTACTGGGACTACAAATAGCTGCGCCTGGTTGCATAGTTAGAGAATAATCATCATACTTGTATCTCAATCCAGTGTCTCAACTTCGCGAACGATATGCAGGATACGACAACTATATATCTTGGGTTATGTACAAGTAGAGTGATCCACTTCCTGACAGTATCTTAGAGCCTCGTCAAGGCCTACCGTGGCCCATTGCCATCCCTATTGTTAGGCTGTCCCTATGACGCACGACTACGAAACCTCTGTGACACCTCGGCGAAGTCCAGTACAGCTCGTAGTGTCTTGGCTCGCGAGACGGTGTCTGGTTTACCTTTGTCACCTTTATTTGAGCCTCCTAGCAGACGCGATACACTTTTGAGCGCGTCCTCAACTTGTCTTCTTAATTCCGCTCGCGGCTCTCGTAGTCTCGGGTATTCCATCAAAACGTGGCGGACTGTCTTCTGCGTGCCGCACTCGCACTGATCATCATCACTGTAGCTAATCTTCTTTCGATAGCTAGATAGCCAGTTGTAGCCCATGCGTAGCTGTGTCAGCAAGTATGCGCGGTTCCTGAGTAAATTCCTATAGAGTTTTCTGGTGTACCGCGCTGGTAGTGTGTCGTTAATCTTCCGTAGGTGTGAGCCCTTGGTGCTTAACTTCTATTCTTGTCCCCACTGAGCATGAATCTTATTACGGATATACGCGTTCTCCCTTGACAGTAGCGGCCGAAAAGGATAGGTTTTGCCCGGTTGTACTGGTTGTACTGCTTCCTTAGCGAGTCGATCCGCCGCATCGCTACCGGTGTTTTCATAATGCCCTGGCACCCACTGGAGGCGGAGCAATATAGATTCTGCTTAGACCTTGGTGGCTGTATAGAGGGTTGTCTGGATGATTCGCTGGCCCGATTTATTTTTCGCGTTTTGGATTGCCTGTAGGGCTGATTTGCTATTACAGAGAATAGTGGCGGTTGTGTGCCTACTGTCTCTGATGATCGGACGTTGGTGAGCTAACTTAAACACCATGTTGACCGTGTAGAAGATGCCAATGAGTTCCGCTACATGAACCGACCAACAATCCATCGGTCCTACCTGGATTTGTTGAGACTCTATCACCTCATCATCATCATTGAGTGTGACGATGGCAGCCCCCAGATGACCCTCGCGACCGGAGGCATCCGAGTAGACGATAATATTCGATGTTTTCCTCGCAATCTCTGCTCGTTCTCTCGCTGTTTCCCGGTCGTGTTCGAGCTCGATCTCCGCAAAGGCGTCCGACCGCCATGGGGGCAACGGACAAGGGCCAAAAGACATTAAGTAGCTTCGACAGGCCTACTTGTATAGACCACTACCCCAGTTTTTTCACCCTATAATGAGGCTTCTGGACTCTTGAGGTTCACCAGGCCTCTCACCCTGGGTATCTCTTAGTTTGCTCCTTAAGCATACATCATAGGCAGGCCAACTAGGACGACACCGCTTTAACCGAACGAGGTTAGTCTCAGGCCCCCAGTGCGAGTAAGGTAATTGACTTCCGTCTGTTTCTACACCGATACGCGCATCGGTCCTCTCAGGCTATACAGACAGTCTCTTGACAAGGGCCCACCCCTGCCACAGTGGCTACCATTGTACACCACGCCCCGCGAAAGCTTATGCTCTCGTTTCGCGTTACCTAGGGAGGTCTCCCTCTACTAGGTCGACCGTGTCTTGCAGAGAGCCCTCGTATACACTCCAGCCGGCAGTGTATGTCGATCGCTCCCTACTAACCAAGCTTGGTCCCCAGCGACTAAACAGGGCCGATGATTTACCCGTGGCACAGCCTTAACGAGCTTCATCAGTTACCATCAGCCAACCACCAATATCTTCCAGATTGCCCATGTATCTCCTAAGAGGGTTGCCCGTGTCTCGGCGGTGCCCGTGTCTCGCAGAACAGCCGCGCTAGAGCTTACCCGTAGCTTCGCCTTAATGAGGTCTCCAGCGAACGACGTCTCCGAGTCTTAACGAGTTCGAGTCTTAACGAGGCCTCTGGGCCTTGAACGAGGTCTGTCTGATATTAGCTTGACTGCCTACGTCGCTGGTTCACTACCGCCTCGCCGCATCTCGCACGATACGATCCCAGACCGTATACAAGCTCAGGGGTGTCCTGTCTTCTTCCTAGGGCGACACCACTTCGACTGGTAATGCAAGACCAGCGTCTGGGCCCGAGTGCGAGTCGGGTAAGAAGAAGTCGGATGGTTTTCATATCCCGTTTTCCCCTGATTTTGGTGTGGTTTTATGGTCGTGCCCCACACACAGCGCGCCGGGCCGGACCGCACAACCACGACAGATTCACTTTGGTCTCCCGCAACGGGGATTAACACCGGACACCACGAGAAGGTATGAATCCATTGTCCCAACAGCCTGGCGAGGACTGTCGCCCAGTGCGAGCTCACTGGGGGCGGGACTTACAGAGAAGTGCAAATCCAGCTTCACCAATTTGGACTCTTTTCTTATTTCTTGGCCCGCTGCCAAGACGCTAGCTAGAGAAATGGGTGCATCTAAATTGACCATTTGACATTACGTCATGGGCATTCTGAATTTCACCTTGGGTCTACTGTCCGTGATATTTCAAGTCAAACTTCCTATTGATGGATGTTTCAATAATGTACCGAAAGACTGGCTAATTGAGGCCTCGAATAATGGGTAGCTACCTCCGTAAACAACATAGATCCATATTTGGGCTGATCTTTCCATCATTAAGGATTATAAGCCTTATACACTTGCAACGCACCCTCAATACTTTGTATCAAACCAAACAAGACCGTCAAACCAATGGCGACCCAGAGTGGATACCACTGGCTAATATCACGCCTATCATTCCACCATTGTGCAAAGGTGGATGGCCGAGATTTATCGAATTCTATTTTGAGCTCAATGAGCCGGTCGTGCCAATATTTGTAGTGTCTGATATGTCTTTCCGCTTTTCCGCAGTGCAGTAATTTACCGTCTAGCTCCTCCGGTCCGTGCTGCCTTTTAAGCCTTTTAAACCACTTCTTTGTCCGTTTATCCCCTTGTGGAAATAAAAGGGCCAAGGTTCCCATTGTCTCATCAACAAGGTGATTTGGAAAAATTCGGTCTCTGTAAGATACATATCACCACATAAGTTAGAGGATTTGTGGTACCAAAACTTTCGTTACACTCACTCTCTATGGGATTCCAAAAAGGATGCGTGGTGGAAAATCTCCACCCTCCTGTCAATAATTCGAAGATGGTCGTAAAGGTTCGAGGTAGGTACTACCTGAAAACCTGCAATCTGATCAATATTGCAGATCTTAAACTCCATACCCAGTTTGATTCCATCGTCTTCGATATAACAAGCCTCCGGAAATTTCGCCCGCATGAAGTCCTGCAAGAAACCATCATTCCAGATCAACCTTTCCCTTCCATAATGGGCATTTGCAAGTCCTCCAACATCAATCATATAGAGGACACGGACTGTCAGGTCTATAGATGCATTGATAGCCTTATTTGAAGGTGGGTCGCTGGTCCATTTACATTGCTGTATAAAATTCCTCACCTCGGACCATGAGTCTCCCTTTTGTATGCAAGCAGCAACTTCCACGAGATGCTCATGCGTCCTCATTTCAAGGCTGCTCTCGCGGGACTCCACTGCTCTTCTGCACTGTTCGCTGTAATATTGCAAATATGGGCGAAAAGATCGCTTCGGGTATCTGTCGACGATGCCCCATAAATGGGAAATTATTTTCTCCTGAAGGGGTGAGGGCATTGGTGATTCGACAAATGAAACATCTAGCGAAACAGTATTTGCGGGCGAAGGTAGATTTTGTAAGTGAAGCATTTTGTGGGGCTTTTCGTTCTATCTGAAATCCCCTACTGGACTTACCTGTTCGACACTCTTATAAGTACACTATCCATCAGGCGGTGTGACGAGAGTGATATGTCATGCGTTGGCAGCACAGCCTCTGACGCCACGTAGCATCGAGGCATACTAGACTTGTTGTTGAGATTGAGATCGGGGGTTCGTATTTGCGTTTTCTCTTCACCGCATACTTCCCTGTCCTTTCACGACTTCTTCTTCATGCATATCCTAGCTAGGTTCATTTACGAACACAGAGTGGACGCTTATTTTCCCTTGATCAGTACTATTTGAATGCGATATCATCTCGAGCGAGCTCAGTTCCTATCCGAACCTTTTTCAGAGCCATCATGGGATTTCCGGGGCGCCGTCCTTCGTTTCCATTTTTCAGTAAATCGAAGCCCGATTGGCCCGAATCACAAATTTCCATTGGAAGACACTGCGGCATGAGAGGCGACTATCATTGTTGGCAGGCCGAGGGGCCTGCTAAAAAAGTCTTCGAGGAAATCAGCGCACGAATTCTGGAAGTACTCGATAACTCTGTGGGTCCAGTCCCAAGTCCTAGCTTAGTTCTGTTCGATATGTTCATGATCGGAAAAGCGCCCGACACCGCAATTCCCCACATAATGTTCTCGTGCAGCTAGGAAGAGCCTCGAAAAGCAGCAGTCGAAGCAATCAAACAGTCCGATATTCTCAGTAATTGCCCGAGCGGAATCCTCCTTGGCCATTGGAAACATCCTCCTCATCTCAAGATCGTGCGATTGCTGATGCTTTCCCCGCGGTCCTTGGGCTGCAAATTCAACATCGAAACCGAACCTACTTCCTCCTCGAGTGGTAGAACTCCCTTCATAATGTTCAACAACAACCCACTCCGTGGTCGCGGCTCTAAATCCCCGAGTCCAATGAATCTACCAAGCAAGAGCCGTCCCAATACTCTGAGCAAGGTCGATCATGGGCGACAAACTGTGAACTCCGCCCAAGCATTGCAGCTGGTGCTACGAAATACCTATACGACCTCTGGGCATCCTCGGGTGGCAACCATCGGAGCCAGGGTCATGATATCTGGCAAAAGTTTCTACTTTGTGCCAGCACATATATCCTATCCAGAAGAATACATTCGAACCGAATCGAATTCAACGGTTGATTTGGAGTCAAATGATGACGAATACTTTTTTGAAGGTTTTGATGGTGCGAACGAAGGCCCACCAGATACTCGTGAGGCTGACCTTATGAGCCGGTATAGCTTGACTCCTGGCTCAAGCAGCCAAGAGACAGAGTGGGGTCTGAGTCAAGCCGATGCAGCATCAGAATCCAAATCTGATGGTCTCACACCCCGGTCGAAAGACATTAGAGAAATGGATGTTATTCATCGTCAACCCATTCAAGGAGTGCCCCCTCTTGGTAGTCGCGAGTCATCTTCATTGGTTCATTCTTTCCGAGCAGGGGTAGAATTCGCCTACTTAAAATCAAAAACTTTGGATTACTCGTTGATAGAGATTGAAAATATCGACGAGTCTTCATTGTTACTTCCTGTTTTCTCTCTTGAAAACATCACTCGTCTGAATTCCGACTCAGTCAATGTCATCTCAGCAACAGGCTCAGGGAGTATTCTTAGTGGTGTTTTGTCCAATCGGCGTTCTTTCATTCGACTTCCGAACTCTACCAAATACAGCGAGTCTCTTCAAGTTCAATTTAAAGGTTTCCTTCAGCAAGGTGACTCGGGCTCGCTGGTCCGAGACGCAGAGACAGGAATGATATACGGTCACATCGCTGCAGGTGACACAGAATCCCAAACTGCAATTATTATTCCAGCTTTCGATGTTTTCGGCGACATGGCGGAAAAGTCCAAGCATGGTTTCATTCCGCCGCTGCCAGAAACACACGACGTATCAGAGTTCTCTATATTGCGCCCATCATCCTTTATTCTGAGAGAGAATCAAAATTTCGTTCCTGAACCGATGGCTCCGAACAGTGATCCGAGCACTACAACCTATGTTCCTTCTCTGACCGACCTGACGGACTCATCGAGCCCAACATTCCAGCACGGGTACTCGCGACATGAAGGTGGATTCTTGCCCGGGTTGAATTCGGGCATTCAATTCCTGCAGACCCCGACATCCAGCTACCATAGCCGCCAGTCGGTTGACCCAACGCAGTTTTCCAGCCAACGAATCCCCTCAACTCCTTCCTCACAGCCAGCCGGATTAGATCCAAATATTCAATCTACTGAAAGCCAGAGCTTCGCATGTAAATGGGAGGGCTGTAGATACGCGAGGAATTTCTCTTCGAAATCTACCTTATGGCGACATATCCAGTCACAGCATGTTTCGCCGTCCGAATTTGAATGCAAGTACTGCGACAAGAGGCTTAGTCGCAGGGACAAGATGCAACAACATATGAGGTTGGCACACGGCTAGGGCAAACGGTATCCAGAGGATATGGTAAGCGGTGGTAGCAGCTTAACAGTCTCCATACTCAACCAAATGGCCAGGACGCAGGAAGATACTCGAGACATTTGATTTAATTCATAAGCGACCAACACAGCCCATTTCGAAATCACATTATACTGTCTTCAATCTCATCATCATCACTACAACCCGTCCCATAGATACGATGGCACAGGCTTCCTTCCCACTCAGCATACTCTTGCCTTAGGGCTCACTGTCGAGTCGGACTTTGCACCCCCAATGAGGTTCATTTCCATTCTGTATAGTAAACTTCTAACTAGTATTTCCCATTTTAAGCTCGGAAAACTCAGCCCCATTGCCTGTTTTTGCAGGTTAAAAGGAGAGGAGACCATCATAGAACGAGGAGGCGTGCATGCCTACAATTATCTGCTGGGCGTGAAGTAGTGACTACAATGCCTCGTTTGTGTCTTGAGTATATTAAGCACATTGTTATTCTGAAAATACGTGGCCAAGTGAAAAAAAAAATGCTTACCATGACAATAAGAATATTTTTCATGGATTCTCCTTAATGGTATACAAACAGGTAGGCTACAAAATATGTTCCTGAAATCCTGAGGATATAGCAATTATTTTGAGAGTATATTCAACAATATTTTATGGAGATTAGTGGCGTTGTATATAAGAGAGCACTTGAACTTGACAAGGTGTCTAGGTTTGCCAGTAAGATAGATATATTTTCAACAACTCATACTGATCCAAATGTAAAAATCAAATTAGCCACAACCATGACCGGTTCTATGTGGATGAATATAACCCATCAGAATTACCAGATTTTCTTAATATGAATACAATTGAAATTTTTGATTATTTCTATGTAGAGTATGGTAAAGACGCACTGCGTACCACTCAAATCAAAACGTGGTAAAATACACATAAAAACCAGGAGCTAATCAGCTGCATAACTATCACCTGACTACCTTGAACAGGGTCAATAGGCGAAGTTTATGCTAGTGCGGATAGTTGTTGGATATCGTAGGATATCCGCAAAACGATAACGATCATAGATCGATATCCAACTATCCGCTCCAGCGGATAACGATATGCCGCAGTCTAAGCTGAAATCCACCTGCCCCAGGGTGAGTTCGGTTCGAATCCCCCGCTCCGTCAATTTGCGGATCAAGTCCAGGCATCCTGCCAGATTGACTTGGCCTGAGGGCATGCGCGGTCGGCGGAGCGCTTTCAGTGCCGCTTCGCTGTCTGCAAAGATGACCAGGCCATTCTTCGCCTATCTAGCCCAGGGCTCGGTACTGCTCAGAATTTACTAGAGTACCACCTCTATGGTACGTAGCTCCGCAGCATACACGGCTGACGTGTTGTCGATATGGGCGACGTGCTATTCAAGATCAATCATTGCAGCGGCTCTGTACCCCGTCCTCCTCGGGATCTAAATCAGCCTGTAGCTCACTATGGACTGATTGCATCCGCCAATCAAGTGGTGAAAGACAGTCAGTTACGGGATCAGATAAGTCATGAACTGGGTGCATATTGCGTGGAGATGGAAACTGCGGGACTAATGAATAATTTTCCATGTCTGGTTATTCATGGAATCTGCGACTATGCCAACTCGCATAAGAATAAGGAATGGCAGGATTATGCCGCTGCCACTGCTGCGGCATATGCCAAAGAGCTTCTTTTAGTGACCTCAATTACTCATACACTAGCGGTGCATTATCCTCTATCCGATCCTGGTATGCGTATCTCATATACATTATCTGTTGAGCAAAGTATAATACTCTTATACAGGGGCGAAAAAGTCGTCAAACATAATCATTCATTCCCAACCCAACCACCAGTGGTGATCAACCAAAGTGAGCTAGGCGGAATCTACCTTGGCATGATCAGTGGTGAAGAGATAATCCCAAGGCGGTCATATGGGGACTTAGACCCTGAAGGCCCTGCTCAGAGAAAGCAGTGGATACGTGATGCGTGCGGCCTGTTCGTCCGCATAATTGACTCACGTGTCCACCTCATCCATCATACAGCGAGGGAGTTTCTACTGCAACAAACAAATACAAGAGCTGTACCGGGAAGATGGATGCCCTCCTGAAGAAGGACGTCAATGTAAAGAAAAACTGTTCCCAGTTGGATCTCCTACCATAATACGTGGCCTGTGTGCCTTGTCGTCGGTATCATGATCTGCGAGGAAGTTGAGCTTTCTATGGAAGGGGCAGATTCCCGCACATATGAAGGCAATGCTGAACTCCCAATCGGCCAGATAACTCTCGCTGCTGGTGTTCCCAACCCAGTGGGCAATCTCTTTGACCCACATGCTAATCTAAGCTCGACCACGCGAAGGGTAACCGTGTTCAAGGCCAGGACGGGTAAGAGCAGTATTTTTGCTGTAGAGTTGAAGAAGGTCACAACCGAGCTGTTCAGCAAGACGCTGAAGTTGAAGGAGGCTGGGCTAACAGTGGATGCCCTCCGTCTTGCCGAAGTCCCCATTGAATCTCCTCAAGAGGCGCTGGAGAAGCCTGTGGATGCCGAGGATCTTCTTCTCGATGATCTTGACCCCAAATGCTATGAAGACATGGAGAAATGATAAGATTTGCCGCAGTCCAGCGGTATGGCACACTTGTATCCTTGGTACCAGAAAGGCTCTGCACTTCTTTCCATTTTATATTTTCCTTATTCGATGGGTATCTCTACTTCTTGAAGTTTGATCGAAAGTGTAGTTAACTTGGAACAATGATTAGCAGATTGTCAGTTATGAAATTCTCAATTCTGAGCTCACTGAAATACGTTAACGTACTGAAGGAGCCGTTCCACTAGCACCCTACAGGGTATGATTATCCAACATGTACGTAACCCGCCTCTATTTGTATATTTGGACACGTAGCAATGAAAAAAAAGGCCCCCGTCGCCCCTCTTTGATCTTACATCATTGGACCGTCTCGAATTTGATATATTCAGTTTAATAATTCCTCAGGGTGACACATGTTAATTCCCACATTTAGCCGTGTAATATGTCTAATACTACGTGAGCAAAGCGATCACTGTTAATAAGCTGAATTTTCTAGCAGGCGCATATCGAAATCGTATCTTGGCATTTCAGGTGATGCCTCTTAGCGGTGGGATGCGCAAAATGTCAAATTCAATCGTAGCTGCCGAGAGATATCAAGGTTGACGCATTTTAGAGCGTTTTAAAGTTGCAGTGGTCAGCCTCATGGCAACGACGAAGTGAGGAAAATACGCTTGTGATAGGTGTTCGTCCAACTGAACGAGGCAAGAATCGCGAAAACCCAGCAGGAAGCTCTCTACGAGCAGGTGGTCTAGGCAAGATCGGCTTGTACGCATCCCATGATTTGGGTGTAATGTATCCTTACTCAGCGGCGCCGTGGGTCATTTGAACTCACGAGTGTAGATCAACAGGGAGGCATGCGGATGCAGACAGCGTGTATAAAATGATGCAGCATTTAAGGACAGCTTGACCCACGAAAACCCAACCAGCGCCTTTTGACGACAATAGTTGTCCGGGTAGAGTCATGGGATAAATGACTGGATGGGTGGTCTGGACCGGTGGTCTAGATACTGCCGTCCCGAAATCTTGTGCGGTCTTGAAGTCTGATGAGTTCTAGAATCTAAAAATATGGGCCCTTGGCTGAAGCCTACCGTTGGTACGAGAATTTATCCCTAACTCTTAGCAGAGTCCGTAAAGGGCGCATACAACCCACCCTGCTCGCAAACGTGGCTATAAATTAGTTCCTCGAGACCCGGCCCCACAGGAGGTCCTTCGAAACATATAAGTATACTTAGCGATTTTTCCTCTTTCTCTTTGGTTCCTCATCCAATCAGGCGCTTGGTATTAATAGTCCTATAGTTCAATACATCTCACAACCAACACCCAAGGGCCAAATTTTTCTTGCACGGCGGACTTATATCGTTGTCAGGCTGCATTATCCTTCTGTACGATCCCAGAGGGAATCTGACAGGGCTCAAAAGCAAAGAATTAGCAGCCATCCTTGGGACCCAACTAAGCCAAGATCATCATCCTACAACAATCTTCAACACTATCCTCCAAATCTCTTCAATAGCCGGGTGGTCGTGATATGGAACCTAGACAACATGATCAGTTTCAGGTGAAGGAGGAGTCGTTTGCTTATGGCACCGAATCTCTTTTTCCTTCTCAGCATGGCCTCCCAATTACCTATCAAAATCGCGACCGTGAGACGGAGAAGACGGAGACACTGTGCCAGCTTGAGTGCACGGTTATGGCGTGGGAAAGGGCGCAAGGTGAAGAAAACTTTTCTCTACTGGGAGCCCAGCACAACCTCGCAGTGGCATATCGAAAAAATGGCCAGACTCAAAAAGCGATAGGGCTGCTTGAGCATGTGGTAACGGTGCGGAAAAAGATACTCCCTGAACTTGACCCATATCTTTTGGGATCCCAGTATGACCTGGCAGTCATGTATAGAACTTGCGACCGGGTCCATAAGGCAGTTCAGCTACTTGAGCATGTGATGGCGGTAGGACGAAGGGCATGGCCGGAGGATACTTCTTTGCTAGTATCATCTAGCTATCAGCTCGCTCTGGCGTATCGAGCTGGAGGTCAGATTAAGGAGGCAGTGCAGCATTTTGAGCACGTTGTGGCCGTACGAGAAAGGACACTTCCTGAGAATGATTCTTCTCTACTTCGTTCCCAATATCAATTAGCAGTCGCATATCGGATCAATGGGCAAATTAAGGAGGCAGTCCAGCTATTCGGGCATGTGGTCACGCTACAAGAGAAGACGCTTGCCGAAGAAGACCCCTCCCTACTATGGTCCCAGCATAACCTCGCAGTCGCGTACCGAAGCGACGGGCAGATTGAGAAGGCATTGGAGCTTCTTGAGCATGTGGTCGCAGTGCGACAAAGAACACGTACCGAAGATGACCCTGCTCTACTAGCATCCAAGCATGACCTCGCGGTCGCGTATTGGAGCGGTGGCCAGAATAAGAAGGCAGTCCAGCTGTTTGAGAATGTGGTCGGGGCGCAAAAAAGGCTACTTGGCGAAGAGGATTCTTCTCTACTAGCCTCCATGTGTCAGCTGGCACTCATGTATCAAACCGACGCTGTTAGAAACGCAGTGCATTTGCTCAAGGATGTCATTACTATGCAAGAAAGAACCACAGAGAATCACCTACACCGAAATGTACCTCGGAAAATGCTTGAGAATGCGACTCAGATTGAAAATCTGATTCAAAGGGCAGTTCACGGGTTTGACCTTATGGATGCGCATGCTGGGAGCCAAGCCCTTGACTTGGGAAGTCCGCTACAGCAATCGGACGTGGCTATCAATTCACCGTTCGACTCTGCTGTTACAACTGAGTCGCATTATATTCGAGGTCGGGTTTCTGGTGGCTCAGAATTCGAGAATAGCGATATAAACAGGGCCATTTTCGAACTATTCGGAGTTGAAGATCAAGGTCCACCCAGTTCTCGGTAAGAGATGCACAGTCGACGTTGACCTAGGCTAATAAACCAGTAGGGAATGTGAGAATACAAAGAAGTGGATGAGTTTATTCAATCATTTGCGTACGGATTTTGGTATCGGACGCGAGCCAGAACGCATCAAAGTCGCTATTATAGACACTGGTTTCGATATCAATCATCCACGCCTGAACGGAGAAAACCGAATTAAAGAATACAAGTCCTTTAACGGCGGTGACGTGACAGTGGATACGTCCGGCCACGGTACCCATATTGCTGGCATCCTGCTGGAGCTTACGAGCAATGTCGACCTATACATTGAAAAATTCGTCAATTCTCGAATATGCGGCGAGGAAGAGAATATTACGATACGGGAAAGGATAGTCCGAGTAATTCTTCCTTTCACTTTACTTTCCAGAGCGCACGTTGACAAGTAAAAAAGGCTTTGCGTCATGCCAGAGAGACATGGAAGGTCCATATGATCTCTCTATCGTTTGGCTTTAATAAGACAGGAACTCGGGACGAGGTAAAGGAAGAGGTCGAGGAATGCTTGAACAACAACATCGTTGTCTTTGCCTCGGCATCCAACGACGGCGGGAACAGACCACGTACCTATCCCGGGAAATATAACCGTGTTCTTTGTATCCACTCGGCAAGTGGAGTTGGCGACAAGTCCTGGTTTAGTCCGACCCCAGAAGAGCCGGATACGAAGCAGGATAACTTTAGCGCTGTTGGAGATTGCGTATCGTCATATTGGCCACTGAACGATCCGAATGTAGCGAATGTAGGGAGCAAGTATATGTCAGGCACATCATTCGCGACACCGGTGGCCGTCTCTATCGCAGCATTCATGCTGGGCTACATTCAAAGAAAAATCCCACATTATGACTGGAATATCAAGCCGAGGAGCCCAGAAGGCATTCAAAAGATCTTTCGGATGATGTCAAAGGGAAACAAGAGGGATGGATATGATTGGATCAGTCCGCAGTGGTTCTTTGGGAATTACTTACCGGAGAAGATCAAGTCGGACTTAATCCATGAACCACAGGGTTACAAATGTTGAGATCTATACTACGATGGAGCACTGAATACTGAGAGCACAGATCTACTCAAATCGGATTGACCGGAGTGTGTTGTGCGTTATTGAACTATGAACACTTTGTGGACAAAGTAGGCTACTCGGCTACTCCACTGGAAATGGTCTGCTATGGTCTCGACAAGATAGATTGAGATATACGTTCATCGTAGGGAGAACGAGACTTTCGAACATATATGCAAAAGTTAGGTTCATCGGGAGATGCTGAATAACCAAGAGGTGTGGAGAATCCAGTATTTTACCTCGCTAAATATGTGACTCAGCTTGAAGGGGAAATCTATAGACGTGATCTTGTCCTAATTAAGCCACATGTGAGGGATATTTCCCAAATGGTTTGGGCCAGAATCTGGATTGGTGGACGTACAAAGCTGGTTATACTGAATCGTGACTATAATGAGAGTAGAAGAGGTGGATATACAACAGATTCCTATTTAGAGGCACCGGAAATGGAATTGGTTGACACCTACACGGCTGATATGGCATTCCAGCAGGATAATGCGCGGATTCATAAGTCAAAACAAGCAAAAGAGTGGTTTGAAACCCATGGTATCCATGTCCTAGATTGGCCGCCCCACTCACCCGATTTGAACTCTATTGGACCTGTATGGAGGCCATTAAAAGGGAAGCTTTACCATTTATATCCAGAGCTTGCATATTTACTGTTTTTATTTTTTATAGTAGAGAATAGTAAAGAGTTAACTAAGTAAAGGATAATATTAGTAGCTAGATGGGGGGGTTTGACATCAATTTAGAAACCCGTACGGAGATAAAGACGGCTTAGTGAAGAAGAGCGAAAACTATGTATTTCATCCCTTATCTATACTCTAGTATCTTATCAAATCTTTCTCTGCTAGAATTTACAAAGATAACTTTTATATACTAGTTCTGGTTCGTTGGGTAAAGAGCTAAAGGGGTGTCCTGCTAGGGTGGTAGGCTGTCTAGGACAGACTTGTAGGTGCTAGCTGACTACTACTATACAATATCTGTTGTACGTTTTCTTTTGTTTTTTAATTTTATTTTTCATCTTATTGTATATTTTGCCCCCTACCACTTCAGCCCCTTCAGTCCTTTACCTGAACGCCCTGAAGCCCCTGAACGGATGATATAGGCCCTCGGCTAAACCTGCCGTGCTTCGTGCACTCCTTGTAATACTACTCTAGCCCTTAGACTTGCCTTCTTTTGGGGGCTACGAGCAAACTGATTTGCTGACGCTATAGAAACTAGATATATTGTGGTCATTACCACTGTCTATTCTGGTCTTGGTTATCTTCTCTGGATGGACGTAGTGAAATTTTTGTAAGCCAAGCTAAGGAAAATGGCAATTCTTCAATCAGTCAAAATTTAATTTCCTAGTACTATATCTAACTTGCTTTCAATCAAAGAAATGTGGTTTCTAGAACCTGTTAGGAGAGATTTAAATCATGCGGCTCAAGGACATACCAGATACTCTCAGAGTTCCTGTGATCACGGTCTTGGCAACTGCCTTGGGCAGAGAAAGTATATACTGTAGCTATAGGATCAAGTTTCACGACCAGGATTTGGTTACTAGTAGTATTGGTTATGTTAGGGTGGTGGGGTAACATATGAATTTATCCTAGATAAACATTTCACCAGCACCAAATTATCCTTTTATATATTTGGTGATCATACCATCCCCCTTCGTTACAGGAGCGGAATTCAGCTAGAAATCTACCAGGTGGAGACTCGAGGATTTTTTGAATTCAGAAATTCCAACACGCTAAAATCAGTCGATGCTTGTACAGCATGTACCATGGGAGTTCCATCTCAAATATTCTCGGACAGAACCTAGTAGGTCTATGCCCGCTAAAATGGCAAGTCTCGTAGGCTTGGCATTGTAGAACACCTTCAACTGAACACCTTAGTTGCCCTGCAATACAAGGAGGGGCTTCCACGATTTCCAGACTCGGCCAGGCGAGGAGAGGATAGCGGACAGCATACCTGCCATCTTCTCTTCATCGCATTCTTCATGGGCAACGTGACCTTCAACGTCTTCATGGTCACTGTCGTCCTCCAGCATCTCCTCAAGCTCGATTTCTGCATATTGAGACAATTCCACCTTCACCAGGGACGCTTCACTAGGCGTGCCCTCGGCATCCAGGGCGAAAAGCATATACCAGCCAGGAAGGAGGATACCAGCATCGTCCGGGAGGTTCGCGGTGAAAGAGTGGCCATCATGGGCGTTCAGCTCGAGCGGGACACGACGCTGGTCAGTGTTGACAGTGTGAGTAGTCGTTCCCTGGCGAACGAGGGATGCCGATCCAATGTGCTTGTCAGCGGAAAATTTCAACACCTGGCCCACGACGACTCGCTTGTCAGCGCTCAGAATCGTGGGGCGCTCGCGTAGTTCTCCGGTGGAAGTCAGCAGGTAGGGTGGAGTGAAGATCTGGGCATCGTAGTGGTTCGCAGAGCAGTTTCCACATAGACCACCACCGCCGTTCAGGACAGTCGCATCAGGGAGCAGCATGGAGATACTGTGGTAGACACGGATGATGTTTTGACCGTTCATGAGCTCGAAAGTATCCGTCTCGGGGTTGTAAAGTTCTGGATAGTGCTGAACGGTATGCTCGTTGAAGGGCTGTCCCCAGGCCTGGCCACCAGCAACAAAGACCTTGCCATCGGGAAGAACCACAGAGGTGTGGTAGACACGAGGGAAGTTCATGCCATTGCCTGAACCCTTTCCGGCCACCTTGACGAGAGGCTCCTCAAGCGGAGCGCCCAGTCTGATGATATGGGCGTTCTTGGAGGCATAAGAGCCATCATAAGAGGGCTGGCCTCCGAAAGTGAGAATCTTGCCTTGTACAGCATCAAACATGACAGCGTTGCCTGACATGGAGTCTCCATCATCCATTCGTCTTCCAGCGAAAGTGGTACTTCCGCTGCCATCAACAGTGTACCAGTGCATTTTAACACTGGGGCCAGCCTGGAAGACACTGCCATCCTTCCATCCAAACAACCAGGCATGATTATCGGCACGCCAGCGACCCAGTCGGTCATTAGTCAACATGGGGTTAACCTTTGTTCCGGAACGGGTGTACCACTTCCTCTTAATGGGGTTGTACACTTCACCGTTCTTCTCCACCTTGTTGCCACCACTCCAAGAACCACCGATCGCGAAGATTCGACCGTCGGACAGAGTCGTTGTTGCGTGGTATCCTCGAGGCTGACGCATGTCAGGGCCATACTCCCAGGTCTTTCCGTTGAAAATACTTGTTCGGCCAGCGTCACCACCACCGCTGACGACGATACTCCCGTTAAAGTCCATGGACATGCCTGGGCAAAACATATCATGGTGGGTGTCGGCGACCACAGTCTGCTCAATTGTCTTGTTCTTCGGGTTCCATGTGGTGGTGAGTGTCTTGCCACCTGGGGAAGCAAAGAACTGGTCATCAGCCCAAGCAGACCAGACAATGATCTGGCCGTTCGATTCCTGGGCCGCGCCGACTGGGATGACGGGCAAATCGAGCGTCGGTCCCCAGGCACCCTTGCCAGGCTCGATGGGGAGAGTATAATTGGCAGCGTAGATACCAAGGTTGACGATTGAAATAGGCTCGTGCCAGCCAGGCGCGTCGGGAAGAGCAGGAGTATCACCAACGAGCTTGACATAGCGCGCAGGCGTGGGGTTGAAAGCAGCGAGCTTCATGCCTTTGTTCTTGCCCCATGTTCCGTAGGCCACCGGCTCGCCCCAGTCTCGCTCATCCTTGCTAAGGTAGACACGATGGTTGGCAATCTGGCCCTCAGTGCCATTCACGTCTAACCGAGGTAGCATCGTCAAACCACTGACATTGTGCACTGTTTTCAGATCAATTGAAATCCACGGTACCCCATGACCAATGTTGTCACTTTCCCAATATGTGTCACTCTTGCCGTCAATGGCGTTTGTACACCAGTTGCGATGTTTCTCACGAGTGCAAGTGACCCGGAACTGCTTGACGTTCAACAGAGTCGAGTTGACGGGCGGTGACTGCCATTGAATTTCACCAATGACTTGGCCGTTGATTTCGGGGCGGTTGCCCTCGGTCGACTCGTAGGAGTAATCGGCGGATTTGTGGGCGCCAACGGAGACAGCTCCTAGAAGGATACTGGCAGCGTATGGAACTTTCATTGTGAAAAAATGAATAGATGGTTGACTACCTTGTATACAGGAGTTCCTCGCCAGAGAACTTATAATGGAAAGGAAGGGTTCCAATGCCAAACTCAAAACGAGAAGAGGAAGCTCAGGCGATGTCGATCAGAACGGTGGGGCTGGACCCAAGCAGCTAATGACCGCCACGCCAACATAGCGCAGGCGATGTGGGCTTCTGTATGGATGCGATCATCATACATCGACCCCACAGGGTCGCTCATGATGAATTAATGTCCCGTCATTTACATACGTGTCTTCCAGGTATCGTCCGTCATTTCACATGCCGGAGTTCTTTGGGTGTGAACCATTCTTGCTCCACAAATACGCTATGGAGGCACAAGCCTGTTAGGGAGTTCTTAATCTCTACTGAACAGATGTTACCCTGAGCGATGCTTCAATTTCCACATTGGGAATGTCTTCATATGGATTTGTGGAGGTCTTCAGAATAGACAAGTTTGCAGTTGATCTTCAGGTGGGGATTAATCGGAAACAGACTCGGACGCCACACGATATATCGCCTCTCAACAGAATGTCGAACTTGTGTTGTTCGATGATGTCAGCTTGAATCTAAAGCAGGAATGTCATTATATGCAGGATGCAATTGTGTGCATAGCCTTTATCGTATCTCTCCGATCCAACAATGGTAGGATAATGAAACATGGTCAAATAATAACCAGTAAATGTTTACATGATGACACAACTGCAAATTGGGCACAGGATGGGGCCCTCGACAGCCAGAGAAACATCCATGATCCATCTATGTACGGAGTTTCCTGATTTTTTTTTCAGCTCGTAGGTCCACAGGGGGGGCTCGGGGAAGATGTTAGCGTAGCTAGTTGTTGGGTCGAGTACAGAGAGGGCTGTACATTACACCCCCACTCACCAGTTCGCGCTTGTGAACGCCAGGTCGTCATTACGGGGCGAATCAGAAAACATCGTTTGGAAGTCAGGGGCTTTTAATTTGCTGGATGGTTGCCGATCGCGGTGCACGCTAGTTGACAGGAACAGCGATCGACGATCAAGCCGAGAACCTTTGGATCAAGATCGAGCCGAGGAAAGAGCGGTGCAGTAGTGCAGACCCACAAGGGGCCCGGGCCAGGGCGCACGCCAGCGGACCGCAACCTTCTTGACATGATTTAAGTTTCCTCAGAGTTTGACATGTTCGATACTTACGTCGACATGAAGCACGCCACTGCACGAATTGTGGGTTTCTTCCGGAGTTACTCCATATATGGTGGCGTTCTGCATGTTTTTGACATCATGGATAAACAAATACAATCCAGGCCATCCGAAGGCGGCAAGTGACCCGATTTTTTTTGTCGATAGGCGACCACCTCGGCGGGAGAAAAATTCGGTTCTCAATATCAAACCCCGCTGATAAACCAGAGCTAGCTGACTGGGGCGGGGCAAGGTCCACCTAGAATCAGCGAGAATCCCAGTTTGGCGGTGTTGAGGGTCAGCTCACAGGCAGCCAAGGTGGAAGGAAAGTGAAGCGAGTAGAAATGGATATCGATGATTAGGCCGTGGCCCGGTATTGAAATTGAAGAGATTTTATTGGATACGATATCTTTTTCAAACTATAGTGTAGAAATAAATCATAGATGTGGGAGGTTAGGCATAAGAACTCCAACTCTTCCTCATTTATTCTTTTCCCCTGATTCTCTTGTGCCTATATTTTCTAGAGCTAAAACAATGAGTCATCCAGTCGATAAAAGCAACATCCAGGGCGGTATCTGGCCGCGCTTGCCCAAGGAGTTTGAGTCCTACCTTTTCTACAAGATCACGAATGTGAACAGATTCCGCAATGACCTCAAAGATTTTATCGACGAAATCACCACTGGAGAGCAGTGTGAAGAGCGTCTGGGAAAGATCAGCTCGGCTGCAGAGAGTGGCAGACCAACAAAAATTCCCATGTCGGGTATAAATGTCTCATTTTCCCAGAAGGGGCTGCAAAAAGTAGGTTTGGCTATTTCGATTGAGTATCGGGACCCCGAATTCTTTTCTTTTTTTCAGTTTTTTTTCGGGTTTTTCAAAAAAGGATCATTAACAAGAATATAATAGTTGAACCTAGCGCAAATCAACGATGGCCTTTTTGAGAAGGGTATGTACAGCGATCTCATCTTCGAAGGCGCCGACATCCCAGAGAGATTGCTTCCCGAGTTCAAGCCACCTCCTGGACACCCAGCAAACGATGACAGCTGGCGAATTGACTTGGTCTTCATCGTGGCTGCGTCCAGCGAGCAAACTCTGAATGAGGGAATTGCCAAGATTGAGACCAATTTCCACCTAAGAGACTTGAACAAGAGTAGTATGGAATCGGTAGTCGCGAAGCATGGACAGCGTCGGCCCGGAGAACTCCGTGGCAGAGAGCAGTAAGTCAGTTCCTATCGAGCAGTAGGAATGTTCTAACTTAATACGCAGCTTCGGCTTTGAGGATCACATCTCGCAGCCTCAGATCCAGGGTCTGGATCCCGAGCCGGGTCCACGTGAGCCACTTTCGTGTCTTCCGGGGTAATATCTCCACCCATATCTATCATAACATGAGCTGATTGAATTAGATACATCTTTGTCGGTCATAAGGGAGACCCACGACGGGAAACTCCCCCCCTTGGTCCGTGGAAGGTAGTTTTCTTGTGTTCCGTCAACTAGATGAGAAGGTCCCTGAGTTCAATAAGTATGAGTTGTCTGGCTTTCCAGATTTCGGCTTCGCTAACCATGCTCAGATTTATTGAGAAAGCTGCAAAGGATATTCCGAACTATACTGGAGTCAACGGTGCCGAAAAACTGGCCGCACACATGATGGGACGTTGGAAAAGTGGTATTGTGACCTATCTCTTCATTGCTATATTCACCGTACTGATGTTCTATAGGCGCGCCCGTCGCTTTAACTCCCGACAAGGACGACAAGAGTCTTGCATTCAGAAACGACTTCGATTTCCGGCCCAAGCAGAGCATTTTGGGTTGCCCGTTCGCCGCGCATGCCCGTAAAATGCGTCCAAGAGCCGACCACAAGCGCGACCTGGGCAAAGACGACGACTTTGTGAAAGGTCAATTCACCGATCCGTTGGTTCACGACACCAGCAACCCCCCGGATGTGGAGGTTGACAGTGACGAGGAACCTGATCAGGAACCTGACAAGGAAGATGCTACCGTTATTCTGCGCCGTGGTATCACGTTTGGACCTGAGCTTGGACCGGATGAGACGGAGAAAACCACCAAAAGCCGTGGTATTTACTTCACCTGCTACCAGAGTGACATCCGAGATGGATTTAATCTTCTTATGACCCGTAAGCCCCCTTTCCGTGATTATCTTTGGATACTGCTGACAGTTATGAAGGCTGGGCAAGCAACAGCGTGTTCCCGACGTCCAAGAAGAGAGCTCACAAGGACGGCCCTGGAATGGATCCATTCATCAACCAGAGACAGCGTAAGGACCATCCTGAAGGTCATATCAGTTTGTATGACGGTGTGGATTCGGAGAAGACCCACAAACTCGAGCTTGGAACGAGTCCCTGGGTGGATCAGCGAGGAGGAGAGTATTTCTTTACTCCATCCATTCGAGGCCTGCGCTGGTTCTGCAATGCACCGCAGCTGCATTAAGAGGATGCACTTCCAATGCCCTTGCATCCTATTATGTATGACTTGATCTTCGCTAGTTGGAATTGAATTTTGGTATCGAGACCTTGCTCCCTTCCTTCACTAGAAAATCCCAATAGTGTGGATACTGTCCCATGGTTCCGAATGAAGCGACCCTTAAAGACGCCCATATTTGTTAGACCTTCCTCATCCACATCCTCATCATGTCTCGCCTAGCCAACTCAGCCAGTCAAATAATTCATTGCCCTCGAGATCTTGATTGAGGGATTCGAACACATCATCGGCATTGAAGTCACAGAAGGTATTTCTTGCTGCATCTGCAATGGCAGACTGATTGCGTGATAGATCTAAGTCAAGCAAATTCGTTGTGTCCCTCGATATGCGTTTTGACTTTGCCATTGGGCCCTCGGATCCAGCCGCGGATGGTCCAGAATTCAAAAAAGACTTCGCGTGGTCAATGAGCACTCTGGAGGCCTCCCTTAACCTCGTAGCAAGGGGATTTCGTGAAGTCATTTTCTCCAGAAACTCCGGAAGATTCTCCATAGCAGCCAGAGCCTCTTTATTTCCTTCGGATCCCGGATCGGGGTTGAGTAAGATTTCACGAAATAATAATAAAAATGCAGTGAATGGGGAGTATAGAAACTGCCAGAGAAAAGGGTGATATGGTTCGTCTGACTCCGGAGATAGGTGAAGAAGCAGGTGGAGTAATTCCTTGGAGCCAGTAATGCACTCGGAGTAACGAGGTAGGGACTTTCGAGACAGAATAATTTTCAGGTAAAGGTAGAGGAACTCTTGGCTGCGAAGACCAATGTCGATTGACTTGGCATTCTGGGCGTCGCAAAATGGTTTCTCGGACATCGCAGCAGCTTCAAGAATCTGTCAAGGATTGAGATGTCAACAGCCGTATTTGAATGCAAAGCCCCCGGGATTGAAACATACCTTGTGTGCCTGCTTATACCAATATTCAAGGCTAACAATTGCCATCTCTATCGCGATATTCTGATCCTCTATTACACCATAGAGGCACTGCCAGATATCTGCCATAACTTTCGAGAGCAGAAATTTCTGGTATATGAGGTGCGATGCAAAATATCCTTTGCTACCGTCTGATGTTTGTTGCTGTGTAGATGGTCGGATCTGCTCCAATGTTGGGAGGTTGATCTCATTGACCATCCCCTGGTGGAAGGTCGGAGATCGACCAAATATGACAGCGAGCGCCTTATCCACGAGGTTGAGCTGCCAGAACCTCAACTGCCGCTGTTCCCGAGTCTGAGTGTCAATCCTTTTGTGGGTAACCCCCAGAGCTTGCAACATTCTGCAAGCGCTTGTAGATAGCATCCAGCATAAGGATGGGTCGACCAAGTTCGGTACAAGACCAATAACCATGAGAATAGCCTGAATATTCGCATCGCTAGGTTTGAGCAGGACGCTGATGTTTTCGAGTGAGGCCCAGAGGTCCTGTCGCAGCTGGTCTTTGAGATGAGGATCGTCGACTGCTTTTAATATAATGCAGTAGTACATCACTAACCAGGCCTTCTCTTGTATCTGGTCTTGGCGACCTGCTTTGAGAGATCGTACCACCTCAGGAGGCGCCGGGCTGAGCAAGGGTTCTTTATCTCGGAAGGCATTATCAAAAACTAATGGCAATGTCAGCGGCGGAAATAGAATTTGCAGCTCTAATATAATGCACACTTTCCGACCATCTTGAGGCATATTTCTTGAACCAAAGTCGCGTCCTCTTTCTTGATTTACCACTCTCCGGCAAAGTTGGCTCGCGGTCAACAGGTGTGGCTGTACAGGCTTCGGTCAAAATCAGCAGTGCGTCAGATGGCCCTCTTTGATCTGCGGTCTTAGAGCCACCCAAGCATTCCTGGGTCATTTCAATATCAGACGCAAGATATGACTGTAGACTACTGTCGCTTCGAATAATCTTGGGAGTCGAGCCATCATCGGTCTGAGTTAAGCGCTGAGAAGTCGCGTCTCTAGCCTGTTGTGTCTCGTGCTTTCGCTTTTTGGCACGACGAATGACGCCCGATCGCGAGTAAATACACGAAATTCCGGATTTCGTGCAGCGTTTGCATCCATTTTGTTCGCGGGAGCAAGTGACCTGCCAAGGGGGGTTTAGGTTCCAATGCTCGCTCGCGGATGTAAGTTAATACGCGAGGCTTACCTTGCTCGATCTGCATGAGTCGCAGGCATATTCCGAAAGGGTGGTATTCTGATCGCTCAGCGTTGGAGGCATTTTCGAGGCGGACGTGCTTGTTGTTGAAGCTAATCTCCGTGCCAGAAAAAGTCGGAAGTTACCGGACAGGTGGCGTGGCCTGCGCGTAACTTCCGAGTGGACTTAAACTCCGAATCCCGATATCTCATATTAACCTCCGATGTATTCAAGCATGCGAGATCAATTCGAGTACAACTTTCGGTATTTAACTGCCATTGAAAAAAATCTATAAATATGTCGCCTCTCACTGCCTTCTCGTCTGCGTCCGCATTCAAATCGTCCCTCGAGTTTCACTCATAACATGATGCAGACACAAGCCCCCATCGCCATCATCGGTGCCGGCCCAGCGGGTCTTACTCTCGCACGGCTCTTGGAAGTTGCCGAGATACCTTATGTTGTCTTTGAACGAGATGTCTCTGCAAATTGGGCGAATGAACATCAGAGCAGCGGTACACTCGATCTTCACCCTAATACAGGCCAGGCCGCCCTCCTTGAAGCCGGCTTACTTCCAAAATTCCAATCTCTTGCACGCTATGGTGTTCCGATTACTATAGCTGATGCTCAGGGGAAGATTCATTCCTTTCTTTCTCGTGAGGGCGACGAAGACGAGCCAGAGATCGATCGAAAGGATCTACGAGACCTACTTCTCAGCTCTCTTCCACCGTCCAAGATTCTTTGGGATCACAAAATACAAAGGATCGAGAAAGAAAACAATGGCTCTGTGACTATTTATTTCACGCACCAGGACCCTAAATCGGGATTTCGTCTTGTGGTTGGCGCAGACGGTGCTTGGTCTAAAGTTCGGTCGACAGTGAGTAAACTTCCTAGTTCCCATATGGCTCCAGTGGAGTAGCCGGATTCCAAACTCACGATATTATTGTAATAGATCATCTCCTCCAAACCGCAATACTCCGGTATTCACTTCTTTTCCTCTTTTATCAAACCCGAGAACCCCATCTACCCGCTGGCTGCCTCAAAGGCAGGTACAGGAAGCTTTCTTGCCTTTGGCAAAGAACGGCAAATCTTTCTGTACTACCTCGGTGATGGGTCGTACCATGTCTCCGTGGGTCTGAAGATTTCCGAGAAAAACATACCTGACGAATCTATACTCGCAAGTGCATCCACTTTGTGGGATACCTTTCTGCAGGAATACTTCACAGGATGGGCTTCAGACCTCACAAAATTCGTTCGATCATGTGATGGCAAATTTCGCTCATGGCCATTGTATACCATGACTGAGGATGCAATCCTATCCTGGGATCACGTTCCAAGAGTAACACTTGTTGGCGATGCCGTGCATTTGACGTAAGTATATACTGAACCGGTTCTCTTCCCTATTAGATAGCCAAAGGAATATCTTCCCGCTGACAGAAGTTGCTTTTGTTGCCTTTCTACAGAGTACCGACCGGAGATGGAGTTAACAATGCCATGCATGATAGCGTCAACTTAGCGAGGCATATCATTTTGCTTGGCGTAAATGACCTGGAATCAGCAACATTAGCATACGAGAAGGAGATGCGCCCGCGTGCTGTGGCAGCAATCCAAAAGGGTCACTGGATGACTCGTCATATGTTTCTAGCCAAGGGCCCGGAGGAGATACTGGCGGCAATGGGGACAGATGATTAGGCCTAGTGATACGTCTCGTTATCGATAAACCTAGATTTTTTGAGTGTCGATAACAGAGCAAAAACTTGATAAAGGATGAAAAGCAGTAAAGCACAATATAGCACATGAAAGAGGAAGGAAAACAGAGAAAGAAGCCAAGGCGTCATAATGTGCCCAGTTCAACCGAGCCTTTGAATGATTTCAAGAGTCTAGCTGCAGCATAATGGCCTTGGCCCTCTGCAAGCTCAATAGCGTCGTAATAGTAACCCTCAAAATCACCCACGACCTTTGCTCCTTCGTCTAAAAGCATTTGTAACATATCAATGCGACCATGTTCTGCAGCGCCCATCAAAGCCGTACGCCCATTTTCCCGTGCGGGTTCTTGGTTGATATCTGAACCAAGATCAAGCAGCCTCCTCGCAATGCCGATGTATCCTTGAATAGCCGCGATCTGTAAAGCAGTCGCACCTCCGTCGTAGGCACCAGGAGCATTTACATCAGCCCCATACTCTAGAAGAAGGTTGACAATCTCCATGTTTCCAAGCTCAACAGCTTGCTGCAATGGTGTTCGTCTCAGTTTACCTTCTCCTAAATAGTTGACATTGGCCCCGTTCTCCAGAAGAAGGTTGACAATCTCCATGTTTCCAAGCTCAACAGCTTGCTGCAATGGTGTCCTTCTCAATTTACCTTCTCCTAAATAGTTGACATTGACTCCCTTTGAGACTATTAGATCACGAACGACCGATGCTTGCTGCGTTTTCACAGCTGCTTGCAGAGGGGTATATGTCCGAAATTGGCGCCTGGCTGGCTCATCAGATGAGGGATCACTGGCAATGTCACAGCTCAATTCTGATTCGAGCCGCATTAACTCGACTATATGAGCGTGTCTTTTTTCAAAGATTGCCATTGTTAAAGCACGGCTCACAGACTCTGGACTCCAAGACATCTGCGCTGAAGAGGCCCATTCAAGAAGGTACTTGAACATAACCTCATCGGCTTTCCAAGCCGCTATTTCAAGTACAGACTCGAAAGAACAGCCTTGCAGGTGATACACGTTCTTAATATCCCATTTGTGATCAGACATTTGAGGTGTCCCCCTCAAGTCGACATTTGCTTCTCGGAGTAGCTCTAGGGCGAGCATTGAGGCTTTCAACACCGCAGCTGAAGCTGCCGTCGGGGCACTTCCCGTGAAACTTGCAAGCAAGATCGGTAGAAGATCAAAATTGTCCTTGATAGCTTCCGTGAGATCATCATCTGTCGCTTTGGTACCACGCTCAAGGAGAGCTAGTACAATGGCTGAGTTATGTATTTCAATGGCGGCCCGCAGTGGTGTTTTCTCAAGCAAAGCTGTTTTGTTCCGTTCTTTATCGGCATTTCTCTGGAGTAAGAACCATGCCAGACCATTATCCTGAGCTGAAATAGCCGCTGCAAGGAGCTTAGGACCAGACTCATCCAGCAGTCGCGGAAGAATTCCATCGTTCTTCAGAAAGATAGCAGTTTGTAAATTGCCAATTCTGTTGATTCGTGGTCCTATCGCTCTTGCACCAGCACTTATAAGCTTGTTGATCATCGTCTCATTCCCAACTTCGACAGCTGCTCCAAGGATAGTCTCCGGGTCAATATCGAAAACGTCATTTAATCGAGCATTTGAGCCGATTAAAAGGTCAACGATATCAGTGACATCTTGCTGAACAGCAATCATAAGTGCCGAGGGAGAGTCTTGGCTTAAGCATGGCTCTCGATCGATCTTAGCACCGTAACGAATTAACACTTGACAAAGAGCAAGATTTTTAGTTGGAACGGCACGCTCAAGTAACGTCTTTTCACCCTCGTCAGCAGCTTGATTGTCAGCACTCGAGCCGAGTAAAACTTCAGTAATATCAATGAAGCCTTTTTCAACTGCTAAATCCAGTGGTGAAATGTAGGGCGGCCAAATAAGGAACGGATATTCGCTAACCGAAGCTTGAAGTAAAGGTTGTACGGCACCAATACATCCATGCCTGGTCGCAAGTTCTAGCAAAGTAGTCTCGTGTTGGACTTCACCACCTATCCTGCGTATCTCCAATGGCAACAGCCCATTCAGGTTAGCCCCCTTGTCAACGAAACGCTCAATGATAAGCAGATTGTTACACCACACGGCCTCTTGAAGTATCTCGGTATCATGACCCCGTTGCTTTCCCAGATCTTGATGTAAATATATGTCGATGATCTTTTCAATCAGAGTAAAATCCCGAATATCACCAGGTGTATAAGAAGCTGCTAAACGGGCGCATTTCCATGTCACTGTGCGGCAGTGATCCAGGAGTATACGAATGGCAGCCTCATTGTCACGATAGAGGGCATAAAACAGGGCAGTTTTGCCATCGTCGCCAATCGAGAAATTCACATCGGCACCGTGAGAAATCAAAAGATTGATAAAATGAACACTTCCTCTTTTTGCCGATACAAACTGCAAAGGAGCAACGAAGTTTGCATCCTGCCACGCTACTTTCCCCTCGATCAACCCATTGGGGCTCATACCAGACTGGAGCATCCTTTGGACAATGTCAAAGTTTTCTTGTCTTACTGCAGCAGCAAACAACCTTTCGGCGATAGACTCGGCAGTTGGCTCGCGAGCTGAAAGTAGAATCTCGAGATGCTTTGAATCATTCCAGCCAGTATCCTTCAGAATTTGTAACACTAGTTTGTCGTTCCGTGCCAGTGTGTCTTCGAAATATTCTTTAGGATCTCGCGCGGTCAGGTTATTTGAGATAAGGTAGAGTAATACACTCATATGCTCCCGAACTCCTGCTCTTGAAGTACTCAGATCTGCTGACAAGATATCATGCTGGCCGGGCTCGTTTTCTGGCATGAGGATACTCAGAGCTGCTGACGTACGGGAAGCGCTATGCATGTTTGGAGAGTGCTGGAGTTTATTCCACGATACAATTTTGCTCAAGTGTTGCATGAGCTCAAAGTCCATGCCCTTGACCACTTCATAGCCATTATGCGACTTGAAAGCGAGGGAGGCAGAGGAAGAGAGGGAGGCATCTAAATATATAACGAAGCATTTAGTTAAACTCATACCTAGGTAAATATTTCAAAAGTTGGTCTCACCATCATTTTGTAAGGGTTGAAGTAGACGCATGAATCGTATCCACGGAAGAGGATTGTTCCACGAAATCTGTAAACCAGGCGATACGGGCGTAGCCACAACATAGCCTTCAGGGGTACTTGGAGAAAGGCCTAGAAATTGTTTATTACACGTTCAGATGAGGTCAAAAGATGAGGCTTACCACGTCGGGAATATTCGCTCATGAAACCCTTTCTGTAACTCGATCTAGCGATCTTCGCAGGATGGATCTGAACCCCATTGATGAAGACCTCGCTTTCCTTCTCATTTTCTCGCTTCCTTTTGTCGACTTTCCTGGAAATCCATTGGTCGTCTCTCGGCTGGGAATGCTTTCTCAACCCCCACTCTTTGAATTTCTTCGAGTACACTGCACCGCTATATCGCCGTGAGCGGAGAATCCAACCCCGGATCTAAAAGAAACTTACCTTTTGTTCCAGGAGTATTCTGTTGCCATGAAGCTCATCACTTCATCACGTGTCTTATTCTCGTGAATGTATAACCTTTCGATCTCGGACTTGTAGAGATCCCATCCTGGGTCGGCCATTGTGACTGTAAAAAGGTTCGATGGTTACCGTCTACGTATTAGAGGGACTGGGAGCTTGAAACGAATCCCACGGACGGGGTCACGCTTTTTAAAGGAAAATCCTCGAAAATGTATTTTCTTTTTCTGGATGGCTGTCTGCCTTGCCTCACTCTGGGTTGGCGCGTGGTTAACTCACCTCGCATATCGACAACGCAACTGCAGGGCTAACTGGTCCATTTGGCTTTGACACTGCAGCCACTCTGGGGTCGAACGCTCCCCCGGCTTGTCAACGCCTGGGTATGTGGAGCAATATATGGATATGTAATTGGCTTAATTCCAATTTCTCAGGACCAGAAAAATGCCCTCATTGGCTCATTCCCAAATTTTCCTGCAGATCAAGCTGCTACTTGTGAAATGGTTGGGCTCGCGCATATCGGGGTTCAGTGCCTCTACAAAGGGCTTGGACTTAGGGTCAACTAACCTAAGCACCTTGGTGGCGTTCTGAAATCAAAGGCCCTGATTTGTCCATTCCCAAATTTTCACGATTCTATATGGCACGGCGCCTCTCACCCCTGCCGATATGTAAAGATCTACAATATTTTGAGTTGGAACACCTTTCTCGTATTCAATGGATCTTGAGTACTTAATCGATATCGTATCCTACGCCAGACATAATATCTAAATCAAGGATTGAGAGCCCTCCGAACACAGTCCATTCAAGTTGTTCTTCTTTGAAGGAATCTTTCCCCGGCCACAGAAAACTTCAAGTTATTATTTTGCTTGCTATCTCTTTCGGCCATGGCTTGGTCAAAAATCAACATGAACTGGGATGGCGATCAAAGCAATTATCATAAACACCATATGACGGGCCTTTCTCAGGCTCAAGCTCATCCATTCCCGCACATGTCCCCAAGCCATGATTGGAGGTGGAGTGGGGATGCAAGAGCATCAACATCGAATTGGAATGCTGCTTCGTCTTCCCACGCTACGCCATCTGTCAGTGGAGATTTTCACTGGAATGCACCATCTCCAACAAAGGCTGTCAATGCGACTTCGACTATCTTCGACAATCCTACTCCAAGTCCCAGTCTGAATTATTCTCCCGAAACGACACCAACTTTCTTCTCACATGTTGATCGCATCTCGCCGGGGAGTCAGTCTGCGGACTTCCCAGATCAAGCAAACCAGGAGGAGGATACCTGCAATAACGAAGTCTACAATCGAGCCCTCAGTCATCAGCCCCATGGCCGTCTTCAAACTACACGCAAGAGGTCCAGAATATCCCAGCGGTATGTTATTTCTTATGTTTTTTATTTTCTCGATTCCCTTGATACTTGCCTCGACAACGCAATTTGTATTAGTATATGAGGGTGATTACTTACCATTCTCATATACAGATCACAGGATCACCCACTAGCTGCCCCCATACGCTGCAAATGGGACGGTTGTCGTTATTCCGGCACATTCAAGCGAGAATCTTTATTGATTCGACATCTCAAAAAACTCCACTTTTCTCCGGTGCTCACCCATGTCCCATTCAAAATTGTGATATGGTGTGCAATCGGGCAGATAATCTCACGCAGCACATGAGAAATATACATGTTTAGAGGCATAGCATGTGTATCAATGGAGTCTAACGGAATCGTTTTGATTTATCAGTGGTAGTTGTTGGGCTTTTGTATTTTTTTGCTTGATAATGTCGGCGCATGCTTATTTGGACTGATTAGTTTGTCTGGCAGACTGGAAGGAGGAATCACTAGGTCTTCTGCCTTTGTTCTAATCTATTGTCGGATGGAGTTCGTACCTTGAAATTTCCCAATGAGCTTTGAATGATAAACGAGGATTTTACCGCGATGTCGTTTACCAGAACTTATAACTAGTATTAAATTGGTGCCAGAATACCTCGGTCATGAATAGTAGTACGATATGATATCAGGAACGGTTTGAAGGAATAATCCCACAATATGGCCAACTACTAAAAGCTAACGGTCTACCTACCCACCCACCCCGAGAATCATGAACGTAGTACTACTATTGTAAGCTACGGTATGAATAGTCCGATATCACAGTCAAGTAAATTCTTTGTATCAAAAAATATGATTTATCGATTCATGGCGAAGACCGGTCGATTTATTGCAGGCCCTCCACCTTCCACACCTTGACCGCAGCATCGACACCCGCGGAAACAATCTTAGAGCCGGCATCAACCCAAGCCACACCGTTGACTCCCTCCTTATGAGCATTCTTAACCTCCAACTTGGTACCAGGCTTAGCCAAGCTCCAGACAAAGATATTGGTATCCAACGATCCGCTAACAACATGAGAACCGGCCTTGTTCCAAGCAAGGGAAGTAACGCGAGCTGTGTGTGCCGTCCAGCGATCAGTGACGAGACTTCCATCAGCGACCTTGTAGACAACGATACGCCCTTTTCCATTTCCAATAGCTAGGTTGGCAGCATCGGGGGAGAAAGCAAGTTGAGAGATCTGATCCCGCGAAGCCGCGATCTCAGACTGGACCGACAAGCCCGAGCTGGAGATATTGCAGATCTGAACAGATCCGTCCTCACCACCAACAGCAGCAAGAGCGCCATGGGCAGCGACAGTCGTAACGCCGACCTTACTCTTGAACTCGCCAGTCTTCTTGCCATCCTGGAAAATTTCCACGGCCTCAGCCCCACCAACAAGAACGGTGTTATCGCCCGCCGCAACACCCTTGGGCTGTCCGCCGAGCTTGGCAGCAGTGCCAGTGAAAGTCTTCGCGCTGGCATCAATCGAGCGGATCGTGTCGTCCCAGCCAACACTGTAAATCCTACCCGCGCCCTCGGATGTCGGTTCCAGACCGGCAATGTAACCGGGGTGACCATCACCCTCAATATCGCCAGCGATACCCGTAGCAGCGTCCCAACTGCAGACGCGGCCATCAAAGCTACCAGTCCACAGCGTCTCCTTACCGTCTACCGTGGACTGGCCCAGGGAGGTAATATTCTTTTGGTGGCCTTGAACAACCTGTCGGGGCTCGGGAGTACCCTCCACCAGGTAATTCAGATCACCACTCAGAGACAAACTGATAAGCAGGTTATCGCTTCTAGCCGGCGGCCAAACAACGCCAACCTGTTGATCGCGAACAGCCAGGGCACCCTCCTCACCCAGAGTCCAGCTCTGAGTAGCTTTACCAGCCTCGACATCCCAAATCTTAACAGTGCGGTCCGCACTCGCAGTGACAAACTTGCGCGAGTCCTTCGACCACGACAGTCCAAAGATACTACCCTTATGCTCTCCCTCACCAATTTGACCCCGAGCTTCACCCGTCTTGCCATCGTAGAGCCAGATCTTACGATCAGCACCCACACTAGCCAAAGTCGAGCCATCGGGACTAAATTCCACGCCGTCGATGTAGTTCGTGTGCTTGTCTCCGATTCCGGTATTGAATTTGAATGGTGCGCCGTGGTAGAAGACCAGCTTCTTATCGTCGCCGGCGGCCGCGGCTCGGAGTGGTCGCTGCTGTCTGATGGAGACCGAGTTGATTTGTTGCGTGTGGCCGTAGATTTCTCCAACTGTGTTGCCGCTGTCCCAGCTGATGCAGTGTCCGTAGCGTTGCTTTCCGTCACCGACGGCGATGATGCGCTGCGAATCACCGTCCCATGCTAGGTCGTTGATGCGGCCGTTGACGATGCTGTATTCACCCTTGGTGATGCCGTCGCCGATGCAGTCCCATACTCTCACGATACCGGCGGCATCACCACTGGCGACGTAGAAGCCTGAGGGGGAGAAGCGAGCGACGGTTGTCGCGGCCTTGTGTTCGGTGTATTGTCTGGCGACTGCGGGGTCATCGATCGATCGTAGGAAGATGGATTTGTTGGACTGTAATTGACGAGGTCAGGAAATAGTCATGGGTACATGTGGGATTCGTGTGGCATTGGAGGAGTGTCGTACAGCATAAGCAAGTCGCTCGCCTTTGGAGTCGGATGCAAGCTGGGTGGGCTGGCCACGAGTGGTGGAGGGGCTCGCGGCCCAGATGGATTCTGCGGGGAATGTAAGCCTTGTGGTATATCCAGCATCAGTTAAGGTCCGTATATGCATACCGTTTGTGATTGACATTGGGGGGGTGTACGGTGGAGGTGGGGGAAAGGTGAGAGTCGAAATGGAGGGGAGAAGTTCCAAGTTGCCCACGTTGTTTACTGACGTCGGGGGCGGGTCAGGGCCACATCGCAAATCAGGCAGCTCGTTTCACCTCAGCCACGCATGGACAATTAGGGCTGAGGGTGTGCTAGGCTACAATTAATGTTCTCAGATACAGAAGAAGCAGTTACTTAAGGATTTGATTTGATATATTCAATCCACAGGAGTAGTAATACATGTGCGCCCCCTTCTAATACTTTAGTGGGTGGCTGATTTATACAAGAACGCCATACATAGCCCCTCGAGGAATACCTCGGGTAAAGAAACCAAGAATAATGCATGTCCCTTAGCGGTGACGGTTCTCCATCCTCGCCTTGAGTTCTCCAGCCAGGATTTCGGGGTGTCGGTGGACGGAGGGCATAAGGCCGAGGCCCATGGCTCGGCGGATGGCCTTTGCGATCTTGCGCTGGTTGACGGGTCGTAGGCCAGTTTGATCGCGGTGCTTGATACGGCCCAGGGGTGAAACGTATTCGGACATAACGGCAAAGTTCTATTTAATGGGAAACATGTCAACGGCCAATTCCAATTTGCCATCGCAGATGCCTTGTCCAAATCATGTGAATGGGCAGACCAGACCCGGCGAAGAGTCAGGCTGCGACATTTTACGATTCGACAATTGACTTAAGAGAGAAGAGCGGAAAGAGGAGAGTGTGTGCGCACCTTGTAGAGAGTCATTGGGTTCAAGTTCAACGCATCAAAAGCATCCCGGGAGGGACTCTTGCGCTTTCCCCATTTCTTCATCTCAGCCGGGCTGAGATCGTGTGGGGAGTAAACATCACCAGCCTTCCACTCGCGAGTCTGGAATTTCTCCAAAGCACGGCTCTCGCCCTGTGCCTTTTGATCTTCGATAAGTCGCATGCGGTTCGGTAAGCGGCGTCGGGAGACTCGGGGACCTGTCAGAGGTAGAAACAGTTAGCAACGAAGGGCATGGCACTTGAAAGCAGGGTGACCACAAAGAAATCTGAATGCAAATTGGTGAGACTATCGCGACATACTCTGCTGTTGACCTGTGCTTCGCTGGGAGGTGAAGGCACTCATGGCGGCGGTCGAGCTCCAGCGACACGCCGAGGGGACGGCATTGGCAACACTGCGCAGCAGCGAGGACTGGGAGAAGAGATTGAGAGACATGATGAGTGTGACTGAACTCGATCACTCTGGCTGTGGTGATTGAGTTGAGTTGAATTGTGGTGGAGTTGGCTGATGAGGAAGAGTCAAGGCGGATCTTTTTTGGCAGCCAAGACCGCCTTCTCTCCGCGTCGCGAACTTTTGCATCCGCAGCTTTCCCCGACATTCAACACCTTCAACCTTCAACCTTCAACCTTTGTCCCCCTCTTCCCCTTTTCAACCACTTGCTTTGGCTTTGATCTCGCTGGGATCAAGCCTGCAATACTCTGAAAATGCAGTCTCATCTCTCGAGGCGAGTCTTTCGGGCTATTCTCAACAATGAGCCCCTACAATTTTCCCGATGCCGCCGAAACCACCTATTGCATACCATCTCCCCCGCGCGAGTACGGACGAGTCTCCCCAATTTGAACCATGTTTCCCGACGGACAATGTTTGCATTCAACATCAGTTCCATGGAAGGAGGTGGCTCTCATATCTTGCCGTCGGAAAAGGGCCTGAAACCAATGGTGGACTTGAAGCGCTCCCTCGAGGATAGAAGCCGAGCTCCTCCAAATTTCACGCTCGCAAGAGCTTTCCAGCTCTTCTTTTCTACCCGGGTGGAAACTCCAGGATCAATCAATTTGTTCCAAGCACGACTTCTCTCGATCACATGGAAGCATATGAAGGCCCAGCAGAACGAACTGGACGACAAGGAATGGGACAAGGTTTTCTCGATTGAGAGTCTGGAAAGGATGCTCTTTGTGCTGTCGGAATCAGAGTGTCTTCCTGAGGCGCGTGATACCATGCTCAAGATCGCTCGCTTTGCCTACCTCGAACTATGTGCGGACCATGGATTTGGTCCCAACACGATAAGCCGACCTGCCCTTCTTCTTTATATCAACCTTCTGTCAGTGAACGGAAAACCCGAGGAGGCTCGACAGGTGATTATCAATTTTGGAGGTCAATTTCGCGGTGCCAAACCGTCACCTTGGTTGACGGTCTTGAAGGGAGTTGCCATGAAGGATGACAGGCCCCAACTGCGTAAGATTACACAAGAACTCGATCAATATGGGGTGAAGTTTGATCAATCTTCTCAGGAAGAGCTGATCAACATTCTTGTCGCCCAGGGATTGTTCAATGCGGCCCAGACCATCTTTGAATGTCCTCTCGCCGGTAATGGCGAGCCCTCTATCGCCGCTAAGATCGCTGTCGTCAAATCTGCAATTCTACACTCGCAACTTGACTGGGCTAGGCCCATCTTTCAATCTCTGCCCCAAGGCCCGACCTCCGAGACTGTTGGTATCAATCTTCTCTGGGAGGCCGCTCAGGGCAGCAATGCGATTTTGCTTGGCAAGAAGGTCAACTCCTGGACATCCAAAAACCCTCACCTGAAAGAAGCGATTACAATTTTAGACTTGAATGCGCTCATGGAGTATGCCAATGCTGTTCAAAATCCTCAGCTGGTTATCGACCTCGAAGAGCAACCCGAGAAGTGGGGTCTCATCGCCAATGAGCAGACCTACCTACTCCAACTGGAATCGGCAGTCAATTCCAGTGATGTGGAAAGGACACTCAAGATTCTGGAGTCCACTATTGACCCTAGCACCCTGGCGAGTGATTATCTTCCTCTCGCCAACCGGCTCATCGTTATGCTTTGTGCCTCAAAGCAGAGCGGTGCTCTTTTTGAACGGATTTCAGCTCTCCTTGACCCACTTTTCCAAGATCACGTCCGTCTCGATCCACAAACCGTCACTGCACTTACGCGCATGCTTCTCTACCGTCGCGACTTTGGCGCGGTTTCCGAACTACTTCGCCCACGACTGGGCACTTTCGATAGCGAAGGCAAGAGTTTGGTCCGCACTGCATTGATCGATTATATCATGGATCGCAGCCAGTCAGACAAAAACGTATGGACTATCTACGAACTGTTCAAGGTGGCTTTCCCCGAGACCGGCGTTAGCACTAGAACAGAGCTTATGGGCTCCTTCTTCGATCGGAATCGGAGTGACCTTGCGGCCTTGGTATTCGGACACATGCGCCAGGCCGAAGATCTTACGCGTCGACCCAAGCCCGACACATATGCCAGATGTCTGCAGGGAATCGCGCGTGCGGCTGATCAGAAAAACTTGGAACTGGTGCACAACATGCTCAAGCTTGACCTTGAAGTCGAGCTTAACACGCGCATCCTGAATGGCTTGATGCTGGCGTACGCAGCGTGCGAAATTCCGGAGAAGAGTATGGAAATTTTCAGACAAATCCTTCAGTCGGATGAGGGGCCTTCGCACAAGACCCTCGCCATCTTTTTCAAGGCTTGCGAGTCTCATGCTGATGGTACCCACGAGGCGACGAAGATGCTGAAGAAGATCAAGAAACTCGATATTGAGATTGATCGTCGTTTGTATAGCTCTTATATCGAGGCGCTCGCTGCTCAGTGTGATTTTGACCTGGCTACCGAGGCTATTGATAATATGGAATCTGAGATCGGATTGGCCCCGACAAGCACAACGTGAGTACTTGACATATCCCCACTCCTGGTGCTGAATATTTCTGAACTAACCTTCTTCCAGAATTGGACTTTTCTATAATGCTTCTCCCTCCCAATACGCGAAAGACAAGATCGAGGCATGGGCTCGCGAGAAATATCCCGATCTGTGGGCGCATTTGTCCAAGACTAAGCGCACTGACTGTGACGAGGGCCTAAAATTTGATGGTATCACGAATGAGACATGGGTCTAGTTCTTGAATTGTACAATAATACTTGGAAGAAGGCTTGTCGCCTGTATATAATAAGCATACTAGTACATACTACACAGGCGCAATGAACCAAAGAATGAGCACTACTCCTCGTACTTGATTCAGACTAAACCAAGACGAGATATCCATTTTCGTTTAGCATATCTCATATCCGCACTTGAGACTGATCAATTGTCGATGAAGATATTCTCTAGGACTCTAGCACCTAGGCAAACATTGGAATTGTTCTAGATTCTATGACAAAGGTGCCACATTCCTTTTATCCAAATCATTCTGCCTCCTGGCACCATTGTCTTACATGCCTCTTTTTCCATTGTTTAGGCTCATCCCCTTAGCTACTCCCTTTTTTAGCCATTCATCCCACCACCGTAGATGTTTTATAACAATACGATTATCCTACCTCTTTGTCAGCCCTCGACATCAAGATATTTAAACTCCCATACCCTTGACTCAATATGACTCTAACCAACACACCCCACCGGCATTATTTCCAGCTCAGACTCACCTAGGTGACTATTCCACCATGGCATTTCGTTCAGTCGAGCATGTCGAGTACGAGACGTACGAGGAGAGACGCCTAGCCGGAGAAGAACGTCAAAAATGGCTCAGTGACCCCTCCATCCCCTGCCCAATCCCCAAATCAACGCTGACATTCAAAGACATCGTATTAGAGGCAGAATGGCGCATCGACCAACTAGGCGGTCCGCACGTTATTCCAGAAGTATACCAAGTCCAAGCCACCACACTAGGCCTCCCGCTAGAGAACAACTATCGCACAAAATTCATTTCCCGACTAGAAGAAGACGAAGAAGTCGATATTGACGTCGGCTTCGAGAATTGGGGCGGTATAACCGGGCCAGGCGTAATAATCCTACAAAATATTTTCAAAACATTTCAGCTTCCAGCTATACTTCCCTCAGGCAAGCCTTCCCAGAGTATCTTCCCCTACATGTCACGAGTTACGCAGGCAGTCTACGAGGAAGACTTTTGTCTGCATGATTTGAGATATGTATTCGTGTCTGACATTTTGAATGTCGATACTAGGCAGTTTGTTAGTCATCATATTCATCATGAGTCGAAACAGCTTGCTGAGGAACATAAGCAGATGTTGACTTGGGACTATGGGACTGATGATTATCAGGCGCTACTGGCTACTCGGATTGGTAAATTGGTTGTTTATTTGGTTCTAGGCGCTTTTGAGCGCGGGACGATGCGGATTGCGCGTGTTGCTACTTGGTTTCATACTAATGAGCTTGCGGAGACTACGAATTTGCAGATGAGGTTTGATATTGAGCCTGTTGTTTGAGATTTGGGATGAAATATAGTTTTTCTTTTTGGCTCACTTTATTAATTTTGCAGGTTTTATGCATCAATAAAAATGCATTTTTTCACCTCTTGAATTAGAAAATCCGACGTATAATCTACCGTATGTACCTCTTTGAAATTATCTGGTAAACACAGATCTAGGCAGCGCCCTAGGCTCCAGGAACTTAAGTTATCCTCAAGAAATGGATGATGCATAAACCATAACCATAATCCATACGAAGGTTAATCATGGCATTTCTCCCTGTTCGGGGTTCCGAACCCCTAAAACCTTCTTCAGCGTGCATCTTCCAGGGAACCGCGGGGTTCGGGTCGGGATTCGACAACCTGAAGAATGTAAATAACCAATCGACAAGAACGTTGAGTTAGTCTTGAATACTTCGCATCTTTCCTTCACAATAAAAAAGGCAAAACGCATATCAACATGGAAGATTCGAAAGAGCCTACATTCCGCTCCTACAACCAAAAGCAAGGCGCAATCTACTCTCAAAACAGACCAACATACCACCCAAACCTATACAAAACAATCATAGACTACCACGTCTCCACCGGAGGCAAGCTCAACACAATTCTCGACGTCGGCTGTGGTCCAGGAAATGCCGTTCGTGACCTCTCATCGCATTTCACCCAAGCCATCGGCCTCGATCCTTCTGAGGGGATGATCAAGGCTGCCCGCTCTCTCGGCGGGACTTCCTCTGACGGCAGTCATATCCAGTTTGAGACTTCCACTGCCGAGGAACTTGGCGCTGGCACGTCTTTGAATTTAGCCGATTCCAGCGTCGACCTCATAGTCGCTGCGACGGCGGCACACTGGTTTGACATGTCTCTCTTCTGGCCACGGGCTGCGAAGCTTCTCAATCCTGGGGGTAGTGTTGCACTTTGGGCTGCGAGAGGAGGCTACATCCATCCATCCACGCCGAACCATGCGGCTATTCAGGACTACATAACTCAGATCCAAGATAAATTTCTGAGAGCGCATGCGAAACAGGGAACTGGGATTGTGTTTGATTTATACACCGATCTGGTACTCCCCTGGTCCTTGGAGGAGTCACAAGATGAGTTTGACAAAGGGGCTTTTTTCCATAAAGTATGGAATAAGGAAACTGTATGCTCCAATGGTGATGAATTCTTTGCTAGTCAACAGGAACCACAGTTTATGAGTTTCGATCTTGACAAGCTTGAGAAAATGCTCGGTACTAAGGGGACTGTTACTCGATGGAGGGAGGCTAATGCATGTAAGACTGGAACGGAGGAGGATATTGTAAAGGTTATGAGGGGGCATATTGAAGGACTTTTGTATGAAGTTGGGGTTCCGAAGGGCCAGGAGGAACTGAATATGGGAGTAGAAGGGGTATTGATGATTGTGAAGAAGCACAGTTAATGAATATTGTATCTGATTTCATGGTAAAGCATCTGCCGATAAATAAATCAAGAAGTCAACTTGACAATCAAGAAAGGCATGTTGTAGCATAAGTGGACACCCTTTGCTAGTGATTTACTGGTAAATTATTAATATATTCTCTAGGGGTTCAGCGTAAGGTTACAAGGTTGTTTGATATTCGGCTTCGAATCCTTGACAAAAAGAGCAATAAATTATATTAAAAGATCACGAATAAACAATGACATAAAGAGAGATACAATTATGTATATCAATAAATATGCTCTAATAATCTTCAAGACTCAGGATCTTCTAGGCAAATGGGAAGTGTGCGAATACTTTCATGTTTGCCTAGAAGTAGCGGTCCTGCAATTTTGAGTTATTTGAGGAAATTTGGATTTATGACCACTAACCAGTCAACTATTAATCATCAACTTGCGCACACCTCGAGCGCCTGGATGCACAAAGACTATAAGATGATATCTCAGTTTTGTCAATCACTACTGACTCTCTTTAAATTTTCTGTACTCCTCTGCTCGTTCATCCTGGTATTCTCTGCTTCTTTCCTTCAGATACTCGTCTGTTGTTTTCTCGAGCGATTTAGTATTGTTTCCCCACCACTCGTGCAGGATCTGCTTTATCTGCTCGTTAAAGGCCATCCATTTCTTGCTGTCAGCTTTTTCATTTTTTGGCTGATTCCGCATTGCCAGCTGCAACAGAGTCAACTTCAAAGCAAACTCCTTGATAGCATTTTGCATCTTTATAGTCAAACCATCAGATGGAGGATGGGACTTCAGGCGTTTGTCCTTCCATATGCCGACAGTTTTTAAAGTTCTCCGTATGGTTTCTTCGTGCTGTGGTCTAACATCAAGATCCTCCATGAAGTCCCCGTACTCAAGAAAATCGAGTCTAAACAAAGCAAATTAGTCAAAGGAAGCTAACAATGGGATGAATACCAATGTTTGATTCGAACTCACCTTTCCTGCTGTTTTTCGACATCCTCTCGTTGCTGCTTCTCCCAGTCGGGGTCGTCGGGCTGGGTACAATCTCTTCCAGGATAGTATATCCCCTTCCGCCACTGGGGCGGAATCCATGTTACCCTATTTTGGGCATCATTCTTGAACTGACTTAACCACACGTCCCTACGAGGCCATTCATCCTCTGCCCCGGGTGGTGCTTCAGGCGGAGCTTTCACTTTCCTCTCCCATTCTGGGGGTATAGGAATCGGTTCAGAGCGTCTTGTCCTGCGATTATATCGACGACGACTAATTGGAAACTCTTCGAGGCTGACGTTTGGATTGGGATCGGGATTCACCATTTTGCGATGAATCTCACTTGGATGAAAATGTAAGAATGGTTGTCGAGTCGAGGGTTGACAAAGAGAGCATGCAGATGGTAATGCAGAGGGTATTTATGACAAATATGTAACAAAGAGAATAGGAAAGTCTATTTTGGTAAGCCAAAACTAAGGCAAATGAAAGGCTCTTTGAGCATTGTGCGCTCAAATTTCACCGAGGAAGTTTCTATGAGGCATCTTCTTAGACTCGAAGTCTTTGGACTACCTACCGCAATCTCTACCCTATGTCCATTAATTTCCTAGACCAACTTTTCGTATCAAAATTGATTTGATGAATACCATCTGAAAGGCTTAAATTTCAAAGTGAAGGAATTTATGAATGAAGTTTAAGGATCAATGTACATGAATTCATACAGTAATATCTACTGTATGCATAAGCTGTGTCCTTCGTGCCAGGGATCGATCAGGTGAGTAAGCCGGCCAACTATCCCATGCCTTCGTTGACGCAAACCATACCTTCAGTGATGGGGCTTAATCCGACCTGTCCGTTTTCCCCTAGTGGAATCCCAAGTTTTTATTGCTTCGGTACCCCGACAGGTGTGCTCATGCTCTGTCTGCCCGAGATAAAACGTGACTGGATAAGGGAAAGACGAATTCACCAGAACAGGTTTCAAAGTCACCGGTATCAGGTCACCACAGCAAAGCACGGCCTGTCGAAAATGGACGATACAATGATCGATATACATTCGACGATAGTGGGGCGGAAGGGTCATAGATCTAGCGTAATAATCAAAGTCCAGATGCTTGGGGATCGCGTTCAAACAATGAAGACTGCAACACATCCGGACCACCGTAAAACCCTCCTTTTGGTATTCTCCCACCAGTGGATATATTTGATAGCCTGGGAACCGTAGTGTCAAGGTACAAAAATGATACTCCGGTGTCTTCCAAGCGGAAGTATAAACGCGCTCAAGTTCAGTTTCACCACTTTATGTTCTTCGATCCTTTTTCGAACTCTATTCTGTATTAGGGTATGCCTATTATGGTTGCCTGCACTTTGGATGCATGGCCCCTTCTTCGTTCACCAACCATAACGTAAAGCGGCGCTAATTTCTAAGACATCAGGATGGAATAAGAGACTTGGCAGCTGTGCCTTTATCTAGCAGGGATGTTTAGTACCTTTTGGGGCCGCAAGTCAGCACTACTGATCGGAAAAGCTCGTGTCTACTGCTTGGGTAGCATTTACTGTGGCTTAGCGCACATCATTACCAATTTTCGCCCTACATGCTATGTCCAACATATCCAACAGTAACATGTGCAAGAGAAAAATACATTTAAATACTGACCAAACTACCCTCAAGCTGTATATATTCAATTCAGTTTTACATTAGTTAAGAACAGAGTAACTCTTACACCCTGATCCTATATTCACAATGTTGTTCAGCAAGATTTCTACGCTCATCCTCCTTGCCCTCACTGCGAGTGCTGCACCAGTCAAACGACAAAGTGGTAGTGAGGGTGTCCCTGAGCCTTGGGAAATTGGTGTTACCATTATTCCCGGACAAGGTCCAAGAGAAGATAGTCCATATACCCGTTATCCACCTGGGTCGACCGGCAATTGTATGATTACTATACTATTCTTGCATTATCTAGGAGGGAGACACTGACTGAATATATAGGTGGGAATTCGACAAACGCGTGTCATGAGTTGTGCCATGTTGATCAGCAGCTGTCACTTCCAGATCAAATCCAATGTGAAGACGAATGCTATCGGGAGGAATCAATTCGGTGCTACCATGACGAGGAAGAAAAGAAGCAGCAACAGCAATTCGGTACCCCCCGGGACGGAAATCCTGCCCCTGGGGCCAGTGGTACACGTTAAAGCATGAGTCAACTGCAACACGAGATGCCAGCCTCTATCGTATTGTTATCTCTATGTAATTACAGAGCAACTCATCATATGACTTGATTTTACAATATACATTTCGAGGTCTTGAAATTAACCAGGTCACACATGGACTAGTGTGTTTCAGGATTGTATTTGGGAAAGAATCGAACGTGGTAAAACTGATTTCGAGCGCGTCTGTAACGACCTGGTTTCAGATCATGTTATTTTTGCGTATATGTACCTGCCAGAAATGGACTCACACTTACCACCTATAAGATCATTCCAGTTCTCATCGATCTCTGGGCTTGGGAAGCCGGCGTACAGCGGTTCACTGGCGTGTCTTTTCGAGTGAAAAATGAACTAGACCTTGAACTCAAAAGTATGATTCAGAGTCTGAGTCGTTAAGGGATCTGTTACTATGTTGTGGATCAATGAATAACTTGAACGTTGTTACTACATTTAGTACTAGTATATCTTACAGCCCTGCCTGATGATCATCAACTCAAATCCTGAGAAACCCAGGCGCCTCTAGACCGAGAGATTTCATGGTCCAATTCCTAGAAGCTGGTAAATATTTCGATAAAAACTTGCATGGACCATTAGTCTCACCACGGTATTCCTTGACCATGATTTTCCTTGACCACGGTTTTTTGACTACGGTTTTGTGACCACGACTTTTTGACCACGATTTTCCCCGCACCGTTACTCCGTTCTATAAGTACTAATCATGTTTACCAGCCTTCCAAAGAACACCGAAGAGAAAAAGCAACAAACCCAAAGGTGTGATCCCATTCGCCAGTTCGTAAAGTCTAACTCAATTTCGTTCCCGATTTCACAAACTCATGTGGAAAGCGACCCTTTCTTTGAAACCCGCTACCACGGTACAGCTTCTTTATTCACTGAGTTACCCAGACACTGGAACTTTCTCAGCACCGGCCTTTCTTTCTTCCCCAAGAGCCCTCTCGTACCTCCCAAATAATCCAACTTCGTCAAACACATGTCTTACTCATCTCTATGGCACAAAGCGCTGCGAAACGAAAAAGCAAGAAGACTATCCCCAACCATGCCGTCATCACGAAAGCGCAGGCGTGAAAACAAGTCCCCCGAAGCGACAAGAAGAAGCAAAAGATTATTGAAAGAGCCGCCAGTCTTTATGGACAGTACAAAGAGAACTTGCAAACACGACGCAAAACCAGTCAGTCGTGTTTCTGTTTCTCGTCCTTCCAAGCACGACGTCAAAGGGTACCAACCTCAAACCCGTTTCAGAGAGAATCAGAAGAAAATATATGCTCCAGTTTACAAAGACTTAGACTTCCCGAAACAAGTGGAACTGGAGTCTTCCACGGCCCGGGCAGTCGATTCTCGTCCTTCCAACCTTGACGCTGAAGGACAGCAGCCCCAATCCCAGGCCCAACACGGACAGCCTCAAAAGGAAATATCCGTTTCAGTGTGCAAATACCCAGACCTCTCAAAGCTACTGAGCGGGTTCGGATCTCCCTCAACCTCAGAAGAGAAGCCAAAAACAGAGGACAATCAACGACCTGGACCGCCAACACGAAAAGTCGCAACTCCTACATTCAAGAAAGCACCCGGCGAATCAGAGACACCCTACAACAGCCTATGGGGAAATAAAGAGAACTACAAGCGAGTCGACATAGAGCAATATTTAAAGAAATGCGCGGATTCAAGTCCTCATCCTCGTTCCTCTTACGCGGGATTTGTGTGGAGGTAATTACATTCTTCTTTCATCTTCGAGGTCTAGTCAAAATGGGATAACTAACTTGATATATCAGTGAGAGATGTGATCGTCGATTAAAACTAGAAGAAGGGGATTCGCTTGCTTATCCCAGTGGCACACCCACGGGACGAAGTGCAAGACGGACGCGTGAATTCAAAGCAAACATGGCAAGATTTGGCAGGAACAAAGGGAAGAAATAAACTTGAATGTTCGGTTTCTTGCTTTTAGATGGGAGGTTCCGTCTGGTAAAAACAGAATGTTAGGGCTGAGATGCCCTCGGCATCCAAGATCACCTATTCGTCGCTAGTACATTGCTCTCTCCTAGATCTCTAGCGTTCGCATATCATCACCATTTTTCATGGTTCTGACCTTGTGTCAAAAGAAATTTTATCTTTTCGCTAAAAATTGAACGATAGTATGTGCATATATATCCCCATGAAAGGGGTCGGGTATCTACTAGTAGTATACACCTTTTGAACTAAGCTCCAAAAAAATAGTAGCGAAGTAGAGTATACCTACCTAGGTATAATTAGCCTTGGAACTACTAGTACAATCAATTTGGGACCGAGGATATAAATTTCCAGATCCATAATCTCAAAAATAATCCAAAGCTTGGCCCGCTCGTATACGAGGTCGAATTTGTCAGCGCAATATTCCTGGCATTCATCACCTTAAAATGATCAAACTCACAGAATAACTTTTATGTATACTCCAACTTAGCTCTTCAACCCAGCTATCTATCTATTGTATATAAAAGCTATATATCCAACCTTTTTCCTATAAAAAAAGCCATGGCCCAACTCCCTTACCCTGACTACAACACCCCCCACGCCGCCGCCACATCACATCCAACCATCAACATACTAAAACTTCTTTCCTACAGCACAGCAACAGCGCATCACTGGACCGAACTAGGACATGCCCAATTCAAAAATCTAAAACTCTCCAATCGAGACCGCGAACTTGTCATACTGTTAACCTCATCCAAATTCAACCCTGTCTACGAATGGGCTCATCGTCTTCCCCTGTCCCTTAAGGCCGGGGTGACTAAGGAACAACAGTCTACTCTTGAAATATCAGGTAAGAAGAATAATTATTTCATTAACTGAATTTTTTCAAGGATGAGAACTTCGAAGATGAAAAGGTCGGGTTCAGTGATAAAGATCTTGTCCTACTTACTTTTGTCGAAACAATTATTCAACAGTCTGAAGTCGGGGATCAGTTATGGGAGCGTGTTAGAAGTGAATTCTCGCATAGGGAAATTATGGAAATTATTTCTCTTCAGGTATGTGGTGGAAATGAACTGCCCATGCCCAGGTGGGTGGCAGGCGACACGTTAAACAAATTTCCAAAAATGCGTGGTATAAGTAGAAATTTGGAAAGGATAACAGCCATTTACTAATCTGTGGCTAGGGTTTTTCCTACACATTTTCGCGACTGAATACTGTTCTTCAGAGCGACTTTGATGAATGGGCTAAGTCCAAGCTTTAACTTTGAATGCTTGGAACCTTGGAAGGGGACGATGCTCTGCTCAATGTTGAATAGGACTCGGACTACTAGTAACCAGTACTAGTGCCATGGATAAAGCATGAATGGTCGCGAACTAGAGGCCAGATCCAAAAGGATTTGCCTTGTTCTATTCCAAGGGAAAAACATGCCATAAGACTTGAGTGAACTCCTGAGTTCGCTATTCAAATATTTAGCAAAATTTACATATACCAGCTTCGTTGGTCTAGTGGTTATGATTCATCTCTTCCAAAGATGAGAGCCGTGTTCGATTCACGGACGATGCATTTCTTTTTTTTCCCCGCGAGGTCACTCTCCACTTCGTGAAATTCAAAGGCCGCCAAATACTAGCGACTCTTTTTTTCTAAATCCATGAAAATACTCATAAGTCGGGCGTGACATCGCTGCCAACTTGGAACTAGACCATGCATTTTTGCTTGAGCAGCCAGTGCTTTCTATGTGAGCACTTTAACTCTCCTCTAGCCTTTTAAGACCTCAGCTTAGCACGACCCCACGTCCTGAGGGGTGCGCCAATGAGCAGCACTCGAATGGAACTTGAAGGGAAGTGGAATGGGTGTTTTCAAGCGTTTAACTTGAAGTTGTTGGACAGAATCTGGTGTAAATGTACAACTTGAAAACAGAGATAAAAAGCACGTAATGCAGATGCAATAGTATGTACAATCGCAAAAAATGCACCAGGCAAGGTCGGAGTCAAGGCTCAAGGCTATGCAAGATAAAGGCTAAATCGCGAGGGTAGTAGAGGGCTCAGACACAGGCTAATACAACTAATAACCAGCAAAACACAAACAAGAAAGCTAAAGACTAAAAATCCCACTCCTCTTCTTCCCATGCGGATAAACAATAAGCGCAGAAACAAACAACCCCACCGAAATCCCAATAGCAGTCTGAATCATCCCATAACCAAGCGACGTCAAAGAAGAATTACTCGTCGCCCCACTAGTCGAACTAGTAGTATGATTCTTAACAGCCTCAGCATACTGCAAACCCGAAATAATCGACCCACTCGACGCCAACCCCGAAGGAACAAGCGTAAATATACCCGGAATAATCGCCGCAGCCGCATGACCGTGCCAAATCCGACTATAAAGATTCGCAATGAGACCGATTGTGAATGCGCCGATTGTGTTGGCGACTTGGTTTGATCCGAGGACTTTGGTGCTGAAGTAATTCGTTACGTAGCCGCACATTCCCATAAGCACTGTGACGGGGAGTTGTTTGAATTTGGCTTGGTTGATTAGAGCGGCGAAGAGGCAGAATAGTGCGACGAAGGGGAAATGTTGGATATATTCGTTGCCCCATATGTCTAGGCTTGCTGTTGGACAGGTTGATTCTGTTGTTGCGTTGCCGTCCATTAAGCCGTAGATGGTTGTTCCGACTGTTACGCCGTAGCCCAGGAAGAGGGAGTAAATAATTGTGAAGACCATTCTGATTGAGCCGGCGTTCATTTGGTGGGACTGTAATTCGAGAGAGGAACTTAGGACGGCGAATCCAGGGAGAATCATTGCGATGGATGATTGCGCTATGGCTGCGAAGCAGAAGACGCGGTCGCCGTTGTGCTGGATACTTCCGAATGCGCGGGCCAAGAAGGAGGTTAGGACTGCTGCTGAGACTTCGAGGACGTTCGAGTATGTTGCCGAGGCTGGGGCGAGGACATTTTGCATGAAGCCGACGATCGAGCCGAGGACGAAGATAATTGGCAAGTCGATTGGTCGGGCGCTGAAGGCGTAGGGTCCGACGGCGACACTGGCTAGACCCGTGAGTAGGACCAAAGTCCAGCGGTTGTAGCGAGGTTTGCGCTGCATGATTTCGTCCAGGTCTTGGGTTGCTGTTTCGACGCCGACGAGATCGTGCACGACGTTCTTGTAAACGTTATGTGTCTCTGCGAGTCGGGAGAGATCTAAGCCCTGGACCACGCGGATAATTTTCACCTCGGCGGTGCGCGTTAAGGCGTCGTCAAAGGACATGAACATACATCCGGGGATGTACAAGAATTGGGCCTTGACTTCTAACACATTGGATGTCATCATCATGTACTCTTCCAGACGGTGGGTGGGAGCACCGTATTTCATCAATGCACGACAGAGTTGCATGATATACTGCTGTCGTGCGAGAATTGCCGCAATATGCACCTTCAGCTTGACATCCTTCTGGCTCTGGCGCTTTTGCTTCTTGCGTTCCCGGTAGCCCATTGGCGTTGAGCCTTGCGCACCGGGTACACCTACCCTGCCCATATCCATGGATGCAGCCACGAGGGAGGAAGTATAGTGATGACCGGGCTTCTTTTGCTTTGGAGTTTCGTTTCCTGTCAAAGGTTTTTCCATTTTCTTCAACTTGTCCAGCGCGTTTGGCTTGCTGTTGTTCGAATTGGCGTACCACTTCATCTTATCCTTCTTTCCCCCGGGGTAGCAGTGCCCGTCGCCGTGCCTGTCGCAGTGGCTGCTCTGGCGCCATTGTCAACCGCCGTGCTTGATGTGCCCGGGGTATCTGGAGCTGTAGGTGGAATAGTCTCAGTCGGAGGGTCAAAGTCGACAGCCGTAGTAGCCAAGCTCATACGACTAGCCGCAGGTAGATTATTGGCATAAACACGAAGCAAATGAGACAAAAGACCACCATTCAGCGGAGTCGATGCTCCGCTCCCCCGGGGTGGTTGCGCCGGATGGAGGCAACGAGTCGCGAGTTCGATATGTCGGTAGGCCGAGATTATTGATCAGATGCTCAGCCTGAGAATCATGATCATGGCCCGTCATCCTTTCCTCCTCATCATTTGCCACGCGGGCCTGGTGGCTGTGGATATCATCGGTTGCGCCATAATATTCGGGCGAGAAGCTGGCATCCAGTCCATCTTCCCCGGCTTCATGCGGTCGACCTAGTGCCTCGGCAATTGTGCCTGCACGGTCTTTGACCCGCTTGCTGAGGGTTCTCCATCGGGCTGAGTAGGATGCTGTGCTGGGCTTCTCGCTAGCCTCATCGCGGCAAAAAGTCTCGGGCTCAAGATCATTCCTTCCTCCTATATCGGGGTCGGCGGCATGTGCCGGATGATGATTCGTATCATCTTCGTGCACTGATGTATCGGCGGAGGGATAATTTGGAGGAGAAGGGGTGACCTTCTCCCTATCGAACGGGTCCGACATAGAAGATGACCGGAGTCAAGTGGCGGAACCAATCGGAAGTGTCGGAAAAGGCGGACTGTTTTTTTTTCTCAGCGAAGGATTGACCAGTATTGACCAGTATTAAAGTTTCCGGGGAAGGAAAAAGTCTGGGTGTGATTTAATAAAATTCAGGGCGAGGGCGAGGGTCAGGGTCAGGGACAGGGGATGCAAACGAGTGAGCTGGAGGACAAGGAAGAGTCCTGGCAAGACGCACCCCACAAACGGCAATAATTCATATTTCTGGGGGGTGGGACTTTTTGGGGGGTCCGTCCTGGGTTTTATGATTTTATGAATACTAGTCCTGACCCACGTCGCTAATGTGGGTTGAAGTCATATGGCCGCTAAAGTCGGCTTGGATCAGGAGAGAAACGCGTCCGGGTCCACATGGGGTGTTGTCCGAGTGCTGCGGTCAAATTGCCAAGTGGACGGGGACGGGGATGGTTCGGTGTTCCTGGGATCGACAGAACAAAAGAAGAAAGAGAACCCTGACGGTTCATGAACGGGTGTGTCGATGGTGGCTGTCTACATGCATGCCCGGGGGACAAGGCGGAGGATATCATTCGATTCCTCAGCAAACAAGCTTCGGGGAGAAGCACTAAGGCACGCTAGGCCTGGACCAGAGCCGTTGCTGGCAGCAAGACAGAAAAATGAAGAAGCGGAGAGAAGAGTGGGCCAGGAGGAGTGGTGGCCAACAGTGAGAGTGTCGATATGACCCACTTGACGGGCCAGACCAGATGGATCACATAGGGTAGAGTAGAAAGGAGGGTATACTCCGTAGAATAGATGAATATACGAGGCAGTGGACCAGTGATACTATACTAGTAATGAAATAAGTGTGCAGATATACTCCATAATACAATACTTATACTATAGTTATACTATACTGTATACTACATGCTATACAGTGTAACCTAGTTATGTCGTGTGCACTGGTACTTCTACACTTATACCACCTCGGCAAGAATTGCTCCGATAACGATAGTACAGAGTAGCCTCCCAGTGCCAAGCAGCTAGTCTGGTACCTGGTGGCGGTGCTAATTATACTCGGGGAGGAGTGCGGAGTAGCGGAGTCGGAGTATATTTAGTTAACCTCGGAGTACACAGCAGTATAGGAGTAGTAACGTGTTTCACTAGCGACGTATGTATCGCTTCTCCATTATCTGACTACTCACAGTGATATACTAGGTACCCTACACTATCCAGTAGATCTATATGATCAACAACAATACTAGTATACTAACATAGTATACTAGTTATATACTACACTACACTATCCCCTGCATAATCCCCACTGCGCCATTATCTCACCCAGTTGCATGATCTGCCAAGCCAACCCCCGCGCCTTTGCACTACTCTAGTATCCTGTAACTATCCTGTAACTTGATTGAGGATATCCGAATGCTGTTACCTGCACTGCCCCTCATATTGGCATTGGCATTCCACCAGCCACACCTAGGCACTTCTACTTCCCACTTTCACTTTTCCTTTCACTTCTACTCCTCTCTTCCTCACTTCCTCTCTTCTTCTCCCACTTCACTAAAACCATGCAACCATGCCATCAACACCCCTCCAACCACCAGACCACCCCATCGCCCTCCGCCACTCCCACCTCCTCGCCCCAGCCCCAGACCGCCTAACAAACACCCCCACAACACTCACAGTAACACGAGAAAACCCCCCTCCTCCCGAACAGCCTTCACAATCGCCCAGCTCCGCAAAGACGAACCCATCGACAGTTTCCGCCGCAGCACCCCGCTCTACACAGTCTCCGGCCGCGTCTGGAGTAATTCCCAACAACGCGAAATCAGAGATGTATCCGGCCGCCCACTTCTCGAACTGCGCCGCATCTGGTGGCGCGGCCAGTGGATCGTTAAACGAGCCGGCGGCGTCGGCGATGAACTCCTCTGCGCAGAAATGAGATGGGCTATCGGGATGAAAATTGGGGCGAGGTTTTCCAACGCCCTCGTTGCGGGGAGCGAGGGGATGACCGTTTCGCGCGGGGGGAGAGGTCCGAGTACGAGTCCGGGACCCGGCACCAGTTTAGGTGGATCGAGTGGATCAAGGACGACAAGATCATTATCAAGATCACGGCCTCGAACTGCGCAGCCAACGCCAACGCCAACGCCAGCACCAGCGTCCGGGCCAGGATCTACTTCAGCCTCGGCTGCAGCTGCGGCCGCAGCCGCAGAAGCAGAACGCAGCGCAGGAACAGCGGCAGCAACAGGGACAGGGACAGGGAGTGCAACAACAGGACCAGCACCAAGACCAGCAGCCCTCGGATCAGCATACTATCGACCAACGCCAACCCGCCGCCGAACAATAAGCAACTACCCCCACGCACCACCAATAGCCCGGGACGCCCCACCCCCATACAGCGCAACAGCAGCAGCCGGACACGCAACACACAGCGATAACGAGAACTCCAACGACATCTCGCACGAAAACTCCCACTCAAACGACAGCAACACATCCAACACCCCCAGCGCCTCATCAAGCCGCACATCCCTCTCCAGCACCGCCGACAGCAGCGACGACGACAGCGACACAAAAAGCCGCAGCACAGTCTTACCCTCTTACGAAAGCGTCCGACGAATGCGCCGGCACTCCTCACACCACAGTCTCCGCGATCTCCTAGACGCAATCGAACCACCCCGAGAACCAGCCCCCGCATCCGCAGCCCCGTATCCGACTCGGCGACGCTGGAGTGAGAGTTGGACTAGTATTGACCCCCGCGTTGAACTTAAGGTTGTGCAGGCTAGTTCGACGGTTGCGGAGGTTATGATGGGGGAGAGGAAGATTGTTCATGTTAAGCGGGGAAGGGTTTTGGATATTGTTGGTTCTGGGAGACGGACGAGGTGGGAGGTTGAGATTGCTGAGGGGGTGGATTTGTTGTTGGTTTCTTGTATTGTGCTTATTATTGCTGAGTCGCAGTCTGTGAGGCATGAGAGTCGGTAGTATGTAGGAGGTGGGTGGTGGAAGTTCGTGAAGGAAGGCTGTTTACCTGGAGTGAATTGGGGTGATCCCGAATTAGTTTCAGAGGGTGTGGGGGTTGGGGCTCTCTGCTCTTTCATTTTCTTCTTATTCTTCTCTTTTCATTTCTTTACATGCATCTAGCATCAGCGTTGCATCGGCTTTACCTACCTTACTTACTTCCCGGATACAGTTATCCGGGTCGATTTTCCTTTTTCTTTTTAAGGTTTACTTCAATTTACTTCCCTTCAACAAGGACCACGAACCGTTACACAATGAACATGAACATGAACATGAAAAATTCATTTAGAATTCAAAAAAAAGAGCTGGGCTTTTGACACTCGGCATGCATTGCATTTGCATTTCATTTTTGCATTGAACTTGAACCTGAACCAGAACAAGACAAGACAAGACAAAACATTGGGCACATTTTTGTTTTTTAACCATACATTCATCAGGGGACGCATGAAACGTCCCGTATTAGTTTAATAAACCATTACGCGATGGCGCGCGTGATGTGGGAATCGATATCGGATCGGGACAAAACAAACACAAATAAGAAGATAGAACAGAACAGATCATCTATCTACTCTACTGGATTTTGGCCAGACGCTTGCTCATACTAGAGTGAATGGGTTAGTTAAAATATTCTCATCACGCTCAGTGGGAAAGGAAAGGGAAAGAGAGGGAGACATACAAGTCAAAGAAGGAGAATTGGCTGGGCTGGTTGCCGTATTCGTAGACGAAGCGGCTGGCCAGGTGACTACCGAAGATAGCGCGGATATAGTTCTCAGGGACCTAATAGCAGAGTTAGTAAAGCACAATCGGATGAAAGCCAGGGAAACCCCAGGGGGAGTAAAACGTACCCGCTCCAAAATGGTGTCGAGACCAATCTTATCCAAAAGAAGACGGGGAAGGGCGTCACCCAGAACAGATCGGCGGAGAGCAATGTTATCCCACAGCTCGGTTTGCTGAAGCTCCTCGTCCAGCTTGGTGATAGCCACACTGAGACGGTCACTAAGGACACTGCGCAGGACACCAGTCTGCTCGTGTTCGCGCCAGATAGCCTCAAACTCAAGAGTGGCGTTTTCCTTGATGACCTCCTGGACCTGGCGGACGTAGTCCTGGTAGAACTGAGGAACAGTGCCATCCTCACCAACACACATGTTGGCGACGAAGTCCTCGTCGTTGAAGGAGAGGGAGGCCAGGACCTCCAGAGAAGAAGAGGTGACACCACCCTTGTTGGCGGAGGCATCCTTGAACAGAATACAGCCGGCCTTTTCGAGGCGCAGCTTGCTGTCCTGGGTGATGAACAGGTTGGCGCCCTCGACGATGTAAGGGACGACGGACTTGTTGTCGACGATGAGCTTGCCGACAGTGGAGAGGTCGATGGACTCGGGACGACCACCGCAGGGGACGAAGACGTCGAACTTCTCGGTGTGGCGCAGGTGGAAGGTGTTACGGAAGATCATACCGTTGGTAACGACCTCACCGCTGGGAAGCTTGACGTTCTTCTCGTCGACGAGAATACGGTATCCCTCAGGCGAAAGCTTGGACAGGTCGAACTCTGAGATCATGGCGCGCTTCTTCGCGAGGCGGATCAGCTCGTCGTGGTTCAGACCTTGAGGGTCGACGATGACACCGGAACCATCGACGATACCGGCATACTTCTCGTTGGAGAGGAGAATCTCGTTGGATCCCAGATCACCGTCGGGTCCACCGGTTTGCAACTTGGACATGGTGGAGGGGTCGATGCCGAGCTTGCGGTAGATACCGAGCACGTACTGGCGGACCGAGAGGGTGGTCATACCGTAAGTGTCGTGGGGAATACCACCCAGCTTGGGGCTCTTTCCGGTGAAGAAAGACTTCCACCAGGGAGCGCCACGGCTGCGGGCGTGCTCGGTGGCCCAATCGACCAGCTCGGCGGTGTTCTCGTCGGGACCCATGAAGAGGATCTCGTCCTTGCCGTGCAGATCGACAATGGGATCCTTAATACCAGGGCTGACGGGAGGCAGCAGCAGATCCATGATACTGTCGATGTACTTCTCGAAGGCGACCCGCGCCTTGTCTTGGTGGTCGACATCCAGGAGGATAACACCCTTGGCACCGCCCTCGGGAATATCCTTGTTCTTGCGCTGCTGAGTGTTGGCAAGGTTGTAGTTCTCATCGAAGAGGGAGCGGGAGTTGATGCTGTAAGCCTCCTTGTTACGACTCTTGACAATGCGGATACCACCACGGGCGATATCACGGAAACGCAGGTGGAAACCGCGGAACTCCGAGGCGATCACCAGGAACATGCCGTAGAGGGGTTGCGGGTACTCATGCTCCGGCAAGAAGTCCGGCTTCAGGCGGAAACTCAGGGCCACCTTGGTGGGCGTGAAGAAGTTGGTCTTGAGAATGGAGGAATTGAACACGCGGAAGGAGGTCATGACCATCTCGTCGTGCTCGTTGGCAGCCGAGCTGCGGATCAAGTGCTTGAGCTTGTTGCTATCAAGGACCTCATCCACCTGAAGACGGAGGTAGGAGAGAGTAGGCAGGAAGTCATCGCTGGTGGGGCCCTGGGTCTGTACATAGTGGGTGTTGGCGAAGTCCAAGTAGAGCTTGTGAATGAGATCGGGGTAGCGGTTGATGATCTCGAAGATGTAGTCGGCAGTGAAGGTCTCAGTGCGGAGACGCTTCTTGATCTTGGAGAGAAGCTCAGCGTGGACACTGTTGTTGGGATCCAGCAGAGCGGAGAGAGAGGTATATTCAGAGCCAAGACGGTTGAGGAATTGTTGCACAAAGACCCACGCAGAGTGAGCGTAGATAGTTTCCTGAAGACTGAGGCGGCCAGTAGCAAAGTGGCTCTGGAAACGGTTCTGGGGGATACAGTAGAGGAGAGAGATCTCCTTCATGATCTGGTGAATAGCAGCCTCAATGGGAGGGTGGCGAGCGGCAACCTCCGGAGAATCGGAGGGGCGCAGGTACAGAGAGATAACAGTGATACCGTTGGAGAAGTGCTCGAGGTACTTGCGCGAGCTGGTCAGGCGGTAGTAGTGGTACAGGTCAGACAGAGCGCTGAACAGGCCCATGGCGGAGCCCTGGCGGTAGGCAATGACAACGCGCTTCTCGCGGCTGCCTTCGATCTCAAACATCTCGATGACGGGACCGTGGCGGCCGACCGCAGTAGAGATGATCTCCTGGTAGACCGCCTTGGTGTTGGGGGTGGCCTTCTGGAGGAAGCGCTTCTCACCGATGATATCGATGTTGGTCTCGTTGGGGTCGGGGTTGGGGTTGGCGAACTGGCACTTGTACACAAAGTAGCAGCGCAGCTGCTGGCCATTGTCACCAGGGAGGGCAGTTGGCGAGCGGAAAGTCTCCACACGGTAGCTGTTGGCACCCTTGGAGGGGTTGATGTACTTCTCATCGATGCGCTGCTCGTAGCGAGGGCCATCCATGGAGGCGACACCAGGCTTACTGGTATCGATGTAGACGGCGTGGTCCTCGGCCTCCTTGTCCAAACGGATCTCCAGCTTCTTGTCATCGCGAGCGTAGGCGGCGACCTTGGCAGCGTAGAGAGAGAGGATGTGGGTGACAATGTTATCCACGGACTCGGTCTGGAAGTAGGTGTCATCGATACCCAGCATGTTATAGAACCAAGTGGTTTCGGAGGTGATGAAATCGGCGGGGAAGAAGCCCTTCTCCTCCAATTGATCCATCACTGGGGTTATGTTAGCAAGTGGCTCAATTGTAGGGCAGTTTCTTGAATTTATGTTGCTCACCTTGCTCCATCTGCTTCTGCTTGCCTTCGAAGGTGGCAGCGATATATCCGGGGTCCTCCTCGGACAGCATGCGGTGGGGAGTGCCGGGAATACCCAGGTGAGTGGGCTGCGGGGACGGATGCCGCGAGTTGGGGCCGACCGCATGATCGAGGTGCTTGTTGTGAGGGTAGCGCTGGAAGCCGATGGGAGTTCCAGTGCCGGAGGAGCTTCCGTCATGGCTGTTGAACAGCTTGGGGAGAGGGCGGGATGGCAGGGAAGTGCCATTGGAGGCCTCCGACAGAGGAGTGGAAGGGGCGGGAGACGACATGTTTGTCTAGATGGGAATTGCGAGAGAGAAAGAAAGACGCTGGGGAGGTTAGCCGCGGTGTCCTAGCCAGCTCTTTGAGTGATTCAATGATTGAATGGGGGGGGGGTTTCCAAATGTTCCAGACAAAAGGGTTTCAGTATCTCCGAGTTACCCCAAGGCAGGTGCAGCACGTGGACAGATAAGCTGGCAGCTGAGAAGAGCAATGCAATGCAGAGTAATGCAGAGCAGAGCAGAGTAAAGCAATTGCTTATCGGCAGTTCTGCCAGGGTTGACCTGGTTCCGAAGCATCTGGAATTCCAGAATACCAAAGACGGTGACGGTGGTGACGGGGCAGTGGGAAAGATGATATCATGCAGATAGCCGGCAAGGAGGGAAGTGGGGGGGAGGAGGAGAAGTACTCACCAGCGCCATGGACTATTCCACAGATCTATGAAGAAAATAGAGGAGGAAATGGTTGAGGGGAAGGAAATCTAGAAAATCCGGGGAATGGGCAGGGTTTAAATACAAACCAGAGATGGGATACTTCCAAGGTAGACACCACCACCACCACCAGAGACAACCGACGGTAGGCGCACTGGCAGAGTTCCATGACTCCATAATTAGTTGGTTGGACCCGCGGTCTCGATGGACTTTGGGGGATCCGCAGCAACGCTCATTCCTTTCTGTGACTAAGAACCGGCGATGGCGGGGCTTCTAATTGGTTAATATCGCCCTCTCCCCGAGGACAAGACCGAGTGGGAAAATCCCGCGTCATGCGGGCCGAATAATGCCTCATGAGGGTATACTCTGGACATACTCTTGCGATATAGCCCTGGTACTGGCGATAGTACTGGCGATAGTAGTAGCAGTATCACTACTACTACACTGTCTACTAGTATCTATCTATCCTCTGGTATACCTCACTAGTATAATTAGTATCATTCCCATACTATCTCCAGCCTACTACCAGTGGCAACTGATTCATTCTAAAAAAAGACCCCCGTGACCACCACTACAGGGGCAACCAAGTCACCTGCCAGCTGAAGAGAATGAAAGAATCCAATGTGTCAGAGTTTTCATCCAAACAACTCCGCTAATCCCCAGTAAAATCCCTCAACAACCCCAGCCCTACCACCAAATCGTCATGTCCGGGGGATTATCGCCATTGGGGAAATTTCAACATCAACATTGGGGAACCATCTAGTACTCGCAGCCAAACAGAAGCCAAGCAGCCAGTTATCGAGGGGTAATAGCCAAGGCTATTACGCCTTAAAACCCTGGCCTACTCCTACCCGGCCCGGTCTCTCCAACTAACCAACGACTAACCGGAGGGGGGAAGCCCGCGGTACCTGGATGCGATCGTCACTGGTTGCGGGGTAGCCGCCACAACCAGTGGCCGGTGGTCGTGGTGAAATCTCTGCAAATTCGCCCCGCGTTGAGGGATCGTGAATCGTGAATCGTTGGATGGGTGAAAATCTGGAAAGTCTGGATCGTGGTCTGAGTCTGGAGACCGGCGGGGCCCTTACGTGATCGCGTCCGCAACTGCGCAGGTGCGCCGCCTCATCATTGGAAGTTGTCTCCGACCGGCGATTATTTTAAGGTAATACCTTCCAAGAATGAATAGCGGGAGTACTGGGAATATGGAGATGGGATAACTTGTATGGAGTAAATTATGGCGGCTTGGGCCATTCAGCACGTCACGTCAGACTCGTGCTCGTTAGGGTGTATCATCTCATCTCATCTCATCTCATCTCATCTCATTCCTTGGGAATGATCGTGGTTATGGCCATGGCCGTCATGGGAAGAAAAATGTTGCCATGCATTAAAGAGGTCCAGGAGGTCCAAGCCAGTGTCCAGAGTCCAGTCTAATTGAGCCGGCTATCTCCCCGTTGAGAAAACGGCCAATCTTCTCGTGTCCAACTGTGCTTATCAGAGCGGGCAGAGGCAGAAGTAAAGGCCACCTAACCATTGCTAGACCAACTGGACAGCGACCTTATCTCTTGGTGTACTGTACTGTACCTTGACAACTTGAACTGAGACAGATCTCGTCGATCAATCTCACCTCAACCCGGAAGCATTCTTCAGTCCAAATGTCAAGGTCAAGAACTTGACAACTCCTCGAGCCCGAACAAGGCGTGGTCACGATAGTTATCCCCTGCGTGTCTGACTCGGGGCTGCCCCAGCCTCGCCCCAACTCATAGATAACCACCCTACCCTACCATCCACCCCCTGTCGAGATCCGAGCTCCATGCCCAAAACAAGGCGCAGAGTTGAGTTTGCTCGAATTCCATTCCAGGCAGATAAGTACGAGTAAGACCAGAGCAAACTCTACCTTACGCGGACCCTATCATGGGAACCTGGGGTAGAATATGTAGAAACTCCCTTATCTTGAGGCCCGAGACCCGGGGGCGTAGACCTAGGTGTCGACGTGGCCATCTCATCCCATACGAGCACTGCAAAGTCCCTGCTCCAGGTACGAATGAGTACAATGGCCACCGCATCAGAGCAGGTACTCGCTACTTTACTCGCTTCTCACTAAGATACGATTGGACATGTTTGCCGTGGTACCTGATCAGATCTACCTGCAGAACAGAACAGAACAACTCATCTGCAGAACGGCTCTGGCTCTGGCGTCTGGCGGTGAGGCGGGTTAGTTGTACAGTGCACTGCAAACGGTGGTGGAGTGGATGCGATGGGATGCCGCAGCCCCGGGCAGAGGCAGGGACAGGGGCATACTCGTAGCTATCGTAGGCACTTCTACAGCTTCGAGTATAGATAACCGTCCTATCTACACACTATACATATACATATAGATGTTAGGGTACCGTGTTAGTTAATGATAGGCCAAGTTCCAAGGCCACCTAACCACAGGCACTGCCAGTGGCAGCCTGAGTGTCAGCGAAGAGGTCCAACCAACCCCCTTCACCCATCACAAGGGGGGTCTAGAACAAAATAGCCAAATAGTCTGAAAATAAAAATAAAAATAACCCTGAGGAATGTCGGGGATTGAAAATATTGAAATAGTACTCCATAGTAGTACTACGAGATGTAAACTAAACTAAACTGGAGCCCCGGAGATCCAAGGACCAGGAAATCCGGAGTGGCTGGAATGGGGACTCCCCTTCTCCATCCCATCCCCGTCCCCCTTCCCCGGATCAGAGACGAACTCGATCCGGCAGGGAAAAAAATAATTAAATAATTAAACAATTAGAATAATTGCACCCCGTACTCCGTCCTCCATACATAATAACCACTAGTTAGCCCTTCAAGTTCGTAGTTAGTGCATGATCGCTACGCTATGTGATGTGCTATGTGCTATGTGATCTCTCCTTGGGCTCTAATGTACAGTAGGAGTACTCCAGGTATCGTTACTCGTTCCCTCGCCTAACCACACCTCGTCTCGATTTTCGCTTCGATTCAATCAATCCCTTGAAGCCGGGGCGATCGGGTCCGAATCCGAATCCAAATCCAAATAATTAGCCATTACCCACCGGGAGAGTACAGTATGCCAGCGAGGCGCGATTGAATCGAATCGAATCGAATCGATAGTGCATCCGGTCTCCACGGCTACAGTACACCGTCGGAACAAAGAAACGGTCGAATCCTGCCAGTGGGAAAGCGATGATCCATATAAGAGGTACGGGTAAAATTCATTGTGCAGTGAGTGCCAGTGATCGTCCGAGAAGTTGACCCGCAAATCTATCGTAAAGTACGCAATTGCCAAACCATAAAAGAGTGTCGGCCACCGCCATTCTCCAACTGAAGAATCAGGCGATGTGTACCCCTGGCGTGGAGTAAGTGTGGAGTTCATGGAGTATTGGAGTGGTGTGGTGTAGTGTGGTTGGTATCCACTGGGCTGGGGCTGTGGATGGAATGGGATGGTTCACTTCGACTGCCTTTGTCTTTGTCTTTACTCGTACGTAGGTGTAGGTTACAGTTAAGCCGTAGCCAAATCTAAAGTAGAGTTGAAGTGAAATTGTACCGTATCTCGCGGTTCAATTTCCATTTCCATTCCATTTCCATCCCATTTCCCCGGAACTCCCCCGTAAACAGGACGCTCCGGGGGCGAGAATCGCCCGACAGAGTGGTTGTTGGGTAGGACAGCGGGATGGGATCAGCGCTTCTCCGGGTTTTCTCCGGCAAGAAGAGTAAATTCAGGTAAAGTAACTTCTAGAAGGAATTGTGTCGAAGGAATTGGGCCTTGGCTTGCCCCTTGAAACATCATGATGTGTACAGTACAGCCTGAGTCTGAGCTTTGAGTCACAAAATTGGGTGGACACACTAGTACTGTAGTAACCCCCGGAGTAGCCCTGATCCTGATCCTGATCCCTTTTATCCATTTCCATTTCCATTTCCCCACACTAGACTAGTACGCGTCAGGCGGGAAAGCCTCCCGCCCTTCCGGAATGTCTTCATCCAATTATCCCCAGAGTGGGAATGAGGCGATGGGGATCTTGGCGAGGCCGATCTTCCCCTTGGGCTTGGGAGGAGGTGGAGGTGGAGGTGGAGTGAAGAGTGTTTCCACAGTGCAGTGCAGTGTACTGGGTACCTGTTGATTCCCTGTCTGGCATGTACCCCGGAGTAATTGCTGGCCTACTCCACGCCCATTTCCGCTGGCTTGAGGGGGATTTGGGATTTTCCGATTAGGAGTTGATCGAGTATAATTACCTTGCTTTCCCTTGGTCCTTCCATTAGTCCTTCCATCTCTAATTTTCCAATTTGTTACCACCCATTCGTTAAACCTCTCTCTCTACCTATCAGCTACTAGGCATTCATTCACCTACACTTTCACACACATACTCCATATCATCTCCAACCACTGCACTACACTACACTACACTACATTATCCACCTGCAAATCGGAAAGACTCGCAACATCCCATCCTCCCATCCTGAGTAAGTTCCGAACCCACCCTACCCCGGCCCATCCTTCGTTACATCATATCAAGCACTCCGATCCGCCGAGCTGAGCTCTCCCCTCGGGCGCTTTCGGAAGACTCAATCCAACAGAACAGCTCGGACAAAAGCTCATGCATCGACAGACACAGATAAACCCGGGCCATATCCGATCCATCAGCCGCGACATTTGATCTAAGCGCCGTACCGAGGTCAACCCAAGTCACGTCACCTCAAGTGAACTCAAGTGAAGCTCCTGCCACTTCTACCCGATCAACACAATACAAAAGAGTTCCATCCAGCCAGCTCCAGCTCCACCCTCCTCTTCAATCACTCAATCTCAATCTCAATTCAATCTCCAACTCTACTCTACTTCCAGCCAAACAAACCACAACACTTTCACCTCGACTTCCCTCCATCTATCCATTTATCTCTCTTCGCAACACCACCCACTCCACCAACAAAATGGCCACTATCTCCACGCCAAACACCCTAACCCTCTCCCCACCCACAACCGCCAGAGACGCCTTCTCACAAGACATCTCCCGCGCATTCATGGGCTCCGCTTCAAAACCAAAGTTCCACGATACTCTACCTCCCGCACCCCCGCCGTCCCCGGTCTCCCTGGCCATCGACAGTACGGGCAAAGCGACCAAGTCCAAGCATGAGAAGATTCCTAGTTTGAGTCTTGAGTAGGCTAGCCCAGGGCAGGGCAGCACCCAATGGGTCATGCTGAGAGTGTCAAGTTTACTTTACTTTTACTCGTTACCGTCAACATCACATCCACATCAATATTCTTCCACGCCCGTCTGGACGCCTTGAAACTTGATAAAAACGACGATGCGACGGCGTGAGCGACACGACAGCGACCGACTTCACCATTCATTCATCTTGCAGCGATATTTGCGATTCTACTCTTCCTCAGTTCAGTTCAGCTCGGTTCGGTTCGGTTCGGTTAGCGCGGCATGGCGGCGTGATTTGTTTCTTCTGTTACTTTCCCCCCTTTTTTTCCCTTTTTTTCTTCCTTTTGGGGGGGTCTTGCTTGGGATTCAGCCAGCTTAATACCTTTGTTTTGTTTTTTCTCTCATTTCATTTACGCGCTGTTGTGATTTTGTTGTTCTTCTATCTTTAGTGTGGGTTATTGGTCGGGGCTGGTCAGGGATATGTATGGACGGCTTGGTCTGGCTTGGCTTAGCTTGGACGGATGGATGGATGGATGGATTAATTGTTCTGTTCTGTTCTGTTTAAGTTCTGGGATACATAAAAGTCATGGAGATAGGCGTTCAAGTTCGGGTTGTTCTGGCGTTTGTGTGTTTGTTTATGATCTGAGCAATTTCATTATTATTACTTTACTTGATTCTTTTCCTTTCCTTTTCCTTTCTCTTGTTCCAAGGTTTTGGAGTGATTTCAGGAGAACTTGGCAGTCTGCCACATACTATGGCATACGAGACGCCAGGCTGGGCTGACCAGGCTAGTGAATTTTACACTTGTCTGCGACTGAGGTCGGTGACGGAAGTACATACAGACGTATCCAAATGCCATCTCACATGTAATGTACAGATTACTACTGTCGTATGACGATCAAAAAGAGGTGTGCAAAGGTACATTATTAGGTTTGCTATGATTTGCTATGATGTCAAGAGCGAGAGCGAGATGCTTGACTCGACTAGTCTAGCTTGCTTTTATCCAACTTGTCTAGGTCTGGCCTAGACCTAGACCTTTGGAAGGATGCGATACATCAACCCAATGTACTAGTACTTTTGCAAAATGCTCTCGCCACAGGAGGGAAGAGGCGACAAAACGGGTCGAATATCCATCCTATCCTATCCGACGAACACAGCTCGGTCGCACGGGGAACTGGTTGCTTCACTTCACCCGAGGTAGATAGGATGGTTGGTCGGGTCGGGGACGGGGACAGGAACGGGGAGCCCGACGATCCAAGGCGTTGGGATGACGTTACCCATCACATCAGGGGAAGATGATCGCCCGGGAGACTGTAGGGTCTGGAATTGGACTCATACAGTATATTTGCATTTGCATGTGCCATGTGATCCGATCCGATTATAGATGTTGCCGCGAAGCCGAGTGGGGCCCGTGATTCCGAACGGGATTGATCCTCGGTCTGCCAAACTTGCAGGGACTCTGGGCAGAACTTATGCACTGTGGAAGAATTCGTAAGGGATGCCTATCCCGGACTTCAGCTCGTTCTCGTCTCGCTCAGATGCGCGACTGCACTAACCTTCCTCAGAGAGAGAGAACAGAGTCCAGTCCAGTGCAGCTGAGCTAGCCGCGATGGCAATCAGGGTCCAGCGGCCAACCACAAACTCATACCCATAAATGAGCAGCAATGAGCACAATAAATTCGACAAAAAGAAAGCCCAACGGCAAGACCAGACCAGACCACAAATCAAGAAGGACCCTGATCTTGATCCTCATCCTCATCCTGACCCTGACCCTGAAACTCCGAGTCTTCCTCATAATAAGCACGAAAAAGTATCTCCAACTGCTCCATAGCATCCGCATCGCCATTAGCAGCTTTCTCCCGCAATTTCTGCACATCGGCGATTTGTGCCTCCGTCTTCGCCCATGCCTCCAGGTTCGCCCACGCAGCAAGACGCTTTGCGACATCGGCATTTCGACGCACTTGATAGACTGTCCTTACTTCGTCCGTTTCCCCCTTGTTCTTCTTGAGTGCTTGTAGCTTTGCGATAAATTGCGCCTGGTGCGATTGTCCAGTGGACGAGCCGCTCTGCGCTGCAGTCCCAGTCCCAGATAGGCCGCTGCTGGAGGTGAGGTTTGCTTTGCGGCCGACGATCTTAACGCTGTTGGCGGCGAGGAGCTCGAATGCGGGGCCCTTGTGGAGGGGCGTGGTTCGGGCGGGATCCATGTCTGGATCAGTATCTGGGTGTGCGAAGAGGAGTTCTGTGCCCATTTGATCGGCCCAGGAGCAGCTGAAGATTTGATTTTGGTAGGCGATTATTGGGTTGCGTGTGTGGAGGGCTAGGATTTGGATTCGTTCGCGGGTGAGGGAGTCTTCGGCGCTCTCGAGTGGGGTGAAGGCGTCTATGGGTTGGTTTGGATCGTCGTCGTCTTGGGCTTGGGCTTGTGCTCGGGATTGATCTTTGGATTTGTCGGGTTGGCGTTGGCGTGGGGGCCGGATTGGGCCATGGTGGGCTGTTAGGTCGAGGTTGAGGTAGAAGCTCTGGGGAGGGTGGTTAGTTGGATCTGGGGATGAATTGGAGAAGAGAATGGAAGGGAAGAGGGGTCAGAACCTCTGTCTCGGTGGGGTGGTACTCGTATTCATAGTCTGAATCTGAGTCGGGGTCAAGGTGAGAGTCGATCTCCATGACTGGCAATTGAGGTAATAAAGAGCTGGCAGTGTTATTGTTAAAGTGTGCAATGGATGATCTACAGAGCTTCCATCACGTCGCGACCCGCGATCGACACGTGACCTGGGAGATAAGGGTGAGTCATCTAGGCGGTGAGCGAGTTATCAGGCTTCAGGTACAATGACAGATGACCCGATTCTAGGCGGGTCACATCTAGAATAGCATAGTCCAATGAGGACTAAATGTCAGATGTGGGAATGTTTTGGGAATATGTTTTTGGCCCTAGCTTTCAATTTCTTTGCTGAAATATTGGATGAGTACCTGGGAGATCGAGGGTTAGCCAGATAGAGATTCCAACGTTTTTTAACGCCTTACTATTTCATGCTACAACTTGAACTAAATTGAAAATTCCACCTGGGCACTGGCAGCCTGAAGTGAGACCGAGTATCATTGTCCAAAAATCCATCCAGGCCATACTACATCAACTGGCATGATCAGCCAGAAAAGAGAAAAATACTACATAAACTTGGAAGTACACCGTCCTGCGACATGTACTGCATAACAACCAGCTGATTAGAAACAACTACCATCTATCATTGGGCGGAACCTCGTTTTTTGTTTTGAGCCATTGGGTTATTTATCGACAAAGGGACAGGAACTGGTGCTACTACATGATAACTAGTGCATGCTGCATAGTAATATGCGGGTCCAGGTGCCTCTGAAATCACACAGCATTAGTTTAAGTTTGCACAACGTGATTTATCGATTCATTCCCCGGATTCTATAAGGCAACGGTAATGCAAACCTTGGAAGCGCCTCAATAAGCGCCGTACAGAAATGTAAGGTTTTCAGCTGGCTGGCACTTGGCGGGTCTCCCTTTCATAATGGGAAAAGCCGGGGGAGATGTTGGGTTTCGCAGATGATCAAGGAGTAAGGGCGCAGACGGGTGCAGAGATCTGCATGTGCATCTATGTGTGTCGTCACCGAGTGAGATCCCGTATGATCTAATGTGTTTTGAGAATAGCTGAGCGGATCTACGGCTCTTTTCTAAATACAAAGCGAATCATATACATGGTCCTGATAAATGAGGTCAAGATTCGAATTCTAGGAAGAACTTGAAGTGCATGGTTCCGTCAGTGGGTGTCATGTAAAAATGTGCCCAGGCCAAAACTTGCAGCCAGGCCGGTCGTACAGTCCATGCATACCCACAGGAGCTTAGTAGTAAAGACATACATTTCCAATGGCATGAATACTAGCGTAGTTCACCCACCCTACGTTAATAGATCTGACATATAGTTTAACCACGTCATTGGCTCTAGTATTACGTAGGCAGCGCTCCGGAAGCCTTGGTATAAATACAAGAGGATGGACTTTTTCCAATTGTACATGCAATGTTTCGCTTGATAGTACACACACACACTCTCTCTCTCTCTCTCTCCTTGCTAAAATGGAAATATAGGTAAAATTAACTTTGAAAACTACTCTATGTACAGGACATACACTGGTCATATAATACCACCAAGTCTCTGTCTACTAGTGCCCCCAGGCTTCGTTGTGGCAGTGAAAGTTGTGGTTGTCGTCTGGTTTCGCAAATAGTAAGGTGCGGTTACCATTATATCAGGTGACCATTCCATCGGTTTTCCATCAGGGCCTACAGGCTACTTGTTTAGTACAACTTGAAGTTAATTACCATTTTTATTGTCTTTGCCCTTCCTCTCTCGGATTATTTCCCATTGTGTATTGCCTTGCTGTCCTTTAAAAGATGTGTGCATAATTCCCCTACTTAGTGTAGGTGCTGACCAAGGACTCTACTGAGGGGGCCTTGGTTGTATACAGTACTTGTTCTAGTATATTCTAACAATGGGATGATTAGCGAAGTGGTAATAATAGTGGCTTAATTTATACTCTATATCCAGATCTATAATCATATTTATATGGGTCAAGTTAGTATACAACTCAAGAGAAGTGATGCTCATCATCAGGAACTTCTTAACCCCGCTTCCCGCTTCCTACTTCCACTTCACTTGCACTTCACCCACTTCACCCACTCCACTCCACTCCACTCCACTCCAACCACTCCAACCACTTCCACCACTTCCACCACTTCCCCTCACCACGAGGTACTTCCACTCAGCCTTATGCTAGCCTCGCACTGTTCTCCCGACTTTTCCGCCATTCCCTTGATCATCGATCATCCCTGCACCAATCCCATTCTCTTCTCCCGTTCGCATCGGCCGCTAGTCTAGCCCATTGCATCCGGCTTCTCCATCGCCCTGCATTGCCCATTTCCGCACACTCCCGGTCCGCCCATTCTGACTCGCTCGAGCCACTTTTACCTTTCGGCTTGGGTTTTCCTGCTGGTTTTTTTTTGCTCACGAGGAACGCTTGCGTATATCGGCACCGCCCATGCCATTCATGCCGTTCATCCCGCCCACCTTGCCAATCCTGTCGATTCTGTCCATTCCATCCTTATAGGCCACCCACCCTGCCTAACCCATTCAGCCATTTTGCTTTGTTATCAACCCATGCCCAGTCTTACCCTGTTGTCGTGATCACTGGATTTTGTCTCTCTTTTCTCCCATTCTCCATTCTTTCTCTTTTCCTTCCCTTCTCTCTCCATCCCTACCCTACCCGACCCTACCCTTCCTCTCGTTCCATGATCATCGACTAGACCCTGCGTCAACTCTGGCAGTCCCTGCCGCTTCGTTCAGCAGATGACTCGAACGGCAAAGGTCGCCATTGTTGTCTTGCTGACACTCATCGCTTATGTCTCCGTCAACAGCATAGTCCGCGCGACCAACCCCCGCGCTTTCGTCTGGTATGAGGAGGACAAGGACGAGCGCTCGTGGATCGCCAGTTCTCGCTCCTGGTTCGATCGCAAAGCCTGCCGCTGGCTCGGCATCTGCGGTGCGGCGCATTTACAAACCGTCCACGGTCCTTTCGGTCGGCGAAATCCCGCAAAATGGACAGATCCCGGGGATAGTGATGACAACGGCAACGATAACGACAACGGCGACGACGACAATGGTACCGACCCTACCAAACCTTGGCAGTCCTACTGGATTAGCGGCGGGTCCAATCACTCAGACTGGGATGCCGATGAGCGGGAACGCCGGGAGATCCCCGACTATGTCTTCGACTATGCCCCACTCGTCCATCTTTATTCCAAGGAACAATTCTGGCCTGGCGACATCGCTGAGCATCTCTATCACACTACCCCCCATCTCAATTACGACCCAATTCAGTCCGAATCGCAGCATCCGAACCTGAGCGACCTCGATCAACTTAATCAATATCAATGGGGTCGTCCGGTCTTTTTGACTAGCAATGATGACCCCTCGTCCCGCCCGCCATGGTTAGAAGGGGAGCAAAACATTCCCGAAATCGATGACAAGTTGGTCCAAGAAGAGGCTTGGGCTGACTGGGATGGTCGGGTCGATGGTCAAATCCCTGGTGAATCTGAAAAAGATCGTAGTATATGGGACGACCTGCGACATCTCGGCGAAAAGGGCAATGACCAATGGTTTTCTTGGGGCTCGCGAGCAAATCGCAAACTTCATATCGAGTTGCGCAAGCGCTTCGGCGGTCATCCAATTCAGGAGTCTCTGCAGAAGGCTCCAACTGACAGCCCCCCTGGGAGCCCTCCTGGGACTGAGAACCCTGGAGGCCGCAGCGATGCCCCAGCCATCCTGGTCGTCATGGACAAAGGCAATGGCGTCGTCGACGCCTTCTGGTTCTTCTTTTACAGCTTCAACCTGGGAAATACGGTCGTCAATGTGCGATTCGGTAATCATGTCGGCGACTGGGAGCACTGCCTAATGCGATTCCACAACGGCAAACCAAAAGCCATGTTCTTTAGCGCCCACAATGGCGGCGAAGCCTACCGCTACGAGGCTATAGAAAAGATCGGACAACGAGTGAGTCACTATCGAAATAACAAAATGAGACCCAAAGTCGCGCACAGCTCTAACAGAAATCCCCCCCTAGCCCGTGATCTACTCTGCCGAAGGAAGCCATGCCATGTACGCCACGGCCGGGGTGCATGAATATATTCTCCCATGGGGATTATTGCATGACGTGACAGATCGGGGCCCGCTCTGGGACCCCTTGCAAAATAAGCAAGCATACACCTACGCCAACAACACTCTACGCGCATCCACCGTGAATCCTCAGTCACCAACAGAGTGGTTTTTCTTCCGAGGCCACTGGGGCGACAAGTTCTACCCGCTAGGCGATCGTCGCCAGTATAGATTCGCCGGTCAATATCACTTTGTGAATGGGCCGCTTGGACCCCGATTTAAACATCTCAATCGCCGGAAGCTCTGTCAGGGCCCGGATCGGGCCGTCTGCGTGATTAAGGACTGGATTGGGGATGATGTGCGGACTCCAAGGTGGACTTCGTCTGGGACCGGGGAGTGAATAAACAACTCACGCTCGCATTCTGTCTCGTCCTATCTCATCCTCTTCTGCCAACACCACGCCGCCCCTTTTGGCATCCTACCTCCCACAACCACATCTCCTTTCCCATTTACCTCCTTCACGAACCTCGCCATCTACTCTCACGACCTATTACATGACTCAACCCGCGCCACAAGTTTACAAGATCCCGATATACCACTTTGTTTCGACTTTCGAATTTTCAATTTATACCCCCTGATATCCATATCCCAGCATTATTCCAAGACCAGACAGGATAGACCTGGTCTGGTTTGGTCCAGTCTCAACGGAAGCGTTTCAATTCAAGTTCCCATTTCTTATATTCTTACTATTTTATGCTATGCTTTGCTACCTTACGCTTTACGCTTGCTTGGTTTTATCTATGAAACCACCTCTTATCTTACTTACTTACCCGACCTCTCCCTTTTTCAAGAAAGAGGAGATCAAGGGTTGGTGTGAGAAGAACCCAACGAAGCACGATTTCCCTCTCTCCTTTGGTGCTTTTCTTTGGGACTACCCTATTTTGGTTTGATTTGATATGGCTGAGAAAGGCGTATAGTATATGAATTGCTTCTTTGGGTCTTTGTGGAGTTTATTATATTACACTGATTTGGACCTGTCATTTGATTCAATTCTTTTGTTTTGTTTTTGTTTTTGCTACCGCTGCCGCTCTGCTTCCGTTGGACTGGAGCGTGCGGAATTGCTTCCCTTCCTTTTTGGGGTCAAGGTTTCTTTTCTTTTTCTTTCCTTTGCCTATATCTCTCTATCTCGACTAGAAGACAAATATCTCTAAAAAAAAGGTAGTATACAATACACTGATTAGAGAATTTACACTCCAGTCCTACGAGGAAGGTGTAACGCACCCAACTTCAGCCTCATCGAACAGGGCCATCACGGCTTAAATGCCCAAATCACCTTAGAGCTGAGCAGTTGCTATGATAAGCATCAATGTCGAGTAAGAGTTGTATCGGTTTGTCCAAGAATTTAGAGATTTTCTATCACGTGAATTATAGGTTACAATGCATTAACGAAATGTCTGAAAGGAGCTAAATCAAAGGTAGACTAAAGTAGGGATCGCGAAAGATCTACGTGAATCAAGCGGTCAAACTAATTTCTAGCGGCCCCCTACTACAATATGAATCTTCTGTTTAAATTACAGTAAGGAAGCACCTGCGTAGCCAGCACATTCGTGTTTTGGCTGTGGCAGTTGAGTAAAAGCATGGATTGTACTGAATCTTGGGCACCTAATAGAACCTTCCAAGGAACGAGTCTCGTTCCGAAACCCGCCGATACTCATCGACAGCAGGCCTCACAGGTTCCAATGACATTGACTGATCATCCATGCTCATTTGTTCGACAGTTCGGGATCTGGTAGCTCGTCTAGCAGCAACCAATTTTTGCCCGTCGGTTCTGGCCCGAATATAGTAGTGCGCCTCTTCTTCTGCCATCCCAATAAGCCAACGCTCTTTAAGCTGCCGTCCAACAGGACCACTTCCACAGGCCCCCTTCAATCGCGAACTATATGGGCTGTTCATTGCTAACGCAAATAAATTTTGTGGCTCAGTAAAGTCGGTGACTTGGTGACCACGGGCTTCGAATATAATAAATCCGAAACAAATGAAACTTGTGATGAAGCAAGACAGCAATATCACGTAAAAAACACCCTGCCAGCGATTTTTGCTGCCGGAAGCGTACCCAGTAAATTGTAGAGAGGCTAGTAAATTGTAGAGAAGCTTTGAAATATTGATAAACAGGCTCGACAAGAACATCATCCACGGTAGTATAGTTCCATTCCGGGATAAAAGGTGCGTCTTTCGAACTGTAAATCAACATAGTACTGGCCATTACAGCAAGTGTCTCGCTAGTAGAAGGGAAATGTTCACTGAGAGAATATCTTTTTGTGGAGGAGTCGTAAGCAGGCACCATTTGCATCAAGAGACGTGAATTGCTGCCTTCATTGTTTATGATTCCTGACCCAAGGCTCAGTGAATTAGCCCACATCGAGGCGACATTTTTCCAATCAGGTTGCCAGTTACTCTCTTGAAAATCGGGATTGCGGTAGTTATATTGAAGATGATTTTTGGGATCTTCACAATTTGAACTCAGAACAGCACCGCTAGGAGAGGCACGGTACCGCGTTGAGCATACACCAGTGAACCTAGTGCGAATTGAGCACAAAACATATGGTGGATCAGCACGGCTTGGTTTACCCAGCAAGTATATCGCACTGGAGGGCCAAAGGCCTGTTATATTAGAGATTGTGTTGTTTGCTTCCGGTAATGTACCGAAAATAGGAGGACGCTGGCCATACTTCTCCCCAAAGCCGAAGATATCATCGACTACTGTGCTGTTAAGCCAGGATGGAGCCCTAGGGATATTTTCCGGCGGGGAAGCCATCCAGCTAGTTGCGTTGAAGTCTGCATCAGGCCATGTATCGTAGACCAGGGGAGATATCTCGGACTCATTCATTCCAACACATAGAACATTGACCGCTGGCGATGGAACAGTAGCTTCAAGATTGTATTTACCTTCAACTTCCCCCGAGATATCATTCGGCTGTGGAATCTTATTTTTTTTATCCATTGCCGCACCAGGAATACCACCGTGGGGCATCGCCATAGTAATATTGTTAATCATACGACCATACTTAGTAGAAATTTCTTGGACGTCTGAGTCTTTGGTCTCAATCCAACTCCCTGTGACAGTGGTGTTATCCCATATCGACCCACTCGGTTTGGGGCGGTGCTGGAGATCGCCGGAAGTTCTGTTATCACCTACAAAATCGCTCCATTCTGCGAGCCATGGTTGGTAAGTATGATAAACCGAAGCTAGCCATTGAATTTCGGGGCTGGTCGCATTGCGGGCTACTGGGTCGAAATCGACAGGAATCGGGGATTTGCAGGCCGACGCGAAGTAAAATAAGGGTATAGGGCCATACTTAAGCAAAAACCCCTAAATACATTGGGACTAGATGTATTTACCCCTATGGGATAGGGCTAATATATTAAGAAACCCAGGCCAAAAAGATAAGTCGAATTAAGTTGAAGAACAGATAAAGAGAGTGGATGATACAAGGACATGTCACGGTATCCTTGCTTATATGATAGGGAAAGAGGGTGTTGAAAATCCCGATTCTCGGAGTGTTGAGAATCCCCCTAATGTAAAGCAATCACGATATAAATGGAACTAAACTATTTCGGGTGTATTTTACTACCCAAATCTACTCCTTTCCTAAGTAGCAAATTCAAGTTAAGCATAGACAAGCCCTCCGCTGATATCCACATCCATCCTTTTTGGGGGGTGGAGTCTTCCCATCCTTCGAGCCGTATCGAAAATATCTTCTTAGAAGAACCCAAACACAGCTTGAGATACTTGATGATTATAGCTCAGTGTGTCTCATCGGGTGTTTCAAAGTCGCGCCGGGCTTTACTTGCTATAGAATCATCGGCAAGAACTCGGAGAGCCAACATAGCCATGCCTTTGGCACATGTGATTGCTTCGGCATGTGCTCCATCTGTGGCGGCGGCGGCGGCGAAGTTTGGGTTGTGGCTAACAACACCCGGATCAGTTGGTATGGCGAATACACCGTGAAAGCTTGGGACAACATGGGAGACGTTGCCCATATCTGTCGAACCAGCCCCTTCGTTGTGCAAGGCTATAACCTTTTTGCCTAACTTGTCCATGTCTTCAACATAAGCATGACATAGTGTACTGTTCGCCCGGAGATTCATATATGTTGGAGACCTGGAAAAACGTGTAAGCGTAATCCCTCATTTCAGCAGGATGGAAGTATGGGGACGAACGGAGTGTAGCTGACTCTGCAGCCAGATGCCGCTGCACCAGCACCTATGCAGCTCTTCACTCGTTCCAGAAGGAGGTCGGCTCGCGCAATAGTTGGAGCGCGCACGCACCAGTTCATGCGCGTATAGTCAGGAATGATATTTGGCACTGTACCTCCGACTTCGAAAATGGAATGTATTCTTTCATCTGGGCGAATATGTTGACGTAAAAGTGCGACGTTCTGGTAGGCCGAAACTGCGGCGTCCAGGGCATTAGTACCACCCCATGGCCCGCTTGCTGCGTGAGCGGTTTTGCCGTGAAATTCCACATGGAACTTATGGTTAGCAGTGGCCTTGGGACCCGCCAGGCCTGAAATGTCGCCAAGTGATGCATTGGAGTTCAACCGCTGCTTTGAAATCGGGTGCGCCATGATGGCAGCAGCAATGTCCTCGGGGGGGTCGAAGGCGCCTGCATCAATGAGCTTCGCCTTGCCGCCGCCGGCTTCTTCCGCAGGTGTTCCCAGGAGTCGGAGTCGCCCCGGTATATTAAGCCTGCACATTGCGTGGGCAGCTCCGAAGAAGGCGGCAATGGACGAAGTCGCAATGAGATTATGGCCGCAGGCATGCCCTATCTCTGGAAGAGCGTCGTACTCGGCACAGAAAACAACTTGTCGTCCGCCATCGCCCACGCACACGTCAAAGCTAGTCTCCAGGCCATAGGAGCTTCGCGTGACGTTGAATCCATGCAGTTCTAGCAAGGAGGTAAGCGTATCGTGGGCGAAGAACTCTTTGAAGCAAGTCTCTGGATTGGCATGAAGCGCCTTGTTGACCTTTTCGTGCAACTCCTGACTGACTTGGTCAATGCGGCTATTGACAAGCTCTCGGGCCTGCTCCATATCAGTGCTAGATGTCTCCATTGTGCCCATATATTGATCTTGTATTCTCTCTTGCTGGGGTTTGAGAAGTGCCCGGTGAGGTTGGCATATATCTAGCTGAGCTCTGCCTTTTTAAATATCCGCGATGTGGCGCCCACGAGTCATTTTCGAGAAGTAAATTTGCAAGCTAGAAAATTCATCGGTAAACTTGTCCGTTTCCGGCCGAATTAATGGTGATTTCTTGCTTCGTTTTTGGTTTTGTTGCTCAATCTCAACGGGATTTCGGTCTGCCGTCGGGCTGCCCCACAATGAGGGAGGAGTATGGCGGCGGTGCAAACCCATTCCCTGCCAGAGTATACTTTCGCGGGGAAATTCCTTCCATCAAGCAACTGGTATCGGAAATCATGGGTATGGAATGGTATTGTAATGTATTGTTGAAGCTAGTAACGGAACGGACCCACTTGACGGAGTCCTTGCGCAATTGAATTACTGTAGACAGGAACCCAGCTTTATCGTCTTCCACGCATCTCATCCACACTCATCCATATTAATTGGCAAATGTATAGAGATCCTACCGACGCTCTACTTGTGGGATAACGGGATGGCTTCGCCGAAACACTCACTACATTACTCTGTCCCGTCTAGCGCGCGGCAGGTATTTGAACGACTTCTCAACAATGCCTGGATCAAAAAGTATTTACCAGAGGAGGCGCTAGAATTTTCTCATCAGATCGGTTTTTCGGGAGACGATGAACCGAGCATTCCAATTAATTGGAGATTTGCTGAGTCTGCAGCAGCACTGAAGGCCCTTGAAGCAGTTCTCGTCGGTGTATTGATGAAGAGAAAGCATGACTTGGCCTTTGAAGGTGCGACAATCGATACCGATCATGCTCAGTTATTTTTCATGTCTTGCTATCTTTGGACAATCAATCACGACTCCAAAAATCCAATTTCGCCTACAGAGAATCTCAACGCACTGGACAATATTATCCCGAACTACAATTTCCACGGCAGGGACTCAACGGCCTATCGAAAAATGGTTACAAATATTTATAAAACTGCAGATAAGCGCTTTTTCAACTTGCACGGCGATCTGAATCCAAATCATACTCTGGATATGCTAGGTCTTCCGCACGACCTTGCTGTGTCGACCAGTGATGAAGCGGCGGCAATTTTCGTTGAGCGCGTGGCTCGACTCTCTAGCACAGAATTGCAGCATCTGACCTCGGATGTATACAAGACATCTGGTGTCATATGCGAATCTGTGGAGTCGTTTCGAGCAACCGAGCATGCAAAGGCGAATTCTCATCTTTCGCTGTTCGAAATTCATGATTACCCGTCTTCAGTTCAAGGTCCGACATGGTGGCAAAACGCCAACTGCCAAGAATCGACCAAAAGGCCTCTTGCGGGTCTTAAAGTAGTGGATCTCTCTCGCATCATCGCTGGTCCAGCGATAGCTCGCGGTCTAGCAGAGTTGGGAGCGTCGGTTATGCGAGTTACCTCTCCACGTCTTCCGGACATGCACGTACTCCATATAGACCTGAATTGGGGCAAATGGAACTGCAGTGTTGACCTCACGACCGCAACCGGCAGGCAGGAGTTGTGGAAACTCCTCGCAGAGGCGGATGTAGTCGTCCAAGGTTACCGGCCAGGCTCACTCGAGAAGTATGGGTTCGGGCCCCATGATATATTGAATATGACGAAAGGTCGCTCGCGAGGCATCATCGTGCTTCGTGAGAATTGCTATGGTTGGTACGGACCTTGGTCTAACCGTAGTGGCTGGCAGCAAATTAGCGACTCTTGTGTCGGGGTTTCTCATGGCTTCGGCAAAGCCATGGGATTAAAGGATGGTGAGAGTGTGACGGCTGTCTTCCCACATAGCGATTATATGACAGGTGTCGTCGGCGTCTCTGCGATATTAATCGCTTTGATGAAGAGGGCGGAAAGCGGGGGCAGCTACCTTGTGGACACGGCATTGAATTATTACAACAAATGGCTTGTTGACTGCGTTGGGGAGTATCCAGTGGCTATCTGGGAGAAGTTATGGGCTCGTCATGGTAACGTGGTGTTCAGGCAAGTGCCGTACTTCCCATGAAAAGCGAGCTCAAGCTCTGACGCGGGTGTCTAACATACCGAGCACATAGATCCTATGACAATCCTTCGACCACGGTATCGCGAGTCCTGGCTTCAATGAAACGGGAAAGAGGGAAGTAATTTTGAACCCCTTCTTCTTCGAGACAAGGGAGAGCTCAGCCTTGAAATCCAAGATCAAAACTGTCAAACCTGTAATCGATTTCCACGGTGCCGTCCAGCTCGGTTATAACATTGGCACTCGTGGAAATGGACATGACGCACCTCGATGGCCTCAGGACTTGATGACAGAAGAGATCAATTAGGGTCAAGATGAGAATTGTGATGGCAGAAAATGTTTGGTTCCCAAACTCAACGTTCAACCATACAGAGGATTCATCATTTCATTCGTTGAAGGAGTAATGAAATCAACAACCGAACAGCCAGTGACTCCGCGCTCTTCCATTCCTCTAAGCCTTTTAACCACGAACGCTTAAAGTAGACTATCTGAAAGCTCAAAACAGATCTATTTCTTAGAACAGCTTCGTACTGTGTGTCCGACAGTTCCACAACCACTACAGCGTTGCAGATCTCCTTTGCGAGGCCTAGTGTGTACGCCTCTCACCCTGCTCCGCGCCCTATTAATTAATCTACTGAACACGGGCTAAGACCTACCTGTGTAGATATAAAAAGAACCCTCCCTAGAGAAGCAGAGAGGAAGATTGAATTCTTGATTCCAATCTGCCTAGTGTTCGCCTTTTGATGCAACTGCTGTAGTTCAGAAATCAAATCTGACATATTTAATTTTTGCGACAGACTCATTCGCGACCTCCCTGGATAATCCTCCGAGGCTTTTCACCGGTTTGTGCTTCATTAGATATTGATCAAAGTCCCATAGCAAAGCCAGTGACGTCAAAATTCTAGATATCATTATATACTCTATGTCTTGAATCATGGTTTATAAAGCCCTGAACCACTACTTTATAACTCTTGGACCCTTTTTCTTCGCGCATTGTATGATATACGACTGTATCGTTTGCGACGTGCTGGTTCACCAGTGAAGCAATATCTGTGCAATTCTGCGTAGGCAGTCTGGCCGAATTGAAAAGCCTTGTTTATTGCATCTATCAGGGGTTTCACAGGGATTTCAAGGACCGTTTATATGTGGCCATTTGCGCGTGTTTCTGATCGGGTTTGACACCATGGAGGCAGACACGAAATAGACACGAAATTGTTTCCTTAGATTACTACAAAAATCCTAGCTGCAATGGTCTTCAACGAAATTCTTTCCACGTCTTGATGTGGCAATCTGCATGCGATTTTCTTAAGGTAAAGGCATCTCTCAGACATAGTGATGAGAAAACACGCGTTGAATAAACAATCTTCAATTGCATTCAAGTTTTCGTGGTGCGGAAAAAACTGGTAGTTCGGTGGTTGGTTACGTTACCTTACAGTAAAGTAACGTAATACCCCGCAGATGAGAGTCTCTGTTGATATCATGTCTTTTCATTGGGCACAATTTAGCGTCCCAACCCCATCCGCAGAGCCTATTTTTCGGACTTTGAAGCCTATTTTTCGGACCTTTGAAGCCTATTTTTCGGCTTCTAGCTTTTTCCAAAATGTCAACACAGGGTAAGCGCGGTTAATGCAGAACAGTTGTCGTTGTCCATGAAGAGGAGAAGAAACGCCCAACTCAATCCTGTAGACGACCAATAGGCATCCGCGGCATTCGTGCGGGGTGAGCCGCTGCCGCGAGGTGTGATTGGTGCAATCGGCAAATCCAGCTATTTATTGCGAATGCAATGGGATCATTGGGTACCTATTCGACGGCGGCGTTACTTGCCTTTCGCCTTGGTGCTCGCTTAGAGATAGCTTTTGCTCGAAGTCCTAGCTCAGGTCACATTTGACAATGAAGATGCCTCGGCGACTCTGTCCATCCCGCATCGTCTGTGCTGTAGGGAAGATCATTTATAATCAGTAAAATCTGGGGGCAAGGTAGCTGAATTTTCCACGAGAAGTGTGATTTATTTCACTATGATAGGCTCGGAAGTCAAACGTACTCAAGTCTTTGTTCAAGATGTATTTCGTCCCGATACAGATAACAACCCTCGGGAGGGTCATATTCCTCTCTGGCAGTCGATGAAAAAGTGGCCTAGGGTCATCGCATACAATGTTGTTTTGAGCTCTGCCATTCTTTTGCATGGCTATGATCTAGTCATTGTGGGAACAGTGTCTGCGATGCCGGCATTTCAGTAAGGTCTCGCCTTGGTTCCATCAACTATCTATCTTCTAACCACGGAAAGACATCGCTTTGGAGAACAACTCGGTGACAGGTACATCATTCCATCCATATGGCTATCCCTCTGGAACGCTGCTGGTCCAATTGGAATGATGATCGGCTCCATCTTCGGTGGACATTTCCAAGATCGCGGAGGACGCCGGCTCTCGCTCGCAACTGGAAGTTTTCTTTCAGCAATCGCCGTCGCCATATGCTACGTTGCGGACGTACCTGACGCCATAGATTCGCGACGAGGGTTATTCCTTGCTGGAAAGCTGTTTCAAGGAATTTGTGTTGGTATACTGCTGTGCGTGGTACAAACATACATGTCTGAAGTTTTGCCGGTGTTACTTCGAGGCCCCATCATTGCCTTTTTACCGATTTTCACCCTCCTTGGGCAGCTAATTGGGTCAATCGTGGTATATACATCGCTGAAGCATAAGGGAGCGACGAGTTATCGCATCTGTTTTGCATCACAGTGGCCATTCTCCGCTGTTCCATTTCTACTGGCGGTAATGCTACCGGAGAGCCCGACATGGCTAGTGAGGCGAGGAAGGGTGGATAAAGCGGTAAATGCGCAGCGGAGACTTGATGGGCCTGATGTTAATTCGGAAGCAATTATCGACGAATTGCGGACGTCCATACTGGTTGAAGAGGAAGAAAGAAAGTCGCAAACATATGCGGACTGCTTCAAGGGAATCCATCTGAGAAGAACAGGCATCGTCGCCTTCGCTAGTGCGCTGCCACAGCTCTTCGGCCTACCTCTCTTAGCTAATGCATCTTACTTCCTGCAGATTGCTGGGATGGGATCGACCAACAGTTTGATCTTTCTCATTCTGGGCATCGGGCTGGGTCTGATTGGAAATGTGGTCAGCTTGTGGGTGTTGAATAGATTCGGAAGACGGTTTCTATCGCTGGCAACCCTAGGAACCGCCATGGGCTTGTGGCTTGCAATGGGCATTGCAGGTTGCTTCACGGGGCCTATTACCATTTGGTAGGTACATCCGACCTTTTTTACTGAAAGAATTTCTCACTTTATAGCAGGTATTCTGCTGTCACAATGATGGTTATCACCATGGTTTGCGGCATGGGGATATGGCCGGCCTCCCATGTCGTGGCTGCCGAAACGTCGTCTCTACAATTGCGAGCTAAGACACAGGGAATAGGCTGGTTTATTAGCGGCGTAGCTACAGGCGTATTCTCTATCATCTTGCCTTATATCTACAACGCAGATAAGGGAAATCTCAGAGCAAAAACCGGGTTTGTCATGGCCGGACTTGCAGCGGTCGGGATCATAGGGACATGGTGGTCCGTCCCCGAGATGAAAGGACGCTCCCCCATGGAGATTGATCGCATGTTTGCCTTGAAATTGCCCACAAGGGCGTTTAAGCATTGGAACGGTGATGTGGTGTGAGAGAGAGAGATGCTTTGAATCAGCCAGTCGTGACCACTTGGGGGAACAGATCAAGTTCATGCCGGACGACAGTTGAATTCAACCGAGAGAATTGCTCTTGCCATACTTGAATTATGAAATCGAGACGTAGATGAGATTAATGACGCCCTGTTGATATAACTGTAAAATGAACAAGTTTGACATCTCTTTTAATCTCGGGTAGAAGTCCCGGGCATACTTGACCATCCGATTCAAACTTCCACTGCTTGTTCCTCTGTCTAACAGGCCGATTTTTGTTCTCTCTTGATTAGTCTCTCTTCACCCTGCACGATTGTGGTGCTTTTAGTAGTACGCATAATCAACGCCAACCACCACTGTCACACAAATCCCATTTCGTGTGTACAACGTGTTTATGCACCTGGCGTAAATCAAGCAGGTTCTACCGTCCGTAAACCACTACTCTTTACCTATTAACGGAGTAATATACTAAACGACGTTATTCATTCTAAATCAGGATAACTAAATATTCTATACCCCTAGAAGCGGGAATAGCCCCCATAACGATATCATGACATAAACGGGCGGCTATTAAGGCGTCCTAAACGTGCTACCTACTTTATCACGCGACCGATCTAGTACCTAATCGTTAACTACTCCCGGTTAAGGATAGCTAGCTTAAAAGGGAGAATAGTTAGTTATGTTTGTAGACCCGCGCGGGTCACTCGCACCTTTGAGGGTCAGTTCTCCTCCGCCTAAAACCGCCGCGCGGGTCTTGCGGTTCCATCTCGAGGCCTACGCACTGGCCGTAAATCTGAATATAACTAGCAACCGAAAATAATTACAGACGGGTACCCTAGAGGGAGAAAGCTCTAACATGAATGTCGTTCACCCCCCCAGCCCTAATATTTCCAAACAGTTCATCAATCATTCGAAAGTCCAGCTCGCGTTCGCTCCAGGAAGTCTCTGAGAGGATCCAATCGCAAGGCTGATTTTCTCTCAATCCAAATGGCTGTAGTTGAGCTAAGTTGCTGTGGACTTCACAGTGGCAGTCCTGAGGGTCGTTGAAGATGCATTGCAAGTCGAGCTGCGTATCGTCAACAGCAGGAATTCCACCCGATAGTTGCATTTGGAGAGGCAATTGTGTACTGGGGTCAAATAAATTGCTGACATGACTGAGAGACTGATCAAAGTGGAACTGGAAAAGGCTGCCAGTATCATCTGGGGCAGCCAGATTGCTCACCCCTGATACCATGCAGTCGTCCTCCAAGTTCAGCATTGTGAAGCTTCCCTGACCCACTAGCTGTGAATGATTTAAACTATGCTCAAGATGTTTCATGACCTTAGCGACGGTGGCCTTCCAAGTGTCGCGATACTTTTTTAGGTGGTTCATGCGTTCTGTGACTGCAAATAAAACGGAGGAACAGGCACACAGATCATCTGCAACCGTAGTGGAGTAGTGCTTCGGCGATCGAAGAAGACAGGAGCTAAAAGCCGGAGTAAGCAAAGATTTTCTGGGGCAAAGACATGAGGATTGTTCTACCGACCACATTGTAAGTCCAGCATTCAATAAGATGTTGATTAGGATATAGCCAAATCCGATATAGCCCTTTTGATGTAGACCTTTCAGGAATCGACACATATTCCCTGCGGCTTTCAGACAAGTGTGTATAAGTTCATGATCTGGGTGTAGCAGGCTGAGAAATGGCTTTAGTAGCATGCAAATGCCGTTGTTCCAGTGCATGTGTATCCAGTCATTTTCGATAGGCGGGAGCTGAAATTTCATGGACGCTTTATACTCTTCCAGAGCAGCGAGCAAAGGGAAAATTTCCTGGAACAGTAGTCGGGCCTCCTTATCTGCTCTATAGATCTTGTTCTGAATTTGTGACTTGAGACGGACTAGGTGAATGGAGGGGATGAAAGCCCCAACGGTCGGTTCACACTGTGTATACCCTTTAAACGCTGATTGTGGATCAGAAAACATCTGGAAGGAGATATCATTGTTGTCCGGTAATGCCACGTTGATATCGTGTTCAGCGATATTGAAGGGTCGACCGAGAAGTCGGGAGATACTGCGATCCATGAGATAAACGCTCCAAAACAGTCTGCGCATCCTTTGCGCATCATCGCATTTCAACATGAGGTAATTGACCTCTCTGTGCAGTCCTAGGTCAATTGTTGCCCTCATAGCCAACCCAATCATGTACCAGATATTAGAGCTGGTTGGTGATCTCAGGTTGTACATGATGAGCAACATCATTGCTTCAATACTTTCTAAGGAGCGAAGTTTAGTAATAGGCGGTTTGAGCTGCAGAGCTGTTCGGAAGTAGTTGCTTGGAGCGTCAGAAGTAGAGCTTGGCGACATCTGTGTCGTAGCTCCGATGGCGTAGATAACGAATATTATGAAAGATTTCCACTGCTGTCGAGGTGTTGAGCTAGCCAATTGATGTCTTTCCTCATGTAATTGGTATATCTCGGCTCGATCAAGAAACGGCATCCGGTTATGGAAGGTCTCAAAGTATGTTCGTAAGAATCCCAGCCCATCAGCATGACTCGGAACTGGGGCAAGCTCGTCATGCCGGGGTGTGTCTAAGATAAAGTCTTGCTCGCCATCGTGGTTCAAAATGCTCGCCTCGGGGTGGATCTTAAACGTTTCAAGAAATTGCCAGTCCATATCTCGTCCAATCGAGCTTCTTGGAAATGAATCTTCCGACATCAATAGCCCCATCACATCGGTCAGATCTCCGCCCTTTGATGACGGTTGGCCGGTACAATGAGCAGATGTTTGCCCCTCTGCAGATTGCTTCGAAATGGCCTCTAATTGGGCCTCTAAAACCTCGATTCTGTCATAAAGTACATCCTTTGACATACCATGGTACCTTTGCGCTACCGTCTGTGACCCGGCTATTTCGGATCTCGTGCATTGCAAACCTGCAGCCTCGCAGTTGACGCAAGAGGGGAATCCCACGCACTTTTGCTTCCGCCGATGACAGCGCCGACATGCTCTCTGGTTGCGTTTCCGGACGTTGAAAATGGGAGAAGCCATTCTATGTGGATTTCAGCGATTAAGCGACAACAGACAATACTTCTCGTGAGATCGGAGGAGTCGAGAACCCCTCGGAGGATGCTGTCACGTGGCTTTAAGAAAGGTGTCTCAGCAGCAGGATTGGTGGATACCCGGAGAAAGGATATGCTGTATATCCCCGCCAAGATTAGTTATGTAGCACGAAGGTCCATTCCAATAGTCTTTCGATATTTGCTTCTTTTGACTATAATCTAACCTAGGTGTCTTTTAACCAGTATTCTGGTTTAATGCCCCCAGCCATTGACTAGGGATGGAATTTCATTCGTTTCCTCTCAATCGAAACTCATTAAGCGAGTGTTGGGAATTTTATCCTGAATTAGTCAGGAAGCAAGGCGACGTTCTAGCTGGAGGCTATGACGGAGAGGCGTTTCTCTGAGATAACCCCCAAAGACAGCCAGTGGCTGCAGTATAACCCTGCACCGATGAGTTTGATTCAGCCTCGAACTTAAGTCACACCCGTGAACCCACCGAGTAAGATAGTAATCGCCCCCTTCCACTTATCCCAGAAAGAAGACTGTTCAGAAGAGGAAAGATGGAGTCCACGCATGGCACATACCAACATCTTCCCTTCCATTGACAGATATGGCAATCGGTTTTACAATCTATGTTATCGAGGTCTAGGTTGAGAAAGATATTGCCAAGAAAGAAAGCTGTCGTTTTCTCAAGTTTCGCGGTATATTTAGACCTGTGTAAACCCATATGGGCATGGGCATGCCTATTAGCAAACCCGCCCATTGATGGGCATGCCCTGACTGCCTATAACCCGCCCATAAGTGGGGCAAATAATAATATTATGTGATTTGCATAAAATATAGAGATTTAGGCTATATTTTATGGTATTGCTGCTGTATTGATCCTAGAGGAATTCTATACTGAATATTTTAGGTATCTTTATAACAAAGGTTACTAGAATTGATTAAATTATGAGAGACTATAGATAATCGATAGTATCTAATATAATGATACTGAGGCTAATATATACTTAATAAACTAGAAAAAAGAATCCAACTAAGGATAGAGATTATACTCAACCTAATAAACGTAGGAAGCAGATCTATAGATCTTCCTCTTAAGCTACTCTATCTTTGTAAAGCAACAATAATATTCCTTACAAGCTTTCTTCTGTAGATTATCAATATACAGCTATATACTAAGCTCTTTATTAAAAAGTATATCTAATTCCTTATATACAGTAGGGTTTGTCTACTGTTCCTGGCTAACTAGGCACTGTACTACTAAGAAAGTAGACTTAAAGCATATATTTACTAGGAATAGACTATCTATCAGACTATATACGGTACTGTTTAGACCAGAAGGGGTTTTTGGTACTGTAATTATATTACGATACACAGTAGAGAGATCCTCCTAGGTCCTAGATTCAGATACATTAAGAGTTTATTTTAGACAGTAATATATTAAGGAAGGACTGTTTATCTAATAGTAGTAGCTTTGTCTGTCTTCTCTGTTAATCTATAGGGAATACTTAGCAAAGAGAATGAAGATGCTTTGTTGATCCTCGAAAAGGCCCTCGCAGGGGTTGAGAAAATACTTGCACCTGAACATGAAGAAGACCTCACCGGCATACTTGAATTAATTGGAACTGTCTATGCAAATATCGAGAACCATGCGTGTGCCTTGAAATTCTTCGAAAGGGCTCTGGCAGAACTGGAGTAAGCAATCGATTCCGATGATGAGGATGTCCCCAGACTTCACGAGTCAATTGAGAAAGAGAAGAAGACAATTGCCTGGGAAACCGGTATTGAGTGCGATCCTCAGTTCTAAACTCTCCCCAAATAATACATCCATGGTTTTGTCCGCACTCACTTGGCGACTGATACGGTACTTCTACAATTTGGGACTTGGTATTGAAGCAGAATTATGTATATCCCTTTCCTTTTGTTTTTATTATTGGTTTTTTTTTAACTCAATAGAAAACCTCTAAGCCAAGTTCCTCCTGCTGCTCTCTATAGGGGATTACATAACTGTACAAAGTAGATTATGTATCGGAAGCCTCTCTACCTCTCTACAGCGGTTCAAATTCAAGTTCATGCATCAATACTAGTACTTTTATTTGAATGTTGATTCTTCCTTCTATCAAGCCTGAGGTCATCATACATTCCTATCATGCAGAGCGCTACTATCCAACTCTAATATGCCATGCCATATATGTTACGCCGAAGCCGAACTTGAATATACATAAAAAACTTGAATGATCCAATCAATCCCATACCAGGTTGGAATCGACGAGAGATCGCCAGGCCAGGCAAGCCAAGCCACTTGGGCGAGATATCAAATATCCACCCACCTACCAGACACGGGACACAGAATATCGTCCTTCAATCTAGTCCAACGTCGTGATCACTGGTAGGTATCATTCTACCCACGAATCTCCCAAAGTCGCACACGACCTTGTTCATTAGCGACGGCCAATTGCTCCGAATTAGGCGAGATAGCCACTGCCGAAATACGGCCAAGAGGTGTGTTGGATGTAGGCCAGTTCCTGTAGACGGTGCAGGAGGGCAGATGGACTGAAAGGGAAAAAAAAAGAAAATGTTAGTAAACCGAGGAAACAAGCAATATAGAATAGAAAACAAATTAAACATACCAAGTCGCAAAGCATCACGCTTCCACCGACTACCCATAGCAAGCATTTGTCCATCCGGCGCAAAAACCAAATGGCTGATCGGGGTAGTAAGTTGATCCAATGCACGAACAGGGACCGGGTTTCTGGGAATTCCATTCTGGACAGCAGCAGCATCCTTCTCACCAGCACCGCCAGCACCACCAGCGCTAGCATTAGCGTACGCAGTAGCCCAATCCCTCCGATCATAAATATTGACAACACCACTCGAACTACCAATAGCAACCCACCGATCCCCACCAAGTTGAGTACGACCCGATCTCCCACCAAGACTGAGAACCGTCGTACCAACAGCACCAGCATCAACCCACCTCGCCACAACACGACGCAACTTCCCATCCCACTCAGAAACCTCTCCATTCTTACTAGCAACAGTCAATCCCTCACCATCAGACCACCAAGCGAAATCAGCCACGCCGCCCCGACCATCAACGCGGACCTGCGCAATCCATTGCGCAGTACCGCTGTCCAGGACGTTGATTAGACCGCCGCCTTTGCGCGAACTGCCGATTAGACCGACGTAGCGGCCGCAGGGGGAGACTTTGAAGTGTTCCATGGATTTTTGCTCGTTGCGGTCTGAGGCGCCGTTTACTTTGTCCACTTTGCCGGTGTCTCAGGTCCCAGATGTGGAAGTAGCGGCGGCGGCCTGAGGCGAAGATTCGGTTGCCGCTGGGTGCGGCGAAGGTTGAGGTGTGAAGGGGTGTGCGGCGGATGTGCAGGGATGTTAGGAGTGGGTTTGGAGATGGGGATGAGGGGGAGATGTGGTGGAGGAAGAGGGTTGATGCTGGTCCTGAGGAGAGCAGGAGGGGGTAGTGTGGGTGGAAAGTGAGGGAGTCGACGGAGGACTGGAGAGAGAGAGAAGCAGAAATGGTTAGCAATCTGTTCTTAGCCTTTGTTGGAAGGTTCTTTTTCTTACCGGTTGTGTCTTGCCAACATCCTTCAAACGCTGAATATCCAAAACTTCCTGGCGCAACTTGCGCTTCCCGCCAGTACGGGCATTATCCTCCACACGAGTAAGATCCGAAGCATTTTGAAGCAATTTGGCAAGAGGCTGCATGGATAATTGCTCTTCCTCATCAGAGTCCATATCCTCAGCGCTATCCGCGTCCGAGTCGTCCGAGTCCACCTTGCGCCGCTTAGCCGCGAGTTCAGGATTCGCCCAATCGGGCGTGGGGTGAAGGCGCTGAAATTGTTTGCGCAGTCGTCGAACGTAATCCTTGCCATTGATAACATCTTCGTCTTCGGTAGTGCGCAACTTGCGCAATTTAGCCTGGCCAGCTAGTGAGACTGCGATGCGCTCGTCGTCACTATCGGCCCAGACGGCTGGAGCAGATTCCTCGTCCGAGTCCTCCTCGTCCGATGGTGTTTCCGGGGAAGGAATCATATTCGTATCAGCGGGTGCACTGCCGGAGTCGAGGAAGAAGAGCTAGAAAGAAAGAAAAAAACCAATCTTGTCAGTTTTGCGTATAACAATACAATGCGCTGGGAAACAGCAACATCAGAAGGGGAAATGTGCACATACATCCGAATCGGCCATATCGGCCAAATCACCCTGCTCCTCCGCATCACTCTCACCCAGACCATCAGCGCCTTCACTATCTTCATCACTGAGTAGGGTAAGCTGCATCGCATCCGCACGCTCTTGCTGACTCTTCAACGCCCCCATGAACCCCTCGTCGTCGCCAAAAAGCATCTTCTCAAGCTTCTTCTCCGCGGCATCCTTCTCGGGGGCATCTTCCTCGTCACTGGAGGTTTCGTCACCCATGTCAATGTCGTTGTCTGCGGGACGGGGACGGGGATGCATCGGCGCATTGTCGAGCGGAGACCGGGCGGTCGTCCGCTTGGATTTTTGCTTAAGGGCTGTTTTGGGCATTTTCTCGGTGCTTCGAATTTTCAACCCGGGTGAACAGAAATTGGGTCGAAATTTATCTCTCCACGGGATCGGCGTGGGAGCTAAGGTTGGCTGTTTCGATGCAGAAAAAAAATTTGGGATCGCGGGCGGCAGAAAGATGGCCGTGGGTGGAGGCGGTGTGTGCTAGTAGACCCGGCCTTGGAAATGATCATAGACCCGGTACTGGTTGATGCATATTAATACTACTAGTACTTAATATCTTATTCAAGGTAAATTATAACTTCAAGTTATAGGTAATAGCCGGACGGACGGTTGCAATCTTGGAAGTAGTAGTGGTATATCCATGGATTAGATTCCTCACAAGGATCGAAAATGAGTTTACGCAAAGAATATATAGTCATGGTCTTGGACTGTTCCCAGTCCAAACAGTATAGGTTCGAGTTGCTTTAATTTGTTATGACTGCACTAAACATGGCAGTGAAGTAATAAACATAGTCTCTAATCGATAAAATACTCAAAAACAATAATCGTGTGCACATTTATTCATAAAAATTCCCATACACCAGCAATGACCAATTCCAACCCTAACGCCAAGGCCCATCCCAGAGCCATCAATCATCAGTGCTGCGACGACTCATTCAGACCCGAACCCTCCTTCTGCCCATTCTGACTCCCACTCCCACTCGAACCAGGTGGTTCAGGCTGATAAGGCGGAGCAGGAATACTCAACTCCTCCTCCAAAAACCGACCTTCAGACTCCTGAAGCGAAGTAGCCTTAGCCGTAGCCGTAGCCGTAGCATTCGTAACAGACTTAGCAATAGAAGACTTCCTCGGCGCCTCACCTTCAACATCACTATCAGACGAATAAGCATCATCAATACCAGCGAGTAGAGCCTCACGCCCCACGCTATCAGTCGTTGATCCCTCAGTCGTTAGGTCGGAATTATAACCGTCCTGGGAAATCGATTTCTTGATGAATATGTCGATGATGTAATATTGAATCGCGTTCATGGTAACAGGGAAGAGGAGCATGACGAAGATGATTTGAAGTGCAGTGTTTCCTTCTGTCCATTGTAGAGCCCAATCGCCGACTTTGACGATGAAGGGGAATAGTTGGATTAGGAAGAAGACGCAGACTTTCATGCCTAGTAGGCCGATGAAGTAGATTATTGATTGTTTGAACCACCAGAATGCTTTGGGTGGTTGGCCGTAGTTGCCGGATTCGATTGATTCGGGTGGATTTGCTAGTGGTGTGTAGGAGGCGAGGATGTTTAGGATGCGGAGGATGAGGATTAGAATTGGGATGCCGAGGGTTGTCTGGTGGGTTTTTGTTAGCATTTTCCTTTCTGTGCACATATTTTTGATATGATGGTTGGCTAGAAGAAGAGTGGAGGGATGGAGATAGATACTCACGTCGATTCCCAGATTTAGTAGGTAGAATGAGCAGGGATTCGGTCTGTACGACGGTTTGATCTCTATCTGACCAGCGGAGAACATGGACATGGTCAAATTCAAGAGATGAAGCATAGCCGAACCAAAGACCTGCTTCGAGACATCAAATGCCCACACCTTTACCGGCCGCTGGGGCCGTTCTCTCCACCGCTTGAAGACCAACGATAGTAGCGCCAGTCCTCCCAGCGCTAACTGAACAAGAAGGGAAAATGGTCCTAATAAGTGGCATTCTCCCTGATCCTCTCCACCAGAGGCACCAGAGTCGGAGGCAGATGCGCCATGGTAGAATAGCTTATGGCCGTCGGACGGTGATGGCGTCGGGTCGGAATATGAGGTTTGGGAAGCGGCGATGAGACTTGATGTCGCTCTCGCAGCTACCATGATGGGAGCAGCGAGATCCATCGTGAATTACTGGGGTGTGGTTTGTAGGCCGATAGGTCGATAGGTTGAAAGCAAGCCCGGATGTTGTAGGATGATTCACAGAGAGAAATGGGGTCGGGTGGCCAAGCCAAGACACCAGGCGGCTCGTGTAACGCGGGGGCGCTTTTGGGTGCCACTAGGCTGATTAATGGTGAGGCTTCAGTATGTCATGAACTTGGGTGTCGAGGTTATGGAACTGGGGAGGAGGACGAGAGAATGAATGAAGAGATGAAGTTCTGTCTTGAGGCATCAGCCAAAACCGGGCAGTGTTGCAGTCAGTCGCAGTCGCAGTCGAGCTCTGCCTGGAGGCGGTGTCTCTCCCCGCACCGGGATCGACGCGGCTAACCGGAGACTAGACGTTACTTGGCTGGAGGGAACTCGGGTGTTGAGGTAGTCTCAGCAGGTTTTATGGACATGAACTCCCGGTTTATCGCTGTAGCTTTTTTGCATTTCAAGATAGATTAGAATTTCCCTGGCTTTTGTTTTCCAGGGGGGTTTCCTAAGTAAAGACGGGGAGAGCGATAGTCCCTTAATTGGACCCTGCCGGAGGGTGGAGTCGAGTGCGGCTGTGACGCAGTGTCGCAGTGTCCGCCTGACTCTATTTAATGTTTGAGTAGATCTTAAATAGTTGGAATGGAGGGGAGAAGAGCCATGATGAACAGGGAGTAGAGATTTAGAATAATAGACGATATGGGGTACAGAAACTGGTCCCAGCGGAGTCGTCGAGCAAAGGGTTTCCATATTTGATTACGAGAATCTGGAATAGGAGGATAATAGCATAGACAAAGAGAAGTGAAGAAGAAAAGAAACCGCCCTCGCGAAGTGTATCCTTCAAGCGAGAGCCTCCTGGTTGATAAATGATAACCGAGGAGTCAAAACCCATCGAGCCTCCGTCTCCCACCTGAAACGAAACGCAACGAAACGAAAGGAAATAAAATCAACCAGAGGGAATAAACAAAACGCCGAAGAACCCCTCAACCATCCCGGAATCGATAGAGCAGGAAAGCCGTTGCAATACCATGCACTGCGAGCCGCACGCAGAGGGCATCATGAGAGTCGTCACATCATTCTATCCCGTGCTGCTGTTTAAGTCTTTCGAGATTTTCTTGCCTTTCCGCCAAATCCTCCTTTGAACGTGCCATCTTCTCGGGCTGGTGGTATAATACTAGAGGAGGAAGATCCGTTAGCTTTGTGTTCATCGCCTCTGCTTCCACACCACTGCCGCCACCAGCACCACCATCACCGCCACGTATCTTGCTGCACATACCGACCAAGTATCTGTTCTGGAAGTTGAATCCATTGAGCTTATCGCATGCCTGCTTGGCGTCGTGTACGTCTTCGTATACCACAAACGCCGTGCCCTTGGAGTTGTTGGCGATACCCTGGCGAATTTGCCTAGTTTTTAAAAAAGAAAGTGTCAACGGCGTGTCCATCCACGTAGTCGAGCAAAGGAAAGAAGGAACACGAGCAATGCCATACCGAATAGGTCCGAACTTGCCGAAGAGGTCAAATAATTGCTCCGCGGTTACGTTGTAGCTGTAGAAGAAAAAAAGATATCTCGTCAGTGATCTAAATTCGACTGTAGATGGTATTCCGCAAGCATCACGCAAGCATCACGCGAGTATGAAAATCGATTGAGGATGGAGGATGGCGGATCGCGCTGAGACATACTTGAGGTTCTTGACGAAGAGAATCCTAGCAAAAAGAGAAAAGACGAGTTAGCATATCTGAACGACAAATGGTGGTCTCGGGGGTGCGGGATGGGCTTCCGGGTTTTTTGCGGGATGACAAGGCCGAGTTGAGAGGGGCAAAAGATTCCAGGTACGTACCGATTTGCTTCGGGGGCGAGCTTCCGGCTCATCCTCAGTGGCAGAAATAAAAGAGAATGGAGTTGATGAATGTAAATTGAAGAGCAAGAAACCCGGGGAGGAATCGAGATTGGGCGGGTGGTTTCTTTTTCGGAAGGAGAGGAGAGCGCGAGACATCGCAGCATGCAGACGAGCCATGGAAGTCTTGGCGTTGCCTAATCCGGTTGAGTTAATGCCTGAGGCAGAAAGGATGAGGTAAGCGGTGACAATACGTGACATTATCAGTGCACGTGCACAGAGCACCAGGTACCTACCCCTCCTGAGTAATTGACTAGTATCAACTGGCATTCTCTAGGTACTCCTGCTCGGAGATCGGTCAATACGCGCGTACCGGATGGTATATACCCTCTACACCATACACTATACTACACTGAGAGCTCGATGAGAGCGTCGCAAGTTGGGAAAGCTCTCGGCCATTCAAGTCTACTTTCTTTCCCTTCTTTCAACCAAGTCACTCAATCGATCGCGGGACGCTTCACTCTCAGCATTCACCTGGAATTGATTTGATTTCGGTATAAAGGGAGATCTGCCGGCACCAAAAGGCATTTCGGTGGTTGAGCTGTCCCGCGTTCCCCCCAATACCTTGACCTTGCGCTCTTTGCGACCTGCCAACTCGACTACCACCAACTCACTCCTCCCTCCTTACACTCATCCTCCTCCCCTCCTCCCCTCCGACATCATCAGCTCCAGTCGCGCCTGTTAGCTACACCGCAGGAATTCATTCTCCTGCCCACTGGATTGTCTTCATTCCGTTTCCTTCCCTGCCCGCGGGCTGCGCGCCGCGACCCTCGGCGCCTTTGGCCTGCCGCCGTCCAAACGAAACCCCCCTCAACTGCGACTTCTCCGTCCACTCCGAACATAACTTGACCTTCTCCTCCTCCTCCCCACCGCGCCGTCGATATTATTGTCGACCAGCGCGCCCCGGTTTGCTTTGCGGTTTCGACTGCGAATGTCCGTTTGCCAGGAATGACTTTCCATTCCTCTGCGACGGCCACTCGCTAGTCCGTGTGGTCCATGATCCCCGCTTTGCACCCACCAGCCGGAAGCGCATTTATTCGCAACCCCGATCCTCCTACTCGTCCGTTTCTACGTCCAATACTTTCCGACTCGGTCCAGGCCAAGATGATGAGCGCGGCCTCCTTCCTGACTCCCCTGGGGGAGCGTCCGCCCCAGTACCGAACTCCGTCCCCCCCGCGACGCGCCGTCGAGCCCATCACACCGTCCACCGCAGAATTTCGTTCATCATGGGCCGAGCGCGGTATCACTCGGGCTACAAGTCTGGATGGTGATCAACGACCGTCGAATCATACTCGGACCCCCGCGGTGGATGGCTCTTCACATCATCGGTCGGGTCACGGCCGGTCAAACTCAACCATCGACACTCTTGCGACCATCGCCCTCGCAACCAGCCCGACATTCACACCACTTCCTGATCGCCCACCTTCCCCCCCATCTCGATCGACCGTGCCCTTGTTTCCTCCCGAATCCAACACCTCCGAACGCCCCGCGAAGAGAGCTCGATCCGAAAGAGACCCCTCACCATACCATGCCCGCGGCCAACCAACTCATTCTCATTCCCATTCCCTTTCCGATACCCTTTCTTACTCCCATTCACATTCACAAGCGCCCTCAAATATACAATCCTCGATCCCAGATAGCATGACAACAGATGCCGAGCTTCTTTTAAACCTCGCCCGACCGACCAATTTTCACCCCAGCAGCCACAAAAAACGAGTCAGCATCGACGAGTCTCATAACCACTACGGAGGTGACGAATTAAGGCACAATCGAGTTGGATTTGCAAATGATGGATACCCGGACGGGAAACATGCATTCCTCTCGGAGGACAGTCACCCGCCTTCGCGCATGAGATCTCGTTCGGATGGCTCAGCATTTGCACCACGTCCGGTGATTCGGGGGGCACGTCCGACCACCAGCGCAGGGACACTACCTCCGATTGTGTGGGAAGACGAGAGTGAGGATATCTCATCAGGAGACGCGTCTCGATATGCTGGGTATGGGGAACACCGGTCCACCGGCATTTCTGAACTTGGTGCCTTGCAAAAACCGTTTGACCCGATGCCTAAAGCTGAGGAAGACGAAGCCGAACCAAGCCAGGCAAGCTGTGCTGCATGTCATATGGTTCGAATACCAGTGCAGACAGAGGAGCAAGAAGAGGATACCTGGATTGGCTGTGATGGATGCAAGCGATGGTTCCATATCGTCTGCGCTGGCTTCAAAAGCGATCGAGAAGTGCGCACCATTGATAAGTTCATATGTCGCTCATGTCGCCCAGCCCACGGCCAGACCACTTTTGTCCGCAAATCCTCGCGAGCCCGTACAGCAATTGACTACGCAGGTCTCAACCAAGGCCTTGTCAAGGCAGCTTCCGATTCTATGGAACACCACTACCTGGAGCCTATTCGACAAGGGAAAATACGCTTCCAACCGGAGGATTTCCCCCGCATGAAGCCCGAATTGGTCACTGCCGAATACTTCGAGCGTGGAAATGGCTGGAATGAACCCATCGTGATACCTGCCTGCTGGAACACCCATGAGCCTGTCCCCGAAGTGAACCCAGACTTTGAATCTTTGATCAAAGATGCTTCTACCAAGGAAATGTTTGATGATCTTCTTGAGCATCTCCCGGAACAGGAGGCCGAGGTTGAAGAGAATATTGACTGTGGCCAGGATCAATTGGACATGGTGATCCCCAAAGGCCTTACGGTACGGGCGGTGGCGGAACTCTACGGACCCGAAGAGAGAGTTGAGGTCATTGATGTCAAATCACAACAGGGCGAGGATAGGAGGTGGGATATGCAGAAATGGGCGGATTACTACGAGAGTAACGAACCCAACAAACCCGTCCGAAACGTCATCAGCTTGGAGGTCTCCCAGAGCAGGCTCGGCAGACTCATCAAGCGACCTAAGATCGTTCGGGACTTGGATTTGCAAGATGCTGTCTGGCCCAAGGAGCTACAAGAAATTGGTGACTTCCCCAAAGTGCAATTCTATTGCCTGATGTCTGTTGCCGACTGCTATACCGACTTTCATATCGACTTTGGTGGTTCTTCAGTGTACTATCATATTCTCAAGGGCAAGAAGACCTTTTTCTTCATTCCACCCAAGGATAGGCACCTGAAGAAGTATGAAGAGTGGTGCAACTCCCCTGCGCAGGATTCAATCTTCCTCGGAAACCAGACAAAGGAGTGTTATCGTGTTGATCTTTCCGAAGGGGACACCATGTTGATTCCATCAGGCTGGATTCATGCCGTATGGACTCCTGAGAACAGCCTGGTAATCGGCGGCAACTTCCTCACCAGGCTGAACTACGGCATGCAAATCAAGGTGCTCAACATTGAGAAGGAGACCAAGGTCCCTAGGAAATTCCGATACCCATTCTTCCAGAAGATCCAGTGGTACACAGCCCTGCGATATCTGGAAGATGACCCTATTCCCTCCAATGTATTCGATTACTTCGTGCAGGATGAGAACGCTCGATTTCACCGAGAGTACCCCGTGTACTACGAGTTTGGAGAACTTGCCAACCAAGAAGTTCGGGGATCGGCTTACTACAACGCTCGATTCTATTCCCAAGCGGAGCTTGAGGGTTTGCCTGAGTTGATTAAGTATCTTCTTCGGACAGCGCTCATTGCTAGTGGCTATCTTGTTGAAGGTGTCACGACAGAAGCTCGCAATGCCATCCGCCGTTCCATCCCGAAAGCAATCACAGATCCTGTTGAAATGATTCGGAGGTTCGGAATCTGGGTTACATGGAAACGTGGCAATGAGACGGCACCGCGATGGACTCGACCGGGTGTTATCGAAAGCAACCCCAAGGTTTCCCTCAATGAAAAGAAGCCCGCTGGACGACCGAGTCGCCGATCGGACCGCAATATCGACAGCCAGCGTACATATGCGGAGAGGCACCCCATTCAGCGCTTGGAAGACATCATGCCATCCCCCGCGCTCCAGGCCGAGCGCTTGGTCGAGAATCCGACATCCTTGCCGGCTGGTTATACACCTGATTACGTGGCTCCGGACGCAATGACGACTCCAAAATCGCGATCCTCCGCACCACGAGGCTCCGGTCTCAGGGCCGAAGCGGGTAGCTTGCGATGCTTGTCGGAGACGGCGTATCCGTTGTCGCCACAAGGATGAGCCGGCCGACATGATTTTGGGCAAACAAATGACAATCAATGGATTTGGATCCGCGTCAGGTGTTAGCACTCCAAATTCACTGGCCCAAGATGCGGTTTCCGCATTGAACTCATTAGCGGCAATCGCCTCGCAAGCCGGATTTCCGAACAATGGCGTGGTTGGCCTTGATGGGTTTGAGGCCGCTGGAAAATTCCAATCCGCAGTCATGGGAACGTCTACTGCAGCAGCTAACAGGCTTCATGATTTGAGCCCTGATGGCGCTAATGGTGGGAAGAAAGGTCGTAGTAAGGCATGCGACGATTGCCGGAAGAGCAAGGTAAGTTTGACCCAACACCCACTTTCGAATGTATTAAGCTAAATAAAACCAGCGTCGTTGTATACATGACGAATACGGCCGGATAGATCCTATCAAGGCTCAAGAGCGATCTAAACCCCGCAACACCACTTCGGCAAAGCGGCCTCGAACGAACGATGATGAGACGGTTCCCGCCTCGAAGAAGACAAAGCAAGAGAGCACATCGCCAATCGTGAATCAGGGACACTTTGACCTCGGTCAGGCTGATAGCAAGGAAGAGGTTTTGCAGGCTGTTCCGGTAACATACGAAAACGAAGCTCTCGACCCCCATGACCATTCCTCGGCTTATCAATTCCCTTCAGCACACATGGAAGAAGATGTGCCTGTGAACCAATCATTATACGCATCACCACCTGCCTTTCACGCAGAGTCTGTCGAGATGAAAGATGCCAACTCTGTTTCTGTCTCTTCAAAGCCAACGGCCTCTCTCGTCTCACCACCCACGTCATTAGCAGATGAAATGGATGTAGTCCAAGATGGCGAACCCATGACCTCCGTCGAAGGCGAGGCACCGACGCTACACACACCCAATTCAAGCTCTCGTCATTCATCTCGCCAACCCCGATACAATGAGCGCTTCGCTCTAGAGGCCGCAACGACAGCGACAGCTAATTCAACTACTGCCGCCCGCCCACACAAGCCAACAGTGCGGACTACTCTTCCTCCCCGGAGAACCACGCCCGGTCCACACCCAGCTAAGAAACCGTCCTCTCGCCCCTCCTCTTCTCATGCCAAAAAGAGCTCTCCAATGGTCGAGAAGCGCGAACGTCACGCAACGACCTCCATGTCTCCTCACCAATCAAAGCATATAAACCACCACTTGGAAGAGGAGGGTCCCGATGCGGAAAGCTTGCGCCTTATTCGGGAACTTCAAGCTGAGGATTATGGATTGCGAAGACGTCGCGGCTAGTCTAGGCTAGACGCTTTGCTTTGCTTTGCTGGAATGATTCCGCCCACGGGTGAAGTACACTGGCCCGAAGACCGGCTGAACCCCGCGAGCGATCGATGTGTTGTTGCTCATGACCGAAACGTTGGAGATTTACCTCCCTTTCTTTTTTCTCCTATTTTCATCGCTTCACCTTTTTCCATTTTCCTCTCTTTTTCACGCTCATTCTTTTCACCAACAAATGCAATGGCAATGGTTTTCATTCGGGGGATATCATTTCAGGAGCGGGGTCCGGAGACTCGGAGTTTTTATCTTGTTCATTTTTTCTCTCTTCACTGATTATCTCTGTTCTAAATGGCGTTTGTTTGTTTTTTTTCTTACCCGAATCTGGCGGGATGTGTGGAGTTAGTGTTACTTTACTTACTTACCCCCTTTGGTTTCTATCTTGTTTGCATGAGGTGTCAATGTCATTCATTGTGCTTTTGTCTGTCTGGTCTTGATGTTACCTTGCTGGTCTCCGTGATATTGATTTTTTCTTTTGTCTCTTATAATCCATTTTCCAATTTTGTGGACGGGTTTTCCCCCACTTCTTTATTCTATCATTTTCCTCTATCTCATCTCGTCCATCACGTTTACCTAGGTTGTTTCTTTCTTTTTAAGTTCTGGGTTTCCCCCTCTCTCATCGGATGTTCTTCTGCTTCTGTTCTATCATGACCGGACCGGACCGGACCGGACTGGACTCGGACTCGTTGCTGATTTCAAGATCGAACTTCTTTTCTTTCGGTATTGCGCTGGGCGCAAGGCGTTTATCTGCTTCTGCTTCTGCTTCTAGCTTTTTTTTCCTTTTTCGTTATTGATTTCCCTTTCTGTTCTGTTTGCACGCAAGATGTATCGTGTACTATCTTCTTTGTTTTATTTCACCAATGGCAAGATATTTACATCGAAGCTTTTAGTTAGAATCGGTGCAATAGTTCTGACTTGAAGGCTGTGTAGTCTCTTTGCTTAACTGCTAGTGCCTTGTCTACCTATCCATGGCGTATACCTGCCAGTGATTATGGTGACTGGTATATTATCTAGATGTTGAACCTATAGAGCGGTTTGAATAGAAACTTTCTTTTAGAATAAAAAACTCGAAGTGTCCTTGAATACTAAAGCTTGATCAAAATTCTCTCAGAATCTGGGGCCACTACTCACTAGCAAGACAGTTGGGGGCTACTGGCAAGGCAGTCAGGGTGTTTTGAGGTCCGTTAGCGAGGCAGTCAGGATCACAGCCACATCCGAGCAGCGAATTTTCTTCACCTGGCAACTATTCCTCCACCCTTTTGTCTCCCATTTTCGGAGATAATATCAAGATATCGACAATGGCAGCAGCCATAGATCACCTTCCCAGTAAAAGAACGGCGTCAGACCTAGAGGCTGTGAATGGCAGCCTCCCACCACTGGCAACCGATGCTACCGCAAAGATTCTCGAACCCCTATTCTTTCTCCTAGCAGCCCGTCGAGATGTGCTAGCGGACCCTACTTTCGAGTCTCTGAATATCCCAGATGAAAGAATCATCACCTCTATCGGGAACTCTGGCATGGAAATATTGAACACAGCCTCGGGATTCGATCGCCTCATCGCCGCACTCGTGTGGTTCGCTGAAAGGTAAATAGTTATACCTTCCAAAGAAGTTGAAGTTGACGACGCTCCAACTCTGAGAATACCGCTGACAACCCCCTTAAATTAGCCGCATGTTCATATTCTTTGGATATTAAATTTCGTCATTGATTATGCCCGTTCCTTGGGGATTGAACTCACAGGCATTCGCGCTGCCCGTTTTTATCTGTACGGTTTGAAATTCGGCTCATGGCTGTTATTCGCGACTTGGGTGGTTGGATTTGTAACGACAGAATATACCAGAAAGCGCCTGGCTGGAGCTACACCTCCCCAGTTCGACCCTACGTCTTATCAGTATCGCTTCGTGCAGGTAATGGACCACGTGGACTTCGTTATCGCAGGGTCGTGACTAACTCCTTCAAACAAATGGAGAAAATCTGGGTAAAGAGCCCGAGGGTGAAGGAAAGATTTCGCATTGAGAGGTTAGAGGATCCTGAGGGTTCTTGGGTTTATGATATTAATGTGAGATTCTGGAAGGATGGGAGTATGACACTGGGATTTGCGTCAAGGGAAGAGGATCCGGGCGAAAATACATACTATCCGGGCGTTGCTCTCGTGCAAAATGATGGACTTGGAGAAAGAGGCCATGCTTGATAATTTACTGCACTGCGTTTTCTTGGTCTTTTCCCCCGACATGAAAACTTGAATCAGTGGACACGAAAAGCTCGGCCATTGAAGCGGATGGACACTATGGCATGACTTGGCAGCTAGTTACCTAGTGTTATGATAAGCCTGCTACAATTGAACTATTTCAAATGGTAGATAAACGTATACAGATATGATTTTGACCTAAAGCTCTACCTCAATCAGAACCACATCGTATCGAATGGGAAACATACTTCCGAAGCGAATAACTGGGGTAGCCGAAACCCCGTGCGGAGATCGTGCGGAGAAACAAGTAATGCAGCCCAAGGCGGATCTGCATTTTCACTGGCAGTTAGGATTCTAAGTTCTCCATGGGGGGTGAGCAAGCGATCCACTTGGCTCCTAATCAAATGGAATATGGGACGATCTTCCCATTTTCGTGGGGTTGTTCCATCTTTCGGATTTCAATAGCCGAACGCATTCAATAGCCGTCCGCCGCGGAGGACAGAGGCCGCCAAACTGCAATAACCGTATTGCCTGAGTTTGGCCGTCTTTAAATATTTAAATTTAATGCATGAGTTGGTATGGAAAGCCTTGTATTTCACTTTTTAGCCATTGAGAAAAAAAATCTTGTCGCCGTCACATTTTCCTGACACATCGCGCATCTCCAAATATTTACCCCACGAAAGAAAGCTACGGGAAAACAAATCACAATGGGAAAGCCAGTCGTCCTCCAGCTTGGTGATGACATCCGCTGGAACCATGAATTGCACACTAAGTTCCAAGAGCACTTCGAGATTCGCCGGTCATACAGCATGTCGCGATCTGAGTTCATCCAAGCTCTGAAGGATAAGAAGTTTGGCGATTTCTTTGCGATCTATCGGCCATTCTGGAATACTGGCGGCGAAATGGGAAACTGGAACGATGAGTTGATTTCATTGCTGCCGGATTCCTGCAAAGTATATGCCAGCGCGGGCGCTGGTTTCGACTGGGTTGACACTGCTGCCCTGGCTAAGAAGGGTAAGTTTTGACGGACTCCCTCGTTCTAACGAGACGGTTCTAACATGGTGGTTTCTCATTCAGGCGTCGTCTACTGCAATGCCGCCGCAGCTTGCACCGAGTCTGTTGCCGATGCTGCTCTCTGGCTGATCATTTCAACCTTTCGCCTCTTTTCGTGGTCTGCGATGGCAGCTCGTTCACTCGATCCTAACCAATTCGTCGACGCAAATCGCAACCTTGCTCCGGTTTCGCTGAACCCCAAAGGGCACACACTCGGTATTATTGGGTTCGGTCAAATTGGTCGCCGCACCGCAGAAAAGGCATACCTGGCTCTCAACATGAAGATTCTGTACCATGATATTGTCCAGATGCCTCGCCAGCTGGAGGAAGTTTCTCAAGCCACCTACCACAAGAACATGGATACCCTACTAGCCGAGTCGGACTGTGTATTGGTTGCTACTCCATTCAGTGGAGAGACGCTTCTCAACGCATCACTGATGTCGAAGATGAAGACTGGCGCCAGGCTTGTGAATATCGCCCGCGGAAAGCTGCTCGATGAGGCTGCTTTGCTGGATGCTCTGAAGAAGGGCCAATTGTCCTCTGCTGGACTGGATGTGCACTACGACGAACCGAATGTGAACAAGGAGCTTGGAAAGATGAGAAATGTCGAAATCTTGTCGCACAATGCTGGCGCTTCCCTGGATTCGCATATTGGATTCGAGCGACTGGGAATGGAGAATATCATCTCGTTTCTCCAGAATGGCAAGGCAATCACCCCTGTCAACCAGCACCTTGTGGCAAAAGCACCTTCTTCAAAGCTTTAGATTGATAGAGTAGAGATAGCTAAGAAAGACTACATACTGTATATAATTATGAGTGACGATATGGAATTATCAAATTGTTCGTTATATCAACTTGAAGGAAATTATGGAATCTTTTGCGTCATAAATGTAAGCCAAGAACGACGTCTGTCCAGACTTTCGCTATACGTATCCCTGAAGGACACTAATGAACATGCGACGCATATTGCAAATGCTCGTTATCCTCTACCGCGAATTCCCACCCTCCATATAAACCATTTGTGAACTTCTCCTCGGTCCGACAAAATCCATAGACATTGGTCCACTCCCACTCCGGCAGTCCGTTTTGTGGATCAATATGGTATTTCAACCAGCATATGGCACTTGAATTGGACACAGGCTGAATTTTATGATGAATAATTTGAATCACAGTTCCGGGTTGACCGTTTGATCTCCATTCGGAATATATGGACTCGAAATCGCTGGCAACAACCGACTGGTTAGGCGAGAGGTTTATCTCTCCAAGAGAGTAGGAAGTATAATTAGGCATAAAAAAAGTTGAGACATGGCTTGCTAGTTTTGGAAGTGGATAAGAATAATTGGCACCAAGTGCGATAGCAGCACTGTAGGCTTTAACAGCAGACTCAGCCGCAGAGTGAATGTTCACCATGGTTTGGAGTGGAGTGGATTGCAATGTCCGTCTTTTTCATTTCTGGGTGGGAATTTGCGGCTCATTTATACGATTCCATCCCGCAAATAAGGCTATGGCAGTGGCAGTGTCAATTAAACGAACGCATTGCCGTCAGGCGTCCTCTGACAGCGCATACCCCGCGCTGCCGGCCAATGCTTATCTTAACGCGCTTGGACGCCTGAACGAGGATCAACATGATCGACACTTCCATGAATGCCTTATGATACTTTACCAATTGCCTTGCACGTCGCGTTCCCCAGGACTGTTTCAACTAGCCCTGGAGACGATGCCAGTAGGTTCTATATTTATCTCGCCCGAGTCCTCTGCACCTATATTTTTCTGATACTACGACGAGGAGCGCCGCATGTCGACCGGAGCCTCGAACTATTAATCGAAGACTCGGAGTTCATCAAATCTTGGAACCTCGGGGGCTTGGAACCTTGGAAGGGGTCACCTTACTGATGGTGGTTGTAATTAAATTCAAGTTCAGAATTCATATTATGCAGCAAGAAAGAAGGAAAGAGAGGCTGATGATCAGAAAGAATCAAACATCGTTTGCAAAGATTTCGCCCAACTTGACCAGATCTGACCATCTCTCATCTTTTTCAACATCAATCCTGCAGTTCGGTGTTGCCACCCTCATCTCATCAATTGAGTTCGTGCCGTAATCGTATTGCTGGTCATCATTCACAAATGCGACAAATGCCTCAATCCAGTCTTCCATCAGTTTTCTTTCCCGGGGAGTGGGACCGTGCATGATCGAGAAGCTAATGAAGAGTTAGCTGAGAAAGAGAACTCAGTTTATTTGAAACTCACTTCCAAAATGGTTTGTCCATGGCATGTGCTACGCCAAAAGACAAAGGTGACACTTTATCTGTAATGAACGAAAGTCTGTACGCAATGCGATACCGCCAGATGTCACGCAAAGGCACGCCATGGTTGCTAAGACAATTCACCAACCAGCGTGAGGGAGCTCGAACTTGCCCATCTGCAATTATATTTCCAAAAAGCGTGTTCCATTCCTCTCGGTTCTGGGTGGTGGGAAGCTTATATGACTTCAATACGCGATCTGTTGTTTCCGGTGCGTAATAGTTCGAAACTTGCAGCCGAAGTGATTCGAGATTAGGCTCGGGGTTGTTATATGTCGCGTAGAGAGTCTCTTCGTTGAGAACTTCTCCAATGAATATCCGTAGATTCCGCTTCTTGAATTCCTCGGCAAATGCACCGCTGTGATTGTATTCGGTGAATCCATTGAAGATAAAAAGCTCATCTGTCACGGGGCGGAATGTGTGGTTTTTGAGATTCTCCAGTGCGGCAACGAGATCTTGGTAGCTCACTTCACGCAGTTTGTCTAATTTCTCAGGACCGGAAAGGTTGGCCGGCACGCTAAAGTATTCGCACAGCTCGTCAAATTGAGGATTCACATCTGACAGTGCCTTGGGCTGCGCCGGAATCGCATTCGAAATCATGTAGAAACGGTGGAATAGCTGTGTTTCGCGTCGGAAGTCATAGAGAACTTGTGCTTGAACGCCGTAAGATCCAGCACTGCGACCACCCAGTGTAATATTATTGATGTCACCGTTGAAAGCTGCGATATTTTCGTACACCCATTCCATGGCCAAGCGCTGGTCCCAGAGACCGAAATTACCAGCGCTATCACCATCACTTTCGTCAAGCAGAGCCTGACCAGCAAGGAATCCGAACACGTTGAGTCTGTAGCCGATACCAACCACGATAGCGTTGAGCTTTCCAGTGGAGATCATCTCGGTGGGATTCATTCCAACTTCTTGAAGCGGGTCGCCTAGCTGGAACCAGCCACCGTGAAGCCAAAGAACAACCGGCCATTTCTTTTTTGAATTTTCTGTAGGGTCTTCAACAGGAGTCCAGATATTCAGCAGCAAACAATCCTCGCTATACGTTTCCGGGCCCACGTCCTTTTCGGCTCCGGACTCAAATTTCGCTTGAGGGCAAACAGGACGGAAAAACGAGGCGTCGAAAGGACTTCCCGATTCACTATAGCTGTGCCCGCGGGCAATGGGCGAGGCTTTCTCCAACGGTGCGCACCTACTGGTGGTAGAGCGTAGGGGTATGCCTGCGTATCGGCGGGCTTTGTTGTCATATTGAATTCCTCGGAGCTTGCCCTTAGGGCCTAGGTCAATTTCATGAGGCGTTTCGAGATAGGAGAGTTGATTGCCCATGGCGTGAGTCGATTGCTGTGTAGGAAGATAGTGGTGGGATGAGGAGAAGATGGTGTCACCTCGGCGAGTTTATACACCTTCCGGTTCCGGGGCGCTTTTATCTGAAATTACCCCTCGGGCGGATCTGCCCCGCTGTCCCCGAAAGATTAGCATCGGAGACCAAATGTAGATCCGGTGCAGGTGGAGCAGCATCTTTATAAACCAAAATGCATATGACTCTGATTAAAGATAGCCTGTCTCCCTCGCCTTCAATCGAAATCGGCGTTGCCTGTGGTTGACTGGGTGCGTGTTGTTTGGGCCCGGAGAATATGACTTGACGAAGCGGCAGAGTCACCCGAGCTAGCCATGTCGTTGATATTGGTTGATTGTAGGGGAATAGTAGTAGATGGTTGTTCATTTGGGAAAGATTGAGCGCCGTGGAGAAGTCCTTTTATTCGAAAGGAGACCTCTCACCATGGGGTCTATGAGAAAAATGGGAGATCTCGATTGTTGGTGGTTGTTGGGCTTTTAAGGAGTCACATGTCGCATATGCAAGACCATGCTTAGTCACAGGCATTGCGACAAATATTTTGCAAACAAGTCATTAAAGGCACATTGTTTGACTAGTTTAATTGAGAAATAATCGAATCTGACGATTTATTTAGAAAGAAATTAATAAATTGATTCGTAGGTACGGAGGATCTCAATGTTTGTGAGACCGGAGAGGATTCTCTATAGTCCCATACGATATTGAACAAATGAGGTGTCTGCCATCGTATCATAGAGTCGACGAGCAGTGACATTATCATGCTTCGTCAGCCACTGAAGTCGAAGGCACCCCATCTCCTTTGAGGCATCTGCCACTGCCTGGATCATCTTGCGACCCTGACCCTTTCCTCTGACTGCTGGATCCACAAAGAGATCTGGTCGTAGCAAATAATTTCGTTAGTAAACTATAGACGGACACATGGCTCAGGTAATGATTTACAAAACATACCGTTCAATAGCATAATATTCTTTTCGCTCCACGGGGTTTGCTGAGGGAAAAAGTGCGCAATCGCAATCATTTTTCCATCTCCGGATTCGCCTTGCTGCTGTCTCATCACCAAGGCGTACAGGTCAGAATTGGTATCAAGGATTCGATCAAAGGTTTTCCGGTATTGTTCGTCGGGGATTGTAGTCTGATAGAAATCGATATAAGCCCGAAAGAGGGTAGCCCACTCGTCAAAGTCATTGCTATTGAGTTTGGTGATTTTGTATTCTTCTGACGATGCCATTGTAGAAAATCCAAAATTCAGTCGATGAAATTTTTCCTGGAAATGAAAAAGGTTGGCTCTGTTTGTAGAGTGAGATGGAAGAATGCAATATGTCATGCAAGGTCCGAGTCTACTAGTAGTTTATGTAGCTGCCAGAAGTGAGTGGGTGTGAGTCTGTGACTAATCCTCGGAGCGGCATTCGGAGGTAGTGACGAATGAGACAGAAAAGCGGATATACTAGTATCTGAGGAATATTCCGTGAACTGGGGCTTCAACTTGAATGAACAAATGTACTAGTAGAGTCTCAAAAATGAAAAGTGGCTAGAACGAACACAAAGGTCTGTTTGACTCATCGCACTCATTCCCGCACATCGCGCGCACTTTCCTTATAGGGGCTTCGGGCATTGGAATTCAGAGATTCGGACGTCGATCAAATTCACCCGTAGTTCAAGATAAAAAACACAATCTACAAAAAAAATTAGTAAGAGACCGGCTTGGTGCAGAATATTTATCTGAACAAACTATATCCCTCCATGGCTTTCCACGGCACTGGCAGATTGGGTACTATTGGAGGAATGTACTGAATTTTGGCTGTGTTTCTATTCCTGGGCAAATCTGCCGCGACCATGAGTTGTCATGCAAGTTGTACGAGAAACAAATGCTCAACAGATGTAAATTATATATTTGCATATAAATCCATCTACTCTTCAACTTTGTCCTCCGGTCAAAAGCTTCCAAGGTTCATATATAATGTTATTTCCCACCGGGTCCATCATGACAAAATTAATTCGTGACTAGAGCGTGTACTTGAAAAGGGGACTTCTTTCGGCCATTTTTTGAAGCTCTCCTTCAGTATACCTTTGGCGGATTTCCTCCACAGTGAGATGCGAGTTCCTTTTGTTCGATCTCCAAAGCAATCCTTCTAAGACAAGACATGCCACGATTCCTGCCGCCGCAAATGCCAACGATGTGCCGTAGCCCGTTGGATATCGGGGCTTCTCATCTGCACGATAAATGAAGCTGCCAATAATTCCGCCCACATTTCCCATGCATATGAGATATCCGATGGCGACGGCTCGCTTATGCGGATCGGGGTTGTTGGAAACATTCCAAGTATTGACACCCGGGAGAATAGGGTACATTCCAAAGCAAGCGAGACATACTCCAAAGTAGCAGAGAGCTATGTTGTTATCGATTTCGGCGGCCTTGGAAAATAAGATTGCAAATGCGACGACGATAGATAGTTGTGGAACAAGAATAAATGGCATTCTCCATTTATAGCGGTCGGCAAATACCGAAAAGCCATAAGAGGAAAAGGCTCCAACAGCGTAAGGTGGGATGGTCAGCAGCTGGGCCTTGGCAGAAGTATATCCCATTGAGGTGATGATTTCAGGCATGGTGAATTTGAGAGCATAGTTAGGAACAGCATTTGACCAGGCGCCAAAGATGAGAAGATAAATCTTCCAATCTGTAACAACACTAATCAAGGCTCTCATGTCAAAGGATTTATGGTTCTCACCCTGATTAAGATTCGCAATCTGACGAAGTTCCAAAAAGCGAATCTCATCCGTGCTAAGCCATTTAGGAGACAGGGCTGGGGAGTCTATGAGAAGAAGATAGCACAGAACTGCCATGGCAATGGTTATGAGTCCTTCAATGATGAAGATCTATATCTTCAAAGTTAGCGATCATGCCAAGCGGTCTAAACTGTGTTGAGGAGACTGACCCAACGCCAGCCTTCGTAGCCGCCAACGCCATCCATCTTGGCAATTCCGAAGGCAAGAAGACCAGAGAATGCTCCACCCGAGGCAGCGGAGGTATAAAGAATGGCAATTCGACTTTGTGTCTCATCCGGGAGATACCATTTCGATATAACGAGCACAGCGCCAGGAAGAAAGCCAGCCCTATGGAGAATGTTGGGTTAGAGTTCTGCATTACCATATCGTATAAGGGCAAAGCTCACTCAAAAAGTCCCAAAAGGAGCCGAATCACGACAAGATCAGCAAAGTTCTTAACAAATCCAGTGCATGTCATTATGATTCCCCAAAGAAATATAAGGGCCCCTAAATATCGCGATGGCCTGCGTAATCGATTCAATATCATGTTGCTTGGAACCTCTTCGAAACTGTTAACTCTAGGTACTAGTACCATCCAAGTTTCATTTTTCAGTAACTCACCAGCTAGAACATATGGTATGAAGAATACTGAGAGTGCAATGTTGTATTGATTTCCGTTCATTCGTAGGCTGGGAAGGAGGCCTTCGATTTTGGCATTTCCTGGTCTCTGTTAGTTCCACTACGAGGTCAATGTCTAGACTCACTCACCAATATTCGTTTTATCTATATAAGCCATCAGATAAAGAAGAACAAACATAGGAACAAGTCGCAACTAATCAAAGTGTTAGTTAAGAAAAGCGGATTACAGTGCATCGTGTCGGAAGGTTGAGTCACGCACATCAATCTGAGAAACAGAAAATTAGCGAATTCTTTCAGTTGCGGTCAATTGATGGTCATTATTTGTGGGAATCACCTTCTTCAATAATTTGAGCTTTGCTTCATGTGTGAAATTGTCCAGAAATTCTCGATCCTCGGGAGAGATCCCAGAATGCGGTTGTTCCTCAAGATGCATCACGGCAGCGTCTTTCTCATACATGTCTTCGGATGCCCGGCGAGTGCTGATCTGTCGCAGAGAAACCATGATGGTAGACACAGATACCCCCCTTTCAATTGCAGGTGGGATTCTGAGTGATATATACGAACGGGAGAAGAGGCGCGACATAAAAGCAGCCCGCGGAGATGAACCGCAAAAAGCTTGGCTTCCCCGGATTCCGGATTCCCCCCGAGCGTTTCCGTGAAATCCGAAATCCAATTGTGGGGAGCTACACATCATATTTATTATCGCCAATCCTAACCGAAATGGTAAATTCATTCAGGTAAGGCAGAAAGCCATGGTGGAGACACAGACTTAGGATCAGCCACTGGGAAAAAGGCCTTGAGTAAAGTTAGTCGACGACGAGGTTCTACCAATGTTGATTGTAAGACGTACCGATGAGTCGAGTGTTAGCCAATCAGAAAACTGAAATGCTCCCTCGAATCCAAATGCTGAAGAGGTCCCTCCATTATACGCAATTCCTAGAAAATTCGGGTCACAAGAGCTCGTGACATGCGGATCGTTGAAAAATGGGTCGTGTAGACCGGGGCCATCATCATCCTCGATAGTCTGAAATTCTTGATGGTCGAGGTCAGCTTCTCCACCTTTATGATTGTGGGAGTTGCGAGCTTCTCTTCTCAATTCTTCAAGGATAATATCGTATCGCCGATTAGGTGACAACCCGGCTGTTGCTTGCCTTAGATGAGCTCGACATCTCTCAGCTAAATCAAACAACTTCGCATATAATTCATCATCGGTCTGACGCGCTGGCCGCCTAACCAACTGAATGCCCCAGACATAAACCACCGCCAAAGCACAGAATGTTACATAGTGTGTCCACCAGAAGGAGTGAAACAAGGTGCTGTCGCCTGCCATTTTGTCTACTAACTCCAGGCTTGCCTTTGCTGCAGAAATACACTCCATTGAAACCTCGGCATTTTCATCACCTAGCAAGAATGGTCTTGTGGCATGCATTATTGCATGAGAGTAAGCCAACTGAAGTGCGACGGCTTGGCGTCGGAAACTTGGTACTAAGGTTGACGGTTTCACAGATCCCAAATGAGCAGGAAGAGAGGTGCGCCATTGATGTAATTCCTGGAGAAGCAATTGGGCAGAGACTAATCGATCATGTTTCGATATTTCTCCGACACAGTATACTTGACGCGAAATGGTGCCGATTATTCGAGCGATTCTTTTTTCCCCATCAGCTTCGAACCCGCAAAGCCATATCAGCAGATACATACCGAGCATGCAATATTAGCGAATCAATGTGGCAATCTCCCGAGTCTTCAGATAATGATAGACATTGAGGTGTCATGTCTTCATCATTCACACTTTCTGGAAAGTCCTGGTCAATATCCTCATCTTGATAAAGCCTCGGCCGTCCGAAAACCACACTTAAGTACTTGTCAATAGTGTATGCTACCCAAAAGGTGCGCTTGTAGCATTGAAGTGAAATATAACCCAGGCGACGACTCGCAAATGACACGTCTCGCTGACAGTCGCGTCTTCTGTGCATACCCAAAGATAGGGTGATATTGCACGTATTTCCGAAAGTATACCAACCCTTGTTCATACGCGACGTTTGGAGTAGATACAGCACTTGGAGAAGCCTCCCTTGCACTGACTCTAGTCGCGGGAATCCGGTCTCAGTCTCGGTTAAATTCGTAGACATGCAGTAAAGTTGGTCACTTTGACCAAGCGCAACTGCCTCGTTTTGAGACGACTTATCTCCGTGGACCTTTTCGTATCTCAAAGTGGCAATGGCCATGATAGCCAGCAAAATCGCCGACTTTGCATGCCCGAGCGAGCACCCAATCGGTTGGCCATCTCGCCTATCCTTGACGAAAGCGTCCATCCAAGCCTCTATTGTTGGTCGATGCAACATGCGATATGTTACAACACAGGTTTCAAAGTAAAATTCCAGCAACTTCCGCAGTGTCGATTCTTGGGGAACACAAACAAACCCCGAAGCATCGAAAACATTTCTGTCGACCTTGAAAGGACGATCTCCAGCTGAAGCCAAAAGCTGACGTTTATCTGTTTCATGAAATCCATATGAAGCCCCATCTCCCTTCTGAGTCGAGAGTTTTCGCCAGGCTCGATGTAAGAAGTTCAAACCAGAAGTTGGGTCAAAGTACTGATCTTCGATCTCTATTTCTTGCAAAGCTTGAGATGTCGGATCGTTATGTGGATGCTGCGAAATTTCTCGGGTGAGCGGAGCAGATGCCGTCGATACCACATATCCTCGGTCAGTCGTGTTTGAGTCAACTAGCGGTCTTGGAGTTCTTGTCTCCTGGACTCACGATGGTATCGAGAAAGGTGGGGTCGGGGGTCGGCCACGGCCATATTTGGCGTCATAAGCACAAGCAATCTTTCGTTTTGCACAGCTTCTACAAGGCAGTGTACCGTTGCATCGAATCTTCTTTCGTTTGCAAGTATCACAGGCTCTGCTGACCTTGGGATCCTTGCGACGATTCTCAGCGTCTGTCGTGCTATCCGTGGCTGTCAGAGGCCGTTTGGACGTGACGCGGCCCAAATCCGGTGAGCGTACGGCTTCAACCCCCGGTGATGCCGAGGAATGCGTGGAAGGGGTCATAGTGGAGCTTGGGCCCTGCATGGGATGGCACAGGGAGGAAATGCAGAGAGGTAGATCGAAATCGGAAAACGCGGATTCAAATAGGCAGCCCGGCATGTCGACAATGCGGGGGTGCGGAGATTTGGAGCCCGGGGTAAATCCGTAACCGGCGGCCTATGGGAGCCTCTCATTTTGTGAGACTTCCAGGCTTCATGTTACTTTTTTTTATTTTGTTTTGTTTTATTCTAAACATAATGCATTAAATTAGTGTCGCATGGATTTGTTCGGATAGCAGCCTGAAGTGGTCCTGGTAGTGATGGTAGTAAACCAACTCGCTCAATTCTGTATGCACATCTATCTATAATATTTCAAGTGTTTGGACTATTTGACAGAAAAATGATGCCTTGCTAGATAATTTTGCTGAGTGAAGCAGACTGGATCGCTGCATGGATCTCATCTTCAGCCCCGTTTTCTAATGGGAGCAGAGGAGAGCGGACAGTAGCATGGGTCAAAATTCCTCTGGCAACGAGTGCATGCTTCAGAGCGACAGTTCCCTCCATGTGCGATCCTCGGTGATAGACACTTTTGGTGACGGGAAGGAGTCGGTCATGAATCTCTCGAGCTTTCTTGTAGTCCTTCGCCTTGCCAGCCTTGATGAGGTCAATCAAAGGCTCAGGCGCAATGTTTCCGTAACCAACCAAGAATCCATCGACATCAAAAGAGGTATGCAACAGATACTCATCGTGACAAGAGAGGATTTGAAGATCGGGGCGTTGAGCACGGATAACAGGAATTTCGGTGTCCCAACGGCGCATGTTACGAACGCCATTTTTCATTGCGAAGCAGCCAGGCTGAGCGGAGATTTCGAGCATAGTTTGTAGGCTATATGTGGCCTTTGTATTGTCGGGGTACTGGAACAGGATCAGGGGAAGTCCAGACACTTCATAGACGCGTCGGTAACGATCCTGAGGCGCTCCAGGTTGGTATCCAAAGCGCAACCAGCCATGAGACGGATAAAGCAGCCCAGCAGCCGCCCCAGATTCTTTGGCTCGCTTTGCTTCCAAGGCGGCGACCTCTGTCCCTTCGCCCGTGATTCCCGCAATGATTGGAATTTTGTTGTCAACCGACTTGACAAAGGCCTTGATGACGGAGACTTGCTCATCTGTGGTGAGAAAAGTACCCTCGCCGGCGTGACCTAAGACGACAAGGCCTTTGACCCCATCAATGTTACCGAGCCAAGAGCCAAGGCGCTGGATAGCTTCATAGTCGACGGTGCCGTCTGGGGTGAAGGGAGTGACCGGTGCCGGGGTCAATCCACGCATATCAAAGCCAACCATTTTGAGAATTTAGGAGCGGAAGTGATGATAGTAGAGAATGTTGATGATTTGAGGAGAGCTGTAGATAAACAATCCAAAATACGAAGCCATTATTTATGTATTTCGAAAAGCAATCCGGATTGGAGGGGTTCGGAGTTGGCAATAGATCACAGAAACGGATTCCCGGATTTGCGGACGAAACGCCCCGCAAATTCACGGACTCGCGGACTCACGGATTTATTCCATGCATCCTTGCCCAACAAAGGTCTCACGTATCAAAGAAATGAATTTTGCGTGGATCAGGTAGGCAGGGAAAATAATGGTAGCCATCAGTGTTGGATGCATGGCATATACATATTTTTATGAATGAATGAATGTGCGCATTGCAGTCTATGGGCTAGAGTCGATGACCTTGACGCCCTCAACTGGGCCATTGGCCATTCTGACATCCCTAAAAATATCTAGCTTTTGTAACCCTATCATCAAAGACTTTGCATGGACTTCATCCTTTGCTAGAAAGGCGCAAGTTGATCCGGAGCCACTCATTAGGCTCCAGATAGCACCTGCGGTCTTGCCCGCCCGAAGAGCAGTGGGGATATCAGGAAGAAGCTTAGAAGACGGCCGTTCAAGGTCGTTGACCAGCTCTGATATGAGCTTTTCAGGGTCAGTTGTTCCCCATGGAGTTTCAATGCAGCCTTGTCGTCGTGAAAGATATTCTTCTTCTGGATTGTCTGACTGAGCCAATATTTCGTCATATTGCGCAAAAACAGCCTTCGTCGACAGGCCGCGATAGGGAACACCCAACACCCAATTCCAGGTATATTCCTTCGTCACGAGGGGCACTAGAGGCTGCTTGTGCCCCATTCCTAAAGCCATCATGCCGTTAATGAAGAAAGGCACATCTTCACCAAGCTGTGCACCAATATGCATGAGGTCTGTTGTGCTAATACTCAAGTTCCACAGGATATTGCACCCCACAAGAGCAGCTGCAGCATCTGCACTGCCACCTCCAAGGCCCGCCTCCGAAGGAATTGATTTGACGAGCTCAAAATGTACTAGTGGCTCGATCTTGGCTTCAGCTGCAACCATGTTGGCTGCTTTGATCACCAGGTTTTGACCATCGCTTGGGACTCGGTCGCTATCCATGCCGGTGACCTGTATGGTGGGGCCATTGGGTGCATGAGAAATGGTCAGAATGTCGTAGATCGAAATAGCCTGGTATGCCAGTGTTATATCATGATAACCATCTTTTCGAAGCGGACCAACACAAATCTGGGGATTAACTTTGGCAGGAACTTGCAAGGTAATCTGAGATTTGGATGTGAGGGTCATTTTGTTGTGCAATAAATATTGATAACAGCTGCTGGCAAAAAAGAGGACAAACGTGTGATAGAGTAGACTGGGAAATTCCGGTATGGTTGGAGATGGAAGGAGGACACGCGACCTGTTCGAAATTCGAGATTGGGTGCGCCGATCCCCACGAACCTGCAGATCCAGTTCGAGAAGAGGGGCAAGTCTTATCTGTTTGTATCTGTGCCCACACTCATCCTGTCACAATAAAGCATCCTCTTCAAATGACTATTCCCATTTCGCAACAAATGCCAACCGTCGGCATTGTCATTCCTGCTGCTGGCAGAGGCACGCGTGCAGGAGTTGGCTGCCAGAAAGCATACCGCCGGATCGCAGGGGATACTGTGATAAATCGCGTCATTAAACTTTTTCGGTCATGGAGCTGCGATTACCCTATTATTGTTGTTCACCACCCCGATGACACGGATCTGCTGGAGGCCTGCATCGATCGCGACCAAAATATCTACACTACGATTGGTGGTAATGAGCGACAGGCGTCGGTTCTGGAAGGTCTTCGCTTTCTTTCCACACTTCCCGGTCGTCCTTCGCATGTTTTCATACACGATGCAGCCCGGCCATTCGCTCCACATGAGCTACTGGGTAGGGTTCTTGAATCTATCACAAAGGAGCCTGCCGTAGGTGTCATTCCAGCCATAGCGGTGTCTGATACACTCAAAAAGACCGATTCAAACGGGCTGATCACAGCGACAATCCCGCGAGATGGTCTTTTTCGTGCGCAAACGCCTCAGGCATTTGAGCTACAGGCTATACTCGCAGTCCACGAGCGTGCTGCCACGTCTACAACAGAATACACAGACGATGCGTCCCTTTTCGAAGAAGCGGGGCTACCTGTTCGCATTGTAACAGGAGATGCTCAGAACATAAAGTTGACCTACCCAGAGGACTTCGAGGAAGCCGATCGATTTTTACAACTCAACAGCACCCATGCAAACAGTGTACCCGATGTTCGAGTCGGCCATGGCTATGACACGCATCGACTGGTACCGGGAGAGGAGATTATTCTTTGTGGCGTGAAAATTCCACACAAGTCATCGCTCCTGGGTCATTCGGATGCCGACGTCGGTCTACATGCACTTACAAACGCTTTCCTCGGCACTATCGCAGCGGACGACATTGGCAGTCATTTTTCTCCCGCTGACCCTCAGTGGAAAGGAGCATCATCCGATATGTTTCTACGCCATGCTGCCAAGCTCGTTGCTGAGGCGGGTGGCACAATCACACATTGCGATGTGAGTTTTGTCTGCGAGAAACCGCGGATTAGCATCCACCGTGACGCAATGCGAGACTCAGTTGCTCGGATAGTTGGACTTGACAGGGCTCGTGTCTCCGTGAAAGCAGGGACCAACGAGAAAAATGGATTTGTGGGGCGTGAAGAGGGGATGGTGGCTTTTGCTACAGCCACGGCTGTTTTTGCCAATAACGTTCGAAGTTGAAAATGGACTGCCAGATTTTATATTCATGTGTTGAGATATGTTAGACCATGCGTTTCGTGGCTTTATTACAAGTCTCTAAATTATCTACCAGGTTCCAGTATACTGCATATACTATTCCTCCTCGTAATATCTCAATTCATGGGTAAGATCGCGATCCAATTTCATCATATCGGCTAAGAGTATCCGCTGCACTCGAGCCATTGGTTGATATCAAGGATAAGCGGTGTAAATTGACTAAAATATCCATCGAATACGAGCTGAATGGTTCGAATTAATTTAAAGTGGGTCGATTTCTTCAGCTGATCGTGCAGGTTTGGTGTTTACTACTGAGGGGTTCAGCTGAGATCTGGTGGAGGCTTTTAGGCGAACACGCGACAGCTTTATCGTGCTTCATCGATTTGAACACAAGCCAGAATCCCGGATTATCTTGAGGCACGGCTTTTCCACAATGCGAATTTGTGTTTTCCAATCTTGTTTTGAGGAGCTGCAAGCTTCGGTTGGCGAGGCGCAGGAGTTATGTATGAATCCAGGTGTATTCACAACTCAGCACACGGTCGCGCACAAAACTATCCATAAAACGACAGCCAAGGAACAGATTGATGCGGCTGTGCAAGAAGGATATGACTTTTATTTGAACTTTATGTGGGGTACACACGATGATTCACTCGCAGGAATAGATGCGATTCGATATTTTGAGTCATTCAACCTTCCATCTGCTGGTGTTCAAAGCTCCGAAAGAGAGGAGTCAAAATGGGACTTCTTCGCTGCAGCAAAACTGGAGGGTAGTCCTCTAGTTCCCGGAACTGAGAACTTTCCATTATTTGTCAAACCTGCGTCCAGTTATGGAAGCATGTTCATCGATGAGCATTCTTTATGCCGCAATAAGACCGAGCTCATTCACTGTATCGAGCGACTGAACAAATTAATGCGCCCCGTACGCATACAACGAGCGATAGCCCTGGATCATCCTGATCCAGATCAATATGCAGACGCTCATGAATCCGCGGGGCCTGATAGCACAGACATCGTCGTTCAGGAATTTATTGATGGAGAAGAATTCTCGGTCGTGGTGATAGCAATGGGAGAAACCCCAGTCCCACTCATTCCGCAACGCGCCAAATACAAACAAGTCTCCGGTGATGGGCGTTTCCTGACGCTAGATCTAAAGTTTGACTCGGAATCTGGCTACGAGCTCCTTCAGGAAGCTGAAGATCCCGATCTCTATCGGCTTTTGCAGAAGATGGCGGTGGAGGCGTTTACAACCAAGAAGATGTACACAAATTATATGGGTTGCGACGTTGACATGCGTATTGGCCGCGACGGTCGAGCCTACGTCATCGAGGTTGATCCCCTTCCTGTCTTCTTTTATCCAACTGGATCTCAACTTGAGGACACAGACGTCAAGTATGGATTCCCGGGAGCGTATAGAGCCGTCATCAACACTTACATCACCAACTTCTTCCTGAAGAACCCTGGTACTCGCGAATTACACTTCACAGAACTAGCCTCTCTTTTTGATTGCTATGGTCAGACTACGCAGTCTGGGGATCAAGTTGAAGTCCCGATTTCTTTATCTGGGACAGCGATCGATCTTGGCTGTGGTAGCGGTGCAATCGGTCGTGCTTTACATGCAAGCTCCGATAATAAAATCACACATTTGATTGGAGTTGATATTTCCAAGAAAATGCTTGATATTGCTCGCCATGCTGGTCAGTACAGCGAACTAGTACACGACAGAATGGAGTCATTTCTTTCGCGCCAGACAGAAATGGTGGATCACATGTTCTGCGTTTCTGGGCTGGAGTTTCTCCCCATGGAAGAGCTAGACTTTGTTCTTGTGAGATGCTTCCAGCTTAGCAGGCATTCCATCACACTAGTATTGGATGATTGGAAGGATGGATCAGTGGCCGACGTCAGGTCGTCTGGCCGCTTCAAAAACTACTATAAGGATCATCACCAAAGCATCAAGTCTTTCCAAATTCCACAAGGCTGGACAATGAACATTTCAGAAGTATCGGATAGATGCCGGGAGAATCATCGATTGACATATTATTTCACGAAATGAACTCTCCCAGCGGAATTCATTCATTCAATCATTTGATCTGCTGGAGTGGATGGGTACTTGCCCTGATTCTGCCCGGCTTCTGGATATCTGGATAACTTTCTGACTCAATATCTGTCTTGGAATCTAGTCTACATAGTTATCCAGTGTTACTAAGTGAAGACTATGTATCGCGATATAACATGGTAAAAGAATAAATTCACTGGCCGAGACTCGGATTTGCTTCGGTCGCAGATCTACTACCATCTTGAGACTGACTTGCAACTCTAGTACATATTTCAATATCATTTTGAACGTGAACCATGTTGCTTGGGAATTGTGCCTTTTCATCATCCTCATTTCGAGACTCCGCGTATGCAACAGAGTGTGAAAATGTCGGGCTAAAGCCAGGCTTTGAGGCTCTCAGTATTGGATCAGTTGTACCATGGTAGGCTGTTTTTCCCGAAGAGCTCTGGTTTTGTGATGTTACTATAAGCTGGCGGAGAGAAGCCACACAAGATACAATGATGGCTGGGAAATTAGGTTAGCTCATATGTGGAAATAACCTAGAAAGGCACATCTTCTCACCTGTATCAACTTCAACAAAACTCCAGAAGCATAGCCAGCCAATGTTTATCTCTTTGTCATAGGTATTGTCAGCAGCAACTCGTACGATAGCCACTACCATAATGATTATTGTTGCAGAAAATATACTGAGCAATAGGATCTTCTTGCGGCGCGGAATATGAGTATTCCACAGGACAACTATAGGAATGGAGAGAACTAGACACACTGTTGATTAGGTCGAAATGGTTTATGGGTTTCTGTCTCCGTAAACTCACTCATTAAGTCGGTAAGGACATCACCTCCGCAATTTGCCCAAAAGGTGCGGTTTTCGTAATGGATGTGCTTCAGTTGAGTACATTGCTCTATCAAGTTTCAGCCGTCTTCCGGGTCCCCTTAGCCAATTCCTCTGGCCGTTTTGATACTTACGTATGATGTATTCTATACCTCCGAAGCTGCATTTATATTCGATATCGCTGATAGACGCGATATAGACTGCCGCAGTGCAGAAAGAAACGACAAACCACCAAATTCGAAAAGCCTTGATTTTTGAACTGAGTCGATAGAAGAATACTAAAAACGAGAACTTGATACACCACAAGCTAGAATAAAATAATATCTGCAGCGGGGCGAGGAGCCGCATGAACTGATTGAACCGAGGCAAAAAGTCAAGGTTGAATGGCTCTCTTCCTGCGGTAATTGCATAAAGCTCGTAAAGAGCGCTGTTTTCAATCTGCCAGATAACTGCCGCGGAGAGAATGATAACCCAGGCAAGTATAACAAGAAAATCATCTATAAACAGTCGACGGAACGACGAAATCTGGACGTAAAGCCGAAACAGAACAAAGAGAAAAGAGGTCCCAGTTAGGGCCCAGAGTACCCCTGCCATATGACAAATTAGTTGAAAGATTCTCATTTGATTAAAAAGGGATAATCAATCCTTACCAGAAAAACCGACTGGGAAACTCTACTAGTCCGCTCATCAACAAGTTCTGTGGCCATGGTGACTCGGTATTTGGGGAAGAAGTGTTGATTGAAGCATTACGAGTTTTCGAGATGAGCATATATATCTGCAGGCACCATTTCGGGGAGATATTCGATGGCGTTCAGAATCTTTGTTGTTTTCAACACCGCAACATTTCGCTTAAATTCTGACAGGAATGATTCCATAGGTCAACTGCGCTGTTGTTAAATAGCCGAGTTCTTTGAAAGTCATGTAGGATTGGCCGTGTTCTGAGCCACTGGCAACACAATTTCTGTGGCGGAAATCACATCAAAGAAAGAGGATATCCTCCTCGGTCAGCCCCACTATTGGCATCGCGATGGCCCAGTCGGGATTTTGATTAAGAGCTGGTAGCCCGGGCATTCCTCCAAATCAGTAAGTATTAGAGATACTTTATTACTTAGTACGTATCTTTACATACATTACTCTCCATGAATCGATTAGGTCCATGGATTTCCTTGAAAAATATTTCCGCAGTCATCAACCCTCCCAAAACGATATCGCGCCCAAGGAAGCCTTTCACCATATTCGAGGACATCACGAACAAAGGATTAGAGTCACAAGATTTGAATTTCTTTACGCTCCGCTGCATCTCGAATAATCTCACATGATAGATTCCGAGGATTTAATTCGGCTCGGTTATAATGAGTGGGGCTCGGAGTTTATATTGAACAGGATCAGTGTTATACAATAGTACTTCTGGACATCAGTGCCACTACCTGCGCTCTTCAATTACTACCTCTCGAGTCCTGCAAATTCCAAGCCATCTGCATCATATTACGGGCATTGCCAGAAAATGCTTGTTCTTGTCTCTTAGCTGAGATAGGGTGTTTCTATTAAGATAGTAGTAGGCACTTGCAGGAAAATCAAACTACGTGCACATACGCACCGGTGCCTAAAACAAAGATTTTCTTTTTTGCTCTCTATGTCCTATCCTTTTGTTAAATCCCTTTTGACCACCTGATGGAATCCAGGACTTCGTGTGGTTCACACCGTAACAAAAAGTTCGATCTTTACTAGTTACAACTAGAAAATCAGTACCTGTGAAAATAACGCCCGAGACTGTCGTCTTCCCCATACGTATGTCAGAATCTTCAAGTCGTCCTTCAACATGCATTCTTTTTACATTCTTCTACTTCTACTTCTACAAAGCATTTATATTCACGTGGTGAATGACGTAAGCGGTGAACGTGTCGCGGTAAAATCATCCGCTGAACCCTCTCCAATTATGGTGACCCCCCCCCCCCAATCAGCCTTTCTGAACCGTCTCTTTTGCCTGCCAGTTACCTGTGTCAAATGGCGTCGCGACTATCTATGTCACATTCAAGTGGCGTGAATGGGGGACATAAACCTCGGAAAAGAAATAGGACTGTAATGTCCTGTACCGAATGCCATCGGCGCAAGCAAAAGGTAGGGAGCCTGAAGTGATAGTTATCTCGTCGTCTACTTACTCTGAGTTAAATAGTGTGACCGCAAGTATCCCTGTTGCAATTGTGTCAAGCGATGTACGCAGGTGTGTATCTTTCTAGACACAATGTTGCTCATAGTCTGATCAGTCTCCACAGAACCTTTGCCAGTATGAAGACGAACTAAAGGGGCGCCAAGTCATTCGAAGACGCCCCTGCGAGAGTGATTTCTCCGAAAGCAGCGGGGGCACTGATCTTGTCCAAGTTTGCCAGCCTGCTGATCAGAAAAATGATCGGTCCGGCAAGTATGAAGACAAACTACGTGACCTCGGATACTCTAGTCACGGCAATTACAACTCCATGAGCCTACTGCGTGCGGTCGATCCGCACGGCGATCACGCCATGAGTTCATCCAGCACTCGTACCACGAATCAGACCAGTTTCGGAAACGATGCAAACCGCAAGTATAGAGAAGCAGTCCGCCAGCTGCCTTCACAGGCCTGTATGGAGTCCTTGGTCCAAACTTTCTTCTCTGAAATCAATTGGCAGTACGACCTGATTGACGAGAAGTCGTTCAAGGATCAAATGGTCGCATGGAAAGGGATCTCTTACTCTGACCTTCAAGCAGACGTTGGAAGCTTAGCGCTCGAAACCTTCGTATTCCCAGCATTGCTATTTCAAGTCCTCGCACAGGCCCTTCTTTTTCATCCCCCTGATGATCCAACCATTAGTTCTCTCATCACCATGGCTGGTATGACCTTCCATGATCTTGGAGGTGAATATAGTGAGACAGGTGCTGATTTACTCGCACGACTGGAGAAAAAGAATATAACACTATCTGCGGTACAAGCAGGCTTGCTACGAGCCTCATTCTTGAAAAGCAGTGGTAAAGTGATTGAAGCATGGCATACAATTGGCGCAGTAATTCGCGATGCACAGGATATTGGCCTACATACCGGAAGAGCTGTATCTGATCGATCTCCAATGGAACCGAATTGCAAGGGTGAGGGTGCTAGCCTTGCGGGCCATAGAGCATGGGTGGTTTTGCATATTTGGGATGTCCACATGGCTGCCGTTCTCGGCCGACCGATCGCGACCGATTTTCAAATCGATCACTTCACTCGCACAATTGAAGACGAAAAAAATACGGCGGGACTTTTTTGCGCATTGGCAGTCCGAGACTGATCCTCCCCGGCCATTTGATATCATCCTTGCCGGCTACAATGTAGCCTACCGATACTTCAAGGACATTCACCAACTTGAAAATAACAGCGCGCACTCAAAAGACTATTCGATTGTTGAAAGCCTCGGCACCGCAATCAAAGAAAACCTAGAGCTTTTACCCTCTTGGTGTCGTCTGGAATACCCAGATAAGAAATTCGACCAGTTACTCGGCTGTCAATGGCTGCCTGTTGCTAGAGACGGGCTATCATCGCTCATCCACTTCGTTATTCTCGCCCTTCATCGGCCCTTCATATTCTCGGTTGCCAACAGTCGCGTGGAGGCCCTAAAGGCTGGTATATCTATTCTTCACGCACAAGAACGACTGTTTGAACAGTTAGAGCCACGCCAGCGTAAAGTATTCAATTTTGTCTATGCTTCTTTCGACGCGATTGTCCTTATCACAGCACTCTGCCTTGCTTTTCCGGACGAAATTCCGGAGCAAAGGTCAGAGTGTATTGACGTTATTGAAAAGGGTATAAAAAGGCTGGGTATAATCGGCGAGTCCAATATTATGGCAAGGTCAGCACATGGTGTTGTGTACAGCTTGTACTATCGCTTAAGACATCGCCTTGGCATCTTCGAACCCGCTCGAGATGCTGCTACAGCAACTTTTACCAACCCAATTGGAACTCCTTCCAGCAATGAAAACATCGCGCCGTCGGAATTATCTTTCCACGCCGTGTTACCTCCATGTCCTACGCATGATCTATTCTTCGACCATCTCTCAACGACACCAATACCATATACAGATACATTACAGAATTATCTATTGGACCCACTCACGGCGAACACTGCGGATGGATTGATTTTCGAAGGTGATTTCTCAGATAACAGCTTTTGGGGTTTGATGAACGGACTTGGCCATTGAAGTATACACACATGCCATTGGTTCTATCCTATTTGACTTCCGCAAACCAGGCCGCAATATCGCCCACATTGCGATCAACGCAGTCCGGCTGGTCATAGTGCTGGAAATGCGAAACCTCGTTATTCCAAATCAATTTTTTCTGACTCGTGGGAATGGAATCGTAGTGGCGCTTCGCGGCCGCTGCATTCATGCAGTTGTCGCCGTGGATCAGCAGAGCGGGCTTGTTCAGCTTTGCCACTCCAGGCACAGTGGAGTATCCAAAGTGGTCAAGGTCACTCATCACCGCGTATCGGTTTTCAAATCCCTTAAGCGTCCACGGTCCGTACCAGGACCAAACGACTGGTCCCGGAAGGCCGGCCAGCGACCCAGTATTAGGGTCAGCAGCCTTCGGATCAACCAGTGGCTGGTACACCACTTCCCCAGTCTTGTTGTACAACTCACGGGCTTCTTTAGCCCGTTCAAGTCGCGCTTTGTACAGGGCTTCTCCCTGTTCAGGAGTAGGCAGTGTCATCGTCGCGATGTCCGCGCCAGGAGTCCATGCAACACACCCAGCGCAAATCATGTAAATATCGGTTTCATGGTCTCGATAGTATCCAGAGACCGAGGCCACTGCCGCAACTCGATCATCGTAGGAAGCTACATCCAAAGATTCAGGGCCGCCCTGACAGATCCCGACTAAGAAGAGGCGAGATGAATCAACATCGCCGCGTGTCGATAGATAGTCGAGTCCTGCGACCATGTCCTCGTTTTTCATTTTTGGGTTTTCTTGTCGGCGGGGCTCGCCAGTGCTTTCGCCAACGGTGCGTGGGTCGAAGATCAGTGCTGCGTAACCTTCATCCGCGAGACGGGTTGCATATTGCAACGGCGCTTGCTCTTTCACAAAAGAATATGGACCAGTTATAACAACTCCGGGTGGATTCGCAACATTTGTGGGATAATACAGAACCGCGGCGACAGTTTCGCCATGAGAGGGATATGTAATTTTTTCTGTGGTGTATTGTCCGTGGGCAGGCATTTTGTATTGAATGAAGTTTGGTCGGTTATGAAGCTTGTGACTGAAAGGTTCTTAGAACTTGAAGTTGTAACTCAAAGCGACAACGCTGCCCAGGTGGTCAGTTATATAACCCGAAGTCATCGGCGTTAGGCCGTGGCCATGGCCTTGCAATAATTCATAGCAATTCTCAAAACTCTGAATGACGTTCTAAACTAAACATATCCCAATTATACCATGGTGTTTCTCTCCGCTTTCGTACTTCTGAACTTATCGCCGATAAAAGTGGGCAGTTGTGCCCCAGGCTGAGTCCTAACGCCGATAGACCAATGAAAGGCGATCGCCGGGACCGAGAGCAACCGTGATTGCCCATGATCGCGTCGATCGCGTCGTACGAATATACGCCTATGGACTCCTAGTATCCGATTTATAGTCGCGGAGTGGAACAAAATCGATTGAGTGTTACACGGATATAATGTTATCAAATGAGCTATTCTCAGCTACAACGTAATATGGAGCGCTCGCATCTTCAACGACGATTTTCATTGGGTTTTTCTTAGAATTTACGTAAAGCGCATTACTGTGCCAGCCAAACCATGAAGTCTCTTCGATGAAAGCCACCATCGGTTTATAGCATTGACAGATCGTGCATAGGGCTCGACATCAATACTAGATATTGGGAGCCCCGGACAGATGATCATTTAGGGGCCGGTATAGGTGCAGTTGGAAAGGTCAAGGGAGGCGAGATCGATGGTGTATGGTGGGCCAGTGGTGCCTGTAAAATTGATGAGCAAGATTATACCAAAGTGTCGAGCAGGGTGACAGATACTCAGGGACAGGGTGTAGGCGACAGTGCAAGAGATGTTCTGGTCAACATCGAGGGCGCCATGCACGTTGTGAATAGCCAAAACGTTCAACAGGCTTTGAAGTTGACTGCCACTGAACCTCGCGACTTGGTTGGAGGACTCGCGGAATGGAGCAGCAGAGGCTGCGACGAGGAGGGTGAAAAGAGTACCGAATGTCGCCTTCATTTTGATCGAGCAGTTGAAGCTTCTCAAGTTTGATAAATATTACTGGGGGTGTTCAGTTGCTTTATTCCTGGTTGTCTGAAGCGATTGATGGGATCTTTGAGAGATCTTGGTGTTTATATGCACTTCTCCTCTTTAGTTTCACATGAGCTCGGCCTATTTATGGCCTTGGCTTGGCTGTAGTAATTCAGCCAAAGACCGCACTGTATGACCCGAGATGATTAATTGTATGCAATTTGCCAAGAACTCGACCTTGGATGAAAGTAGGTCATTGCGACGCCCGGGCGTCTTGGATAATTTTTTGTCTACTATAAGACTAGTAGCTAACCAACACTTAACCTCAAGAAGAGGAAACTGATATTAGGTTTACCTATGAGCAACTATAATTTAGGAAAGCTCATCTAGAACATTCATCTCCAAAGTTCCTAGTCAACACAAGCAAACCTGGTGTTTAATAGAAAACCTACTTCAGTTGCCCTGGGCCTCCAATTTGTACATTTAGCCCCATGTTACATGCAGTAGTCAGTGCAAAACACAATGTCCTTCGAGTTACCACCACTCTCCAGCAGTCTCAAAAGTGCTTCACAATTACGGAATCAGATCTGGCATCGACTAATTTCAAGCTCTATGGCAGAAGAGGTAGGAAACAAAATAAAAAAAAAACATACAACAGCAGGGATTCGCATGTGGTCACCCACCATACTACTAACCTGCCGGCGTGTGGCTTAAGTAAGGCTGAGCGGACGGGAAGCCCTGTTCTCCACACCCTATGGTCGTATGTGCTTGGAGGATCTTGTAAGAAAAGTAAGAACTACGTTGATCGGATTTCGGCATTAAGAATGAGCGTAAATTGACATTGAGTGAAAACATGTATGAATTTCGAGACACACGGACCAGAGGAGATTGAAAAGGAATGAATAATACGACAGTCATGAATCATCCCATGGCCCAGGGCGACCGTTAATCAAGCTTAATATTCATACTCATCCACGACAGCTGGCCAGCTTCTAAAATAACCATCTTTCAGCCAGAGCTAGTATCAAGGGAAGTTGTTGAAGCTGCAATTGAAGCCACTAGACTAATATCTTGGCCAAATAAATATCCCCTAGGGGCAGACAAAGTGGAACTCATCGGGGGCCAATTGACACGTAATTCCACCTGGATAAACTCGATCTTATCAGGAGCTGGCCAACCTTTATTTGCATGGCGAGGGGGGATCTTACTGCAGACTTGTCCTAAGTGAAAGGAGCTCAAGGTACATATAATGGTGACTTGGGTCCTAGATCCTTCTGGATTTTTGGCATAGTCTGCCAGTCTCCGAAGTGCTGCCCCACTGAAGCTTCCCACCGCTATTTTGATCGCATCATCGCCCACCGTCAGAAGTGAAGGGGCGGCAAAAGTGGGTAGCAGAAGACCTGCAAAGTACAAAATTTGGGATACTTTGTGGGGCTTCATTATTTGCTTTGTGGTCTTTTGAGTAGTATTTCCGATTTATAGGTATTGGCAAAAATTTTGCCCGATGGATGGAGAGTGAGCACTTTAAAAAGAATTTGCCGCGGCATGCACCGCTCAAAGATAAAGCTACTTAAAGGGTTTGTATTTTCTTAGTTAAACTAGTCTCGTCTGAGACAACGACCATCGGAGTGCGTTGATACCGTGGTAATATGCTCAATCCTTCCAAGGTTAGCTTCGGAAGAAAGGAGTGTGGCATGTGAAATATTTCATCAAGAAAGATGTGACACAATCAGCTTGGACCCGATATATCATCACTTGCCATTGGGAGACACTATAAGCTACTGCAGGTGGCGTAAGCTTTTATACCCACAAATTGGATCCTATTCAGAGTATATTAGTAAGACCATTGAAAATGTGTGGGAAAGTTGAGTCTATGATAGGCTAGATCGTGAGATAAGTGCAACTGTAACCTCCTAGGTCGGATCAACGAGCCGTTGTTCCACAGAGATTAGTAGTGTGAAATCCTAGAAAGCAATGAAGAATTGTAGTGCAAAAGCAGAATTGAAACAAAGTCGTTAAGTTGTTATAGTAAATGATCTGATCATTTCTATATTTTCAGTGACCTTTTAGTGGCCTATAGGAAGGTAATCAGTATACTATAGGGTTTGCCATGGGAGGAGAGCAATGGGATGAATTGATTTCAATTTGTACCTTGCGATCTGTAAGATAGTTTTGAGGCTAATTTGACTTTTTCTGAAAAGGGTTCATGTGATTTTCCCCTCTTAAAAGCGTTCATCTTGTAGCGGTTTCTCATCACACTACAGAAATATCATCCAGCTCTCTGTATATGGAAACTTTTTCGTCGTCACTAGCCCAACACATATCCACCGCGTTTCTCGCAAGCTTTACCATCTCCGCCTTGTTAAATCCACAGTGAGTAAACACCTTCTGCATGTTTCCTTCGATCCAAACGTCATGCATTAACGTTGGATCATCACTATTTATGCAAACTTTCACTCCTTTTTCCAAAAGTCTCCTAATCTTGGGAAACAGAACTTCGGTAGGTGTTCTCCGATGATAGGCGTGGGGGCATAAAGTTAACCCAATCTGCCTTTCAACTAGACCACGCCAAAGTTCTTCGCGGTCCTCTGCGTCAAGTCCATGGTCAATGCGCTCCGATCCCTTGCCTTCGCATACCTGAAATATAGCCTCGTTCATATGGGCGTGAGTGTCTTTTTGTCCGAAGTCGCAGTGCATAGTGATATGAAGACCATCTGCTCGTGCCAAATTAAAACCTTCTTCGAATAGCATCGGAGGTCTCTCATATGCATTGCTTGCCAGTCCCACGGCATGAAAAAGTCCCTTGCCACCTTTGACAGCTCCGGCTGCCCAGGGCCTAGCCTCGTGGTATGCAGCTAAGCCATCTTTCACCGGCTCGTCACGTAAAAAGCACATGATCCATTGCGATTTCACATTGAATTGCGCTGCTGCATCTCGTTGGGCGCGCAAGTAGCCATCAAGAACTGCGGTGGCGGGAACACCGCGACGCGTATGTGCCTGAATATCGAAGAAAGGCTCCGCATACCGTACATTCATAGTAGCACAGCGGCTAAGATAAGCCATTGCAAGATCGTAAAAGTCATTCTCGGTACGTAATACATCGCAACCGGCGAAATAGGCTTCCAAGAATGTTGGAATTCCTGGCTGGCGACCGTTGAGCTCGGGACGATGGTTGAGAGTCACGGCGTATGAGGCTTTAAGTTCGTCAAAACTCCCATACGGTAGAGTAATCTTGTTACGCAGAGCTAACTCCCAGCGCAAAGAAGGTGTCAAAGTGCCTTCGATATGAACATGAAGTTCAACTTTCGGGAGGTTTGCGATGAAAGGGGAAATAACAAGTCCGTCCATGGTCACCCACAATGCCCAGGTGTGAATTAAAGAAGAAAGTTTGTTATCTGATTAACTTCAAATGAGGTACAAGGATTAAGACAGGCTAAAATCAGCCCAGGCGGGTGGGATTTTACTACTAGGTAGTAGTACTATTCGATGACTAAAAGAGGGGTTTTCGTGATACTAGTACTAGTTATATATCCCTGAGCCCTGGAGGTCGGCAGGTTCCCGAGGTCCGCAACGTTAGGAAGGTCGTTGCGAAAGCTATTACCAATTAGCCCTTCCCCTGGGGCCGCTAAAAGATTTTCGGTTTTCCCTAACCAAGATGGCACTCGCTAACCCTTAAAGCTTTAGTTAAGGTCTCCTTGTTGCAGCATCGTCCAATGATCGGCGTTGGAAAGATAGCGAACAGGAGTGGGGCCCGAGGCAATAGATATGCGGGGAAGATAAGAGCGCTATGCCAGGCAGCTCAAAACAAGAGGCGGCCGGTGGCTGGAAGATATGTTGCTTCTCCTTCACTCTTGATTCCTTCTCAGCTGAGAAGTCAACCTATCCAAAAATATGGCCGAGTCTAGTGCGACTGCCGCCGAAGCTGCCGTGGAGAATGCGACAGACCATGCATTCGCCAAAAGGGTCCTGCGAAAGATTGATCGACGGCTCATCCCTTTGCTTTTCCTCACATATACGCTGAATTTCATGGACAAGACTATTTTGTCGAGCGCATCTGTTTTTGGGCTTTCCGAGGATACGGTGAGACCATAGAAATAAATTAAATGTGCCATTTACTAATTGAGATTTCGTTTAGGGCCTGGTGGGACAACAGTATAGCTGGGTGTCGTCAATCTTCTATTTTGGCTACCTGGGGTGGGCATATCCAACGACGATTTTGATTGCTCGTCTACCGCCGGCAAAATATTTGACAGGAAATACGCTTCTCTGGGGCACAGTAGTTGCTCTCACTGCTGCTTGCACCAACTTTGGAGGGCTAATGGCAGTCCGCTTTTTGCTTGGAGTCGCGGAGGCGACTATTACACCCGCCTTCATGTTCATCACGTCGACATGGTATACCCGTGATGAGATACCAACTCGAACGGGCTTATGGTTTTCTGGAAATGTGAGCATTATTTAACCGCGTCTGGTTTTCAAAGCTGAGACTGATTCATGACTCCCAGAGCGTTGGCGGGATCGTTTCCAGCTTACTTGCCTATGGCCTCGGGCATGTCAACGACCGTGTCGGACCATGGAGGTGGATGTTCATTGTACTCGGTCTTTGGACTTTCCTCTGGGGATTCGCTCTCTGGACCTTACTCCCTGATTCAATTTCGAGTGCGAAATTTCTTGAAGAGGACGAGCGACGTTTCGCGAGTAACCGAGCGATTATCGCAGGAACCGGAGTGACAGAGAAGACTGCTTGGAGGTGGGATCAAGTTCGCGAGTGTTTGATAGACCCTAAGACTTGGTTGATTTTTGGCCTGGCGCTTTTGACCCAAATTCCCAACGGCGGAACGCAGAACTTTGCAAACCTTGTGCTTGTATCTTTCGGGTTTACGAACTTGCAGTCGACCTTGTTGACAATCCCCTACTCGCTCATCACCGTCGCAACAATTACCGGCACGGGATGGCTTGCGGGTCGCTTCCGTCAGTTGAATTGCCTGCTC